TCCACTGCCTCCACTGAATGGAGTGGGTGATATTACATGTTTAAAAAAAAAATCATGACGTTACAAAATCACATTTTACTGTCTGGGGTCCTCTTATGAAAAGAAAATATAATTCCCTATATTATATGAATGGTGTCACAGCATATTTGGAAATATACAGAATAATATATGGTGTTGATATTTTACAATATATTGAAAAAGGCATAAGGAATCTTCATACATTTGAAAATGCGAGAGACAATATACTTACTAATATATAATGTGTGTAATTATATATTCAGTAATAACCTTCATAATATATACAGGGATTACATTTCTCCGCCGCTACGAGAGAGACTGCGTCAGTGGCGGCGCCAGGGGGGGTCTTGGGGGGTCTCAAGACCCTCCCAAAAAAAACGCTTTGACCCCCCATTTGACCCCCCACTCCCTTCCTGATTAAAAAATATATAAAGATTTAAAAATGTTTCTCTTCAAATTACGCAGAACTATAGTAATTAATAATTTATTCGACATATAAAAAAATATAAACATAGAATCACTGCGACGCCCCATGAACGTCGCTGCGCCTTGCGTCATTGCGTTCAAGGCGCTCCCGCGAGCCCGCAAGAGCTGCTACGCTACAGCGGGCACGGATGGTGGGAATCCTGGCGGCTGAGTGGATTTAACGGGGAATTTAAGCCATGCGGCCCAGCCGAGAAACCAAGACAGCCTAAACTAAAATCATACCCGCGTCGTTCTTTTGGATCGCAGGGGCAGCTAGCATCCAGGGGTTTTAGTTGCTCGTGATTCAAACAGTACCAGTGGCTTGAATAGGCTATTCTGTGTCAAAAGACGCGGCTTTTTGTTTTGCCTGTCGTCATTTTTTTCACAGTGTGCATGCATCTGGTGGTCACTCATTATATCAGTCTCCTCAATTTTAACATGCTATATAAAATTATCTGTGGGGTAGCCTATTTTGAGCTAAAACTTCACATACACACTCTGGGGACACCAACGACTTATTTTACATCGTATGAAGAGGACATTATACCAACCCCTTTAAACTTTAGTTTTTTTTTGTGAGTATAAGTATTTCAATCCTGATTCAAGACAATTCTGTAATTACAGCTACAACTTCAGCAGGCACAAGACAAAATTTACGAAATGGCTGAGACATCAAGATTAGACCTGGATTAGACAGAGAGACGCTTGAAAAAAGGAATGAGGGGATCTGTTTTATGATACAGATTAAACACTGTTAGATACATTACCGTTCAAAAGTTTGGGGTCTGTAATATTTTTTTATGTTTTTGAAAGTCTCTCATGGATCACCAAGGATGCATTTATTTGATAAAAAAAACTGTAATATTATAAAATATTATAATGGAATTTAAAATAATTATATTTTGATATATTTAAAAAAAATTAATTTATTCCTGTGATGGCAAATGGCAGAGAAGAAGACAGGAGGAGACTGGACAGAAGTAGGGCAAGCAAAAGGTGAGAGCATGACAATAATAGATACTATTTTGTAAATATGTTTTCTGTCATGGGTGTGGCTATGGCAATTAAAATTCGAGCATATTGTCTGCAAAATGCAATTGATTAATTAATTAAAAACAAAGTAGTTGATATGCTGTGTTGTTTTTGTTGTTAAGTAGCAGTAGTATGCAGTTATTAGCCGTGTCCACTGTATTTTTTGTTGGTTTTCATGAGACCCCCCTTGAAATGACCAGGAGCCCCCATTGCCCCCCCCCCCCCCCCCCCCCCCCCCCCCCCCCCCCCCAATTGTCTGGAGCCGCCACTGGTCTGCGTCGGAATTCCGTCAATACCAGGGGTTCCCCATAACTGTCCGGTCGTGTCTTAAATTCACTTTGCATAAATTTAAGGCCGTGAATATGCTCACATTTCTCAAAAAGTGTAATAAATGTGTCCATTTTAAAACGGAGTAGTTTTGAGTTTGAGTTCTGCGTCATGCACTATGTGCAAAAAAATGTGGTGATAACATAATGAAAAAAAGGGTTGGTTGAGTTGCCAGGAAAGACGTTCACTTCGTGATCGTGCCACGAAGTGCTTGGCACACGCCTCTAACCTAACCCGACCGTGTCTGTGTGTCCTTTCACACAACACTCATCTATGGTCGGTTCACGTAGTTTATAAAGCGCAGTATGCGCCTGTAATTCACAACGACGGTAACCACTTTTAAAATGAAAACCTTTTTACCGTACGTTATAGATCGTTAGTCTATACATGTTTACATAAAGGTTTTTAAACGAATTCGTTTGGATGGATGAATGCTTGATTTATGTTTTTAAAAGTTGTTTTTGCGATAGGCCTATTTCACAAAATGGCGACCAAGACCGGAAGTAGGGCAGCGATACTTCCGGTCGCGCCGCCGCCCGCTGCGATCGCCATTCATTCTCGAAATGGACTGTGAACAGCTTGTTTTCTTTTACTGTCTATATGGGTTTCTCTCTCAGTCATTCATATATCTGACAAAAGTAAGAATAGCAGATGTTGTCCGTTTTGTTGCTAGTTTTCAGGTAGCTGCGAAAATATCGAAATTGAACAAAGGTCATAGCCTACATTTTGCCTAAATAAAAAAAGTTCTATTCATTTAAATGCCATTAAACTTGATGACTAAGCTCACACTTAATATATCTAAACAAACAAAATAAATAAATAAAATAAAACGATGTCTGAGTGAGTGAAACGTAGTGGCTTTTGTTAAAACCTCATGTTATTAACTTGTCACACTGAAAACATTTTTATATAGATGATTGAAAAATTATTTATTGAATGAACGAATTAAATTATTTTATTTTAAGAAATATGGTTATAGGATTAAAGTGAACTATACGCTAGGCTATGTTAAAATAGGCCTACAAAACTGGTAAACAAATGATTTGTGTAACTTTGACAATTGAAGTTACTGAGATTGATAGGCTACAACCACTGTGACAACTAGCCCCGACCTCCGATTTAATTCAAAGCCACAGTAATGTAGGCCTGCATCTTTTACACACACATATACTATATATATATATATATATATATTTTTTTTTTACCATGTGTTCAGTTTAATTACTTTTTTTTTTTTTTGCAGTTATACTGTAGTCTGTAGAAGAACCCTTTATATTTCACCCAAATAACTTTTTCCCAAATATCAGTCCTTAAAAAAAAAAAAAAAATTAGTGTAAAGAAGATTTTGAAAAATCGTTTCCACTATAAAAAAACGTTTACGCAATGGAAAGGAACCATGGATGCCAATAAAGAACCTTTGTTTTTAATTGTGTTGGGCATTTGCATTTCAAGGGATAGTGTTGAACTGTTCTCTTTTCTTCAAAAACCAACATTTCTCTTGAAGTTCTTTTTTCACTACTGGCTTGCTCCGGGGCAGAAAGTCCTCGGGTGATTTTGGAAGAAATGCAAAGCTGAACCCTTAAATTATCTATTACCCTCATTTAGGTCACACTATAAAACCTCAGAGTTCTCATCTTTGTTAAAAAGAAGCAGAATTTAAAAAGGGGGATTAAAATGTAGGAGAGCAACACAGACATAAAAAGCAATTCTGGATGCATTGGAAGATACTTTTAGAAACATATTGTCTCTGATTATTTTATTACATGCACAACATAAAATAACCATACAAAAAGTGTCATCTCCATGGAAACATTGTGTGTGAGATATCTCAGGAAATGCTAAGGGAAACAAAAGCCTTCTCCCTTCTTCTCTGCAGTATGTGGGTGTGCGCTTCAGCTCAGCAGTCTTACAGTTAGAAATCCTGCACTGCAGTCTGTCATGGAAGATAAGTGAGAAATCTACTGACATGATGCAAGAGCTCACACACACACACACACACACACACACACACACACACACACACACACACACACACACACACACACACACACACACACACACACACACACACACACACACACACACACACACACACACACACACACACACACACACACACACACACACACACACACACACACACACACACACACACACACACACACACACACACCTCAGTATCTCACTATACATTCATCTTGTTTTGAAATATACTTACATAAGCAGCAGTGGGAAAGCCAGAGAAGTTAATCAGAAGTGAATTTAAATGTCATGAATAATCATTTCACAGCAGCAAAGTGTCTCCATTTATACACATCTATGTCTGTAAACCCTTGTGAAAAAGAAGTGCACTTAACTGTATTGAATGTACACTTGTAATGTACATCAAATCTAAAAAAATATGTAAACAACTCACAGATTACTGAAATAAAGTGTTTCAAGAATCAGACAATAATTTTTAATACTTTGTGTGTGGGGAGGAAGATCAAAGAATTTTTTTTAATGAATTCTAAGGAAAATGCATGAATATTTAGGGAAAGTTGGACTGTAGTTGCATGGTGATAATGAAAGTACAGAGCACAGATCTATGCCACCCATCACTTGATTTAATGGCAGCCACCCCAAGAAAAAATTAAAATTAAAAAGCTATTAATATTGATACAGGAACAATGCATTTTGCAGTAAGAGAGGGAATTGTTTTTTAATCTTCAAATTTGCCTATATTATTCTATTATTTCTATTCAAACAGTGCAAGCAGGCCTCACAATAACAATGCTTATCGAAACAAATTCATTTTGGAATGTAAAAATAGGGATTTTTCTCGCATAGCCCTATTTGTATTTAGACAACATTTCTTGTCCTTGTCACGTGAACTAATATTGACATATGGTCAATATTAGTCACTAGATGGCAGTTCCACGATAGAGGTGACATTGCTGGAGTTAGACACACGATAAGTCCTACTAATCGATCCCGCGCATATTCATTATTTATTTTGTAGGATGCAATTGAAAGTTCGTTCGTTTAATGTACATTTAGATCAAAAAAGGTCTCATTATAATTTTTTTTACAGAACATTACATAGAATGCGGTGAATAAATAGCTCGATTCTGATACCATCTATTAGTAATGTCTTGTTAAACTTCCGGTATGGGCATCATGGCGACTTACAGTAGAAGCGTCATGTGAATAATTTTAGCAGCGGTTTCTATCAGTTTATTTGATTTTAAAAGGTGATAAATGGAGTAACTAGATTTTAATTCAAGATCGATGGCCAAAATGTTGCGTTCTACACGTATGTGGGGTATTTTCACACGGAACACAAATGTTAATGTTATAAAGTGGGCTTCAGCATCCTCAAATGAGCGAAGATCATCTGTCCGTCCTTCTGAGAGAGTGCATCAAGGACCCTTGAGATTCTTTAGTGAATCAGTGACTTTATCACCTCCGAGATGGACTGAGAGCAACTACAAGACTAGTTCAGACGCATCTGCATCTGATCGTGTGAATGAGGAAGATAACGTTACCAGTGATGTGTTTGGTGATTATTCCAGAAGTTTCTCCTCCAGAAGAACCTTTCGCAAAACATCCCCAGAGCTGCTGGATATGAGATACAGGGATGAGGATGACACGCCGCTGGTGCAAAAGTTCAGGTCCAAAACTGGTCGGAAAAATACAACATACTGGTATTTCCTCCAGTGTAAAAGGCTAATCAAAGAGGACAAAGTACGTTGTCAAAAACACGTGATTTTAACACATCCTTACCGTGGCAGTACTGTACATGAATTATTAATATTAAACCATAATAATTATATAGAAGGTTACTTAATTGTACTTAACGAGAGTACATTTTCATGACTGTTTTAAAAAGTGCACTTTGCAATAATTTTAAATGAAATTTAAAAAAATTCTTTAAAGTATTTTTTTTAAATCATTATGGTTTAATAATATCATGCTTTAGAAGAACACTTATTTTGATGTTTTGTCTAACATATTAAAGGACTTGTAATTTTATACTTTTAACTGTAGTGTATTATTTTATTTTACATTTTACATATGTACTAAATTGCAACTTCAACTAAATGCATATTTGATATAAATATTAGCTATAACACATTTTCATCTAATTTCATTTAACATGCAATTAAGTGTCTGAGAGCATAATTTAGTTTGCACTTAAGTATGTTATAATAATAACTATTATTATTAATTTAGCTTGCACGAGTATGTTCCTTAAAAGTGTATTATTTCCCTAAAAAGTACTCTATTATGCTATTCCCATGTTGTTGTGTGTGTGCCATGTATATACAAGTAGGTTGTATATCGAAGAATGTCTCTGTATCATATAAACCAATGCACACTTTATTCTTGTTTTGTCTAGCTGGCTGAGGCATTACTTCTGTTTGAGGCTGATATGCTCAAAGGTGAGAGATTACAGGCTGAGGAGTACAATTACACCGTTCTCATCGGCGGATGTGGACGTGTGGGCTACCTAAAGAAAGCCTTCCAGCTGTACAATAAAGTAAGATGGTAATGCACACTTCACATTACGATGCTCTTTGATACCATTATTTATATTAGGTGCTTCTAATGATGTATAAATGATGATACACTGGATCTTAATTTAATTCTGTTGTTATGTTATGCAATGTTACCACTCAGATGAAGAAACGAGGGGTAGAGCCATCAGATGCTACATACACTGCACTGTTCAATGCTTGTGCAGAATCACCATGGAAGCAGTCAGGGTTGGACCAGGCACTAAAGCTTAAGCAAGAGCTTATCAGGAAGAACATCCCTCTCAGTGCCATAACCTGGCAAGCTTTACTCAAAGCAGTCGCTCTTGCTGGAGATCTGAAGTCGTGCTTTCAAATTCTGCGGGTACTAACTAATGTCACAACACATTTTAGTTTTGCTTTTGAATTCTTTTTGCTCTAACACCACAGTAATATCATTTGGTTTGTGTAAATGCATGCATAGGAGATCCTTCAAAATGGACAACCCATCACACAAGAGACATTTCATTATCTGCTGATTAGCTGTGCGAACGACAAGCAGCATGGGTTCAGGCTGGCTTTACAGGTACTTACACACACCTACGGACTAGAAACACACGTTAGCATTAATACACATGTTAGCATTGATGCACAGAAATTCATTTTTTAACGAAACACAGAAAACCCGAAATTAACTTTTTTATTTAGCCGAAAATTGAAACGCAAGTATTGATAATTACATTTGGGTAATTTAACTCTTTATCCTGTTCAGAATGTTGTGTTCTTAGGCGATAAAATAAAACCAGTCGTAGTAAAGGTTTTCAGAAGGTAACAAACCTATTCAAATTTCAGCTGAACAAATTTTACATACTGCTACTCTTACATCATGTTTGGTCACAGTAAAGTGTGTCCACACTGCTAAAATGATTTATCTTATCCACGTGTGTATGAAATAGACACTGACACAGTCAAAACACGTCATTAGAGAAGTGCTAATAAAATCAACTTTTGGTCATTTTAAGTTAGTTAGTAAGTATTAGTAAGTTAGTATTATTTTATTGTTATTTGTTTTGTAGGTGTGGCACCAGATGCTTAGGATTGGAATAAAACCAGACACTCAAAATTACACCATACTCCTGCGCATAGCACGAGATTGTGGAATAGGTGATCCTGGTCTGGCTTCTGCGTTACTGCTGAAGAGAAATGAAGAAGTGACCCCAAAACTCACAAGTGGAAGGAAAAGCCGTCGGACAATGTCCAAAGGGGGGACATTGTGTCAGCCTTTAGATATGGATGCATTTGAGAATGAGCTGTTTGTAGACACACACACACAGGGCCATGGGCAAGCCAAAGAGAGTGATTTCACCCTTCTAAAGGAAAAAGATTCATGCAGAATAGACACATCTCAAGATGAGACTCGAGTGGTGCCTGTATTATCAAGTGGCTCTCTGACCTGTCAATCACATTTACCAACACAAAGTTCCCACCTCCCAAACCTTCTGGACCCCAGCACGTGCCACTCAGGTGTGGTTGCCTTGGGTCCTGTGAATAGTGCTTCGGATAGACTTGCTCTGATTGGAAATCTTGGTGGTTTTTTGGAGAAAATGGCCAAGGATGGACTGGAGCCCAACATAAAAACCATCACACTATTGGCTGATGTCATGGAAGCTGGTAGCCAATCAATGCAGAGTTTGATTAATGTGGCCAAAGAGAGTGGTGTCAAGCTGGATGTGACATTCTTCAACACTATGATCAGAAGGGTGGCCAAAGTTGGAGACTTGAATGGGGCTAAGGTTAGAAACACAATTAATCATCTGTTCATAATGTTCCAGTAATGTTTCTTTTATAAAATAATATATTCCTGTAGCTCAAACAGTAGAGCATGTCAGCCTACAGTTTAGCCATGTCGAAAACAGCATCGTCATTTGTCAGCATTTCATTTCCTTTGCATTTTTAATTATACTAAGAATAATAATATTAATAATAACACATACAATAACAAATTGCTATTATTATTATATAATTAAAATTGCATAGATGTAAATAAAAGCATCTGCCAAATGCATAAGTGAAAATGTAAGTAAGAACTACTTTCTCTCTTTTTAGGCAGTAAAAGCCCTTATGGTTGACAGAGGACTGGCTGCGAACACTCAGACGTTCTGTTGTATTGCTCTGGCTTGCCGCAGACAGAAAGATGCGATACAACTCTTTACTGATATGGAGGTATGAAAACCAATTTCATTCTTTTAATATTCATTTTTTCATTTTTGAGTTAAATATTTAAAGGTTCTTTTTCTTTTCTTTTTTTACTTTGATCCGCTCTTATTTTCTTTGTCTTGTTTTGTGCAGTCTTGTGGACTTGTGCCGAATGCTCATGTATACAGTGCCCTGATCAGCCAAGCATGCAAGCGTTTGGACTACGCTTATCTACACGAACTTCTTCTACACATGACCAAACTGCAGGTGCCGCCCAATGATGTCATCATCAGACAGCTGGAGTATGCATCTCAGTATCCTCCTTCTTATGACAAGGTTAGAAACTGAAAGAGGCAATCTCATATCACCCAAGATTCAATATTTGTATTTTGTAACATGTTATATACCGAATACAACTTGTGAAACCAGGTCAGTTATAAAGTAATAGTAATAATAACATAGCAGTACGGTAAGTAGGATTACATGGTATTATTCTTAAGGTAATTTAATTAAATAATTATTTAATAAAGTAATTTAAAAGCACATCTAAGGTTCAGTAAAATTGAAAACATGCAATTTGTGGATGTTTTTCAGCATGTTATTGACCTTTGAGCAATATTCTATATGGACTTCCGTGGATTAATTATGCCTTCTATATCTTTCTTTCTTCAGTTAAAATCACGGAACATATACCTGGACAAGATTGATGGATTCCGTGGTTTTTACAGAAAATGGCTGGAGTTCATGCCTGGCCAGGAAACTCCACACCCCTGGGCAAAGTATCGATCCCCAAAACCAGAAACAGAACAAGATGGAGTCACCTCACAAAATCAAGTTTCTGAATAAATCAAATTCCTGAAATCTGTGTGTTAAAGTGTATGAGGATAATCTGAGGCTGATTTTGCATATTTCATGTAATAATTGTAGATATGATTTGTATACATTAAATCATTGTATTTATTTTAGTGTTTGTCTCATTTAAAAAAAAAAAAAAAAAAAAAATCATCACCATAAAATGACACAAATCTTTATTCAGGATGTAACTAAATTAGTGAACTAGCAGGATATTTCAGTTGGGTCATGGTCACGCTCTAACCTTGAAAGGCAGATAGCTTTCGTTTGTCCACAACAAAAAACTATGTAAAAAAAATATAAATTTCAAACGGCTTGTAACCTCCAGGATTTATGTAATTGCTTTCTCATTATCTATAATTGGAGACAAATCTAATATAGATTGAAACTGCTACACTGAAAAGTCTACACTTACAGTGCCTGTGAAGTTGCTCAGGCATTTAATAGATGATCTTCATGAGGTGCTGTCCTGTTGTAATAATAAAAAGCAAAAATATGGCAGCATTTTTAATTAAGATTGTGTTAATATAACTAAATGCAAATCACTTTTAGATTTATTAGGGCCCCTGTGGGAGTTTGCTGAGGCCCCGTGATTGAGAACCACTGATAAATTCAGTTAAATGGATAGCTGTTAAAATTGACAAAAAGTTTAAAAAGAGCTGCACAGGACATTTAACTGGATTTGCAATTCTCTTAACGGACAAGAGTGAGATGTGAAAATTGTCTATCTATGATACACAGATGACAAATCTCATTATATTTGGTGTGTATTTTGAACAGCTGAGATGGAAGTATAGTATTTTTTTTATTAGAAATATACAATATTTTTGTGGTTTGAGAGCAATTTGAGCTGAATTAAGAAATTGTAAGTCTGTACAAGGTCATTGTTTGGTTTATCATTGAACATTTACTAGTCTATTCAATGTACGGGAATATTACGTCTGTATATATTCTTCTTTAACTTGTATTTTCTATCAATATTGGACACATTTGAAGTATAGGCTTATAAAGTGAATTTTAAAAAAATCTAATTGTACGTGCGCCACCATTACAAAGAAAGGAAAAAGATAATGGAATAACTGTGGCAAGTGTTTGGGAAAGAGCCAAATAAAGAAGAGGATGGAAGCTGCGATTGGGATTGTTAGATGTTCTGCAGGCATCTCGGCTTTGTTGTCTTGACCAATAAAGTCTATGGAAAGTTTTGGAATCTGGAATTTTTATTAGAAATATAGTATATGTTTGTAGAATAGCCTAGGAGTAATATGAGCAAAACCAGGAAACTTTAAGCTGTCTTCCTAGGGTACGAGTGTATTAAGAGAAATATCATTTTACTATGTGTGTTGAAGCAATACCACTACTTATACTTGATTAATTTTGTTAATCTTACATGAGTTACTTTTAGTCATGAAAGATACATTTTGTTTTTGACATATATGCGTGTGTAAATCAATTTGTTTTTATTGTATGCATTGAGATCAGACACTACTTTTATTGTTACTCAATATTTGATGCTTTTGAGAGAGGGATTAGAGGAGGAGGAGGACAAAGTAATTGCTTCTAGAGAAAGTAAACTGTTTAAGAATGTAAGGGGACGAACGAACGGTTTCAAGAAGGTCGCTGCCCAATGGAGGTTACATTATATGAAATACATGCAAGGGTTAGATTTTGACTGGAGATTATTGACACAAATGAAAGGCCTCAAGTAACTACACAACACAGGCCTCCTACCATCACACTCTTGGTAGAAGACTCAGATATATTGCCCTTTTTATCTCTTTATTGTCTCTCTCTCTCATGCTTATAGTTTTAATCCGTGAGAAACAACTTGTGAATAATGCTTCTTTCTGTAGTCAAGGTCAGTAGGCCTGGAAAGAGTCTAGGAAGTCAGATAAAATGTTTCCAATTAAAAAATATTTAATTGGCAGGTGGGCATATTGTGGGATGCTGAGGAAGACCAATGTGGATGAAGATGAACCGGAAAGTGTATATGATAAAAGGAAGTAGGAGGCCTTATGATAATCTGTTCATTTGCTTATCCAGTCAGTTTTGAAAGTCTTAGTTCAATGATAATTGAATATGTATGATTTTACTGAATAATACTCTATTTAGCATAGAGCTCTTTGTTTTTGCTCTCTGAGATGTTTTGGTTGTAAGAGAGACAGATTGTGATTGTGAAAGTGTATTTAAATTTTATCACTGAGTGGCAGACTTTAATTTTATTGGGGAATTTCCAGCACAGCTGCTCTCTTGATTGAAATTTTGCATCTCAGTCTTCCTGGGGTACAATTTAAATGCACTTTTTAAGTTTTTTTTTTTTCTCTCAAAAAAGTTGGCAGTGTGCCGCCTTTAAAAATAAACCGAGAAGGTTGGCTGGAATGGGGATGGGCCAAAAAAGAAAAAGTGGAAAATACCTAAGTTCCCTATGACTGGTCAGAACAAATTGAGAAAACTGTATGTAATAGAGAGCTATGACTGAGGTGGTCACATAGAGCTGGCATCACATGGCTTTGTCGCATGGAACAAGAAAAGCTTTTGGCATCTGGAATTATTGGGAATATATTTATATTATTTATTTTTTGCAAAGAGAGAAGACTTTCCACAACCGAAGTAGGTAGTAGTATGGATAGGTCTAAATTTTCCCTTAAACGTTAAACTAATGACCGTGTTTTTCCAACGCTAGACATTTGTCTTTATACTCATTATTTTAGAATCATTAGTAAATACGTGACAAGAAAGAAAAAATATTTAATTTTGTCAACACTACCGATGATTTTGTAATGAATTGAATATAAAAGGAATTATAGTGAAAATTAAATTAAAATTGAACTGGGGGAGGGCAAGACACTGACACCATTTCCGGTTTGCCAGAGTCACGTGAATCAGCAAAAGCGCCAAACTTTGAACGCGCGCAGTCGAGGGGTCATTTCGACAAAATATGTAAGTTTAATTATCTAAGTTACAGAAAACTCGAACAAAGTAAATGTTAAAGTTTTTTTTATACGAGACACACGCAATGTTATTTGAGTTAGGCTGGTATTCGAGGTCGTTTCTTCTCATTGTCTGTCATGTTCCGAAGGACGCAGCACCACATACCTATAATCATTTTGAGCGATGAAGATGATGATGAAGGTGACTCCTTGATGGCCCTCAACGATTCCTCTGTGCTTATCGTTGAAAATGAGAGGAACGAAGCAGGTACTCTGCGTTACACACATTTGATCATAAACAAAACTAAAAGTTACCACTATGACCATTCATATGCACATACAAACGTTATAGCATGGCAATACCATTTTTTCTCTAACACGAACTGTAGCAATCCCATGGGTTTTCAAAATTACCATACCATGTTAATAAATATTTTTGTTTGATATACCATGGCAGTACCTCTTTGTATACCATATGGTAATCATTCAGTACCATTGTCATCTCTCTGCTTCTCTTTGTTTTCTGTTGATCTCAGATATATCCAAACATATTGAGGAGTTGGATGAGGACTTGGCCATCACATACTCCCAAACAGCAATAGTGCTTCCACATGCTAGATACGACTGCACCCTGGCTTTCTGGTCAGTAAAATAAGTGAGGCCACTGTTCTGTGAAGGACTTGTGTTGTCTGTGATTGTTTATGTGTGTCATTGCGTGTTTGCTTGTTCTAGTCGGGCAGAACAGGACGTCTCAGGACCTCTACAAAATAATGCAAAGCACTGTGATCAGTGTTTTTGCTACATCTGTGACAAACTGGCCTCCACGGTGAGTTCACTAGCTTCAAACCTAAAACTCAACCACACAGACTCACTCTCATCTATCTAGGGTTTATGTTAGTTACTAGGGGTGTAGCAATATATCGTGTCACAATATATTGCAATACAAAAATGCAACAATATGTATCGTGGATAGTGACTATATGTATTGTGTATAGTTCACCCGAAATAAAAATGACTGTGTGAGAAAAAAATTCAAGTTTTTAGAGTTTTAGTGTCAGTACATTAAACTACTATAATGTTGAATATAATGTATAATAATAATGCAATGGGGGAATATGTGTGGGTCCTGATAATGTTAAATGTCTGTTACCAGTAAAAAGTGGCCTACATTATTTTAAATATATCTAGTCAGTGACAGAGTGCATACATATTCATCTAAAAATATTTCTGTATTTTCAGCTTCAGAATCACAATTATTTTATTCTGGTGTCACAATTGTCCTGTGCATTAGGTTACCAGCACCAAGTCCAAGCCTATTCATTTACACATCCAATGTAATTCCAAATTTAGCATTTTAATTAACAGTTCATTTTTTGTTAACCTTTTATCATATGTCTTGGAGTATCGCAATAATATCATATCGTGAGTTCAGTATCGTGATATGTATCGAATCGTGACATGAGGGTATCATTACTACGGTGGCCGAGAGAGCTCAACGCGCTGCAACTGAAGAAAACGCATGCAAATAGAAAACAACGCGTGCAAATAAAACAAAACACATGCAAATAAAATAAAACGCATGCAAATAGAAAAAAACGCATGCAAATAGAAAAAAAACGCGTGCAAATAAAAAAAAACACCTGCAAATTAAGAAAACATCTTCATCCGTTTCACAACACACGTGTGCTCCAAATACTCACAACACCACCAAATACATAAACGCGCTGCAAATAACACAGAACACAACGGAAATGTTTCCAGGGGAACCAAATAAGTGACGAACCCGGCTGGGACGTGCTGGCATAGAAATCCATAAATCTATGCGTGATGGTGCTTACAGCTTAACATTATACTTTATTTATTTGTTTATTTATTTATTTGTTTGTGCAAAACATACAGAAATTAAATTTTTTATGACATACAACTTGTATACAATGTACAAACTGTATTAACAATTTGTTCAATGTCATCAGAATACAAATGAGAAAAGAACAATGAGCTGGAAACTAAAATAAATAAATAAAAAAGATAGAGAAGAAAATCATGAAGGAAAGATCTTTATCTATACACCAGTTACACTGTACAAATTGTTTCATGTTATTACATTTTCATAAAGAAAAGTTTCGTAAGAAATGTTAGGTAATGTAGGGTCCAACATTTTAAAGTTGAGACACAGATATATAACGCATATTTTAAAAGCTTTTTTTGTAAACTAAAAATAAAAATGTATTTGCATCCGTTATGTTAACAGCATCATATTTCTGTCGTAAGACCAGCTGATGGACACCGTGCTGCGTTGCCATGGGAACATCCCACGTTGTCTTTAGTTGCTCCCTTCATCAAGTGCGCTCCACACGGCTGCCTAACAGCCCACTAGAGCCTTGCTCACTCCAAAAGGGCTCTGCAATCTGCCCTTCGAAGGGAGTATGGCATAGGGAAGCTCACGAGCAATAACGTCTCGGCCGGGTCCGTCACTTATTTGGTTCCCCTGGAAACATTTCCGTTGTGGTCTGTGTTATTTGCAGCTGTTTTCTGTATTTGGTTGTGTTGTGAACTTTTGCAGCGCGTTTCCTTATTTGGAGCACACGTGTGTTGTGAAACTGATGAAGATGTTTTTTTTAATTTGCAGGTGTTTTTTTCTATTTGCACGCGTGTTTTTCTATTTGCATGCGTTTTTTTCTATTTGCACGCGTTTTTCTCTATTTGCATGTGTTTGCTTCAGTTGCAGCGCGTTGAGCTGTCTCGGCCACCGTACATTACACCCCTATTAGCCCCTCATAAATAATGGCAGTGTATAATCATAATGTCCCCCAAATCAGAAGGGACAAAAGTGAATACAATTTTGTATACAGAAAGTGAATCATGTTTTAGCACCATTAGGATTTTTTTATTGTGACATTTGTGTTAAATGTGAGCGAAAAAAAAATCCTCTTATTTTAATCCTGTCCAGACAGTATTATTATTATTTTAGAAGTTAAAAAACGAATACTACTATGTATTATATACTGGTTTTACAATTAAAAAAAAATTATGTGTATATATATATATATATATATATATATATATTTTTTTTTTTTGGTCTAATAAAAATGTGACTGGAAATTTCTTTTTTCCTGTAGACAGTTTCTTCGTGTGGTGTGTTGATGGATACTAGGCCTGATTTGTGTTATTCCCTCTATACTATACCAGGCTAAAAACAAGGCCACTTTGGTGTTTGTGAAGCATTGGTAAAGTGCTATGACTTGACTTGTGTTTTAAAGTGTGAGTTTTGGACCATCCCCGGCATTTGCCACTGTAATAGCCATAAGCACAGCGTCTACTGGAAGGCCCTCCGGGATAAGAGCCTGATGGGATATCTGCACGAGCTGAACTTCTCCTTTGAGCCGCTGGATATGGATTCAGACCTACGACGTGCAGGTATGTTCTCTCTCACGATTTAAACTGCAGATTTATTCTCTTAGAATAGGACCTGTGCCAGCCTAAATATTACAATTGTGTGTGTGTTTGTGGTAGAGGCTTCACTGCACAAATTTGCTGGTAGTTTGGCAATGAAGTATGCAACTTTCTTGTTGGGGTTTGAGAATTCGAACCGTCCAGGCTGTCGGTGCATCTGTCACCGCAACAATAACGACACTACACAGTGTCAAGCCTTTGGATGTAAAGGATGCCATAAACATCACTTTAAGATTCTGGAGTTTGAGTGAGTGGTCCTCCTTTTATATTATTTTTAGTATAATTTTGCTATCTGCTTTATAAAATTGGAAATCGGTCACAATTTGGTTAATTACGGTAATGTAGGTGCAATTGATAAACTGTAAATTAAAGAATTGTGTTTTGGGTAAGAAATTAACATTACATGGGTTGTTATTGCAGTATTAGTAACTTGATTTTTAGCATGACCAATAGTAATAGTGATTCTTAAGGCTGGAATACACAACACGACTTTAACCCCAATTTGCAGTCTAGATGAGTCGACAATAGTTGCCGGAAGTCTGTGCCAGTCTGCAGGTTTTGGACAGTCGGAGTTGACAGAATTCACAGAAAATCACAGTGTATGATGGGCAGAGACTCTGATTTTTAGCTTCAGGCTATGATTTCATCCAGTCGCAGGATATCAAAACATGTTTGATATTTTGAGCCGATTTGAGAACAAAAATATGTGCACTAGTAACAGAACATCAAATTAGCCTCAATATTTGACTCATTGGGTGCTTCTCAATTCTTATTTGTGCATCCTCGTTACCTTTCCTTGCGTCTCAGCTCCACCCCTGTAGGATGCGAGGGAAGGCTGCAAGGAAAGAAAAGGAGGATGGATGAAAGCTTTTTTTATACATTGGAATACTTGATCACTCGAGCGTCACTTCCCAGCGTCATCAGCAGCGCTCAAAGGATCTGCCCTTATGTTGTTTTAGTTTGTTTATTTAAGAAATTCATACTAATAATAATAAATCAAGATACCCTGTTGAAATATGTGAGATGTGTGGTTTATTTAAACTGCAAAGGTAAAGTATAAATTAAAGTTATTGTGACCGATGTGAAGGGGGAGGAGAATTGATACGTGCGTCACGTTTAGTCGGTAAAACTCTTCCGCAAAGGATCCACCTGTGTATCCTCGCTCATAACTCCTCTCGAAGCCTCCTCGATCCTCGCGCCTTGCGGTGCAATTAGAGAATTGAGATGTCCTTCAAGATGGCTGAGCTCGATCAGTTTCCGGGTCATAGGATGGAGGAGCGAGGAAACGAGGAGGGATATTGAGAAGCACCCATTGACACACAGATAAAACAACTGACTGCGCCACTCACCTAACTTCCGTTGTAATCTTTAAAGTATAAGCTGACTGCCTCAACCTCATTCAAATGGGCTTAAAGCCTGGAACACACCAAGCCGACGCCGACGAACTAGCGCTGATGAAAGCCGACTGTTGTCGCCTCGCGTCGGGGTAAAAAGCTGCACTTGAACACACCGAGAGAACTACTGGCGGCTGTTGGCTAGAATGCGCGTTCTGCGCCTACGTGTAAATGAGACTGTCTATGCAGATATATTCGTCTATATTCGTCATTCAAAAAGGGAAACCGAGGCTGCAGATACACATACCGTGAACAAAGCAGTGCGTGCTTACCGTTTTGAATATCAATCCTGCTAAAACCTTTCTTTATTCCATTCTTCGCTCATGTTAATATTGAAATACTCGCCAAGCAACACTCATGTAAGATGACGTAACATAAGCCTTCTATCTGTACCCTTTTGACTTCTTTGCTCACTGTTTTGCTATTATTCTCGTGCACTGACTTGTTCACTAAGCTGAACAGCCAATCAGAGTTCCCTCTTTCACCGATGGCCCGACGCCGATTCAACATGTTGATTCGGCCGAAAAAAAGCCGACGAGGACCAATTTCAGCCAACGGTGCGGAACTGAGAAGACTTAATCGAAGACTTAATAATTTTTTCCACTGTAAACATTTACAAAGTCGGCAAGTGTACGATGCCTAGTGTTTTAAAATCTGTTCAGATTTTAATAGTCGTGTAGTGTATTCCAGCCTTTAGCGAACACCATACTATACTAAAGTTGTTTATTTTCTCTCTTTTTTTTTTTCAGTTACACTGTTGTGAGTCAACATATCAAACTGTTTTTTAATGAAGCAAAGAAAGAGAATCCAAAGGCTTCTGTTGTGATGCTATTAGGCGCTATCAAGCTGTTCGTCACTCACACTGTTCCTGGGTAAAATACTATACACTATTGCATACTCTGACCCCTGGTTATGGTATATAATGCATATACGTAATAATTACATATCTTGGTTTATGTCTCCCTTGCAGAAATGTACATGCTGCTATCACTGTGTCTGAAACCGTGTCAATGCTCCTGTGGAGGTAATGCAACAAACATGTACTTTTATGTTTACTTGGAAAGTTCCTTTTGAATTTTCTAGTTTCCTTATAAACTGTATGTTTGTCTTCCAGATTTATGACGAAGGTGTGGACGCTTTTAGTTGACTTCGATTTTTCCAGCACTTTCATAAAGCAACTGGAGTTTTTCTTCCTGGGGCTTCCTCTGCCTTCAAACTCCACATTGCCAAAAAGGTAACAACACATACATGTGCTGTAACTTGGGTTTGGAAAAGCCATGCACTTTTTGCTTCTTGAAGAAAATTGAATCCAAGATGATAATTTCAGTCAGTCATCATTTGCTCCCCTTATGTTGTTTCTGAGATTTTACTTAATACAATAATTGTTCAGTTGTGGTCTGCCATTGTTTTGTTGTTTAATGCTTAAATTGTCTTTTCTTTGGTTGCAGTCTGAGTGTGCTTCCTTGGGATGACCCCTTGCTTTCTGGCGTGATAAAAGGTCAAAATATCACTGGAGAGAGGCATGTCAAAGGTCGAAAGCATCAAGTCTTGTATGAACCTCTGAGCGTGATTCAAGCGAGAGTCTGTAAACTTCAACAACAAAACAAGTAATGGCCCTTCCTTAGTGTACTTTTTATGTTTTATTTACTGCTTATCAAACCTCTTAATTTACTTCAACGATATATGAAATAAACCTGCACAGAATCCGCACATGCAGAATTCCAACGAAAGAATTCATACATCTGTCATTCACAAAATGTTATGCATACTTAATGTTTCAGAGTAGTGAAAAAATACAGTTTTAGTTGAATCTACCTTTATTTAAATGATATAAAATATTTAACAATGATCAGAAATAGTGTAGCACTGTGTTTAACACATTCTGCCCTTTTTATAGAGGACCTATTATGCTTTCTTACATTTTCAACTTTCTTTAGTATGTAACATTGTGCTTTGTAATGTTGCTGTTTGAGCATGAAAAAGGTCCACAAAGTTCACTTCAAAGGGAGTTATTCTCTATATCAGTGTGCACTGATTCTGTATTACTTTGAAACTCCTCAATTGTAGTGTTGAGTTTTCTTCACAAACACGTCACGTCACAGTATTCCTCATTTAGGCATACGCAAAAAAGGGGGAGATGCCTGATTGAGTTGTGTTAGTAGTGTGTTGCAACCGGTGGTTATGGTAAGGGCTGTGATGTTTCTGAATCGCGCTCAAAGCGGTTGACCAATCACAACACACTGGTTCAGCACATTTAGCTTTTCGGAAGGAGGGGCTTAATGGAGACAGGAACTAATCAGAGCTTTACTGACAGTCTGGGAAAGAGAAGTGCTGTAACAATCTAATATGTGGAATATTTTTTCCACATATATTACATATGACAAACATTTTTTGAACATTCAAGCATGAAAACCTATTTAAGTAGACCACAAAAGCAAGACTTTATAAAAGGGCATAATATCGCCTTTTTAAATTAATTCTGGGGATTTTTCCTTGTAAACATCACAGAAAATGTAGGGCAAAAAGTTTGTAGATTCTGTGTAAGGCCAATGATTATTATTTAAGTTTGAGTTTATTGTGTTAAGTGTTATTGCTTAGGACCTCGCTAATCTTAATAAAATAATAATATTAATAATCTACCCTTTTTTTAACACGTTAGGTACCGTGAGCTGGCTCGCTATCTGAAAGTTGTCAGAAGTACCAATAATCCCACGTGAGTGCCAGCTGCATATCATGAACATTGTTGTCATATAAGCAGAACATTATTACAATTTATGGTACAATCTTTCATTGTATGTCTGTCTGTCTGGAATTTAGGCTGCAGAAAATGAGAGACTTGGTTCCCCTCTACCTGTGCAAGGTACATCAGAATAAAGCCTTTTCCTTCAGTGCTTTCTACCTTAATTAATATACCTCAGTTTTATACACTAATTTTAGACATTTAAGTCAGGACTCTTAGGAGTTTTCTAACTTTTTGATGCAGAGGATTTGTGGCTAGTATGGTGATCCACACACCCCTACAAGGACACCCTTCAGAAAATATAATTGATCTTAAATATATAATTTGTTAAAGGTAAATTATTGTGACAATGCCTTGTGTTAAAGGAATAGTTCACTTCAAAATGAGAATTGTCATCATTTACTCACCCTCAACTTGTTTCAAAACTGTATGATTTTTTCTTCTTCTGCTGAACACAAAAGAAGATATTTTGAAGAATGTCGGAAACCAAACAGTTGATGGACCCCATTGACTTTCATAGTATTACCCACCCCCACCCCCCCCCCCCACCCCCACCCCCCCCTACTATGGAAGTCAATGGGGTCCATCAACTGTCTGGTTACCAACATTCTTCAAACTATTTTCTAGAAGAAAAAAATTCATACAGTTTTGAAATAACTTGAGTGTGAGTAAATGATGACAGATATCTCATTTTTGAAGTGAACTATTCCTTTAACTGCATTCCTGTTATGTTTGTGTGTTTAGGTTGCCGACTACAGTGGTGCGGTCCACACAATGTTATCGCCAATGCTCGGTGCCTCTTGCCCCGCCTCCCGACTCACACCTCCACAGTTCAAAGCTTACCTCAGAATTTTTACATCAGGCCAAGTCCCTGATATACCACAACAAGAATTTGATCCAGGAAATGACCATATTATCATACCTGATCCTTTACTGAGCACCAAGTGGACACCCATTGAAGGTAGAAAATTGACTTTTGAAACTGAATTGAAAAGTGTTTATCTAAATGACATCTGCTGAAAGGTTAGCCAGGCTCTTGTTTTCCTGCATTTTTATGAATCTTCCCTTTAACATATTCTATATTATTTAAGCTCGTCAACAATGAACGTTTATGCTGAATATCAACCCTGTTTCTTCAATAAAGGTTTAAATTCATTCAAGATGATGGAGGTTTTGAAGTTTGCACTGAGGGTTCTGGACTGTAACGCTGCTGTTTTTGCAAATGTAGGTAAAATATTATGTAATGTTTATTTTATATAACTTAATCCACCTTATTTTTTAATGTAAGAGCAGGCACTGCCATTTGTAAATCTACCCTATTGTTCCGAATATAAGATGACCCCCCCGTTTCAAGATGTACCATTTGGAAATAGATTTTTTGAAGAACAAAACTTTTCTTTTAAAGAGAATACTTTATTTGAAAATCATTTTCATATTGCACATTTTTCATATTTAAAATTATTTTTCTGGTAAAATGTAGCAACAACAATCACATTCAGAAACAAACACTTTATAGCTACCATAAAAATCAATTGAAGTTCTCTTTTATTAGATTTCACAATGACTGATTTCTCACCTTTTTTATGTACAGTCAGTGACAGATGTTGGCATGTAAAAAAACACAGGTATTTGATCCGTATTATCTGATCCAGGGGGATATGAATGTTTTTTCCTTTGGTCGATCACATAGTGCTGAAGTTCCTCCTGAAGTCGGAGGACAAGCGCTAATCCATTACGCTGCATCAAAGCGGCCGCTTCGAGGACATTGATAGGCAAGTGCGTCAATACGTAGCCGAAATAAGAAATGATGGGCCTCACTGATGGGTATGTTCAGCTCTTTGGCAATTTTCGATGCCTTCAGCTGGACGACGGCTCTGGTTATGGGCAATCCCTCATGTCTTTTTTCGGCTACGTACTGACACTTTCCTGTCAGTTTCTTTCTAAGCGGCCACTTTTAGGCGGCGGTGAGCTTTTCTTTGACTGTGTTAGCATTTTTAAGACTTATCCTTAACTCTTTTTGGGCTCGCCATCTTCTAACATTACACTCTGACACATCATATTTCTTGGGTGCTTAATGAGAGTTGTTTGACGACTCTGCGTTGATCAGTCCAGGGGGAAACACTCGTTTTACACATATTTGGCACTCCCCATTGTTGCGGGTGTATTTTTGACATGTAAAAGTTTAGACCCCGAATATAAGTCGACACCATTTTTTTCAGATGTATTTCCAAGAAAAAAACATTCTTATATTCTGAACAATACAGTATATTTATCGCTGGCCACCAAACTTTATTAACATTCTGACAGTGTTAAAGGCATTATTTAGCTGTTGCATATTGAATGTGTGGCAAACAGTTCAGCATCAAATGCCACCTATCATAAAAACATCAAAACCCATTGTGATTTCATATTAACTCTTCATATGTGCTTGTGAAGTCTGTTAGTGTGTACTTTTCAGATCTGGTGTCTTTTATGATGAATGTCTCTGTTTGTAGTCAGAAACCTGGGTGTATCTGCTAAGCGTTGTCAGTTCCAGTTTTATTACTCCAGATGGTCTTGTCGTTGGTGCATTCTATGCCGAGCCTGACGTCACCTTTCAAGTGGTGAGAAGAGTGTTTATCTTGTGTCTGTCAGGATGGAAAACATACTGAGATGTTTTGGAGACAGATAGTTATGCGTTTCTGTTCAGGTGACCAAAGACACTGCCAATACAATTCTCAAGGAGCTGACACTGACTTCCCGTATACAGATCCCCAAAACCTTTGAGAATGTGAGTTTAATGAATTAGTTCTTTGCAGTTTTTTTTTTTGCGTAAACCTTGGATTATTTGTGACTGACATTTATGTGGCAAATGACATTATCTATAAAGCAGTGTGTCTGATGCCCAATATAATGCCAGTATATTTATATGCATATAATGATAGTAAATGAGAAGCACAAAAAAAAAAAAACCATTCTTCTTCTTAGGCCTCTGTATAGGCCTGGCATATCTTAAATTATGATAAATAAAAAATACTCTTTAAATGCCAAATGGGGCAGATCAAACCAGTTATATATTATACATTGTTTTGTCTTATTGGTGCTATGTTTAAATGTTCTTTTTCCATTAGGGTTATCCTGACCAGGCTAGACTGCTGTTAGCAACTCAGGCTTTGGTGCTGCGCATTTTCCACTCTCAGCTCAGCCCCATCCTCGATGTCATAATTTCCTTCAGGGTGCTTATTTTCTGTAGTTATTAGTTAAATTCAGTAGTTTTGATTTTGTTTAGATTCATACGTGTAATTGTGTGTATGTGCCATTTGCCTTCAGTTCAACCACTGGGCGCTCCGTTGGTTCTTCAACAGTTTGCTGGGGAGGCCGGATGTGCTGCACTACCTCCTGTGCTGTCTTCTGCAGGAACTTTCTCATGAGGAGCAGTACCAACTCATTCAGGGGTAAGCCTGTGCTCACACACATACACCAAAACTGAACAAAAACATCTATGATAAGCATGTACATATGCTCTATATCTGTTTCAGAACATGGAGTGAAACTGAACATTCCCTAGTTGCATCCTTCCTCTGCTTGTACTTCGTGGAAAACAGTGTGGTTCTAGACTCCCACACCTATCCCATCAATAGCTTGCTTGCCACTTGGAATGAGTAAGAAGCAGCAGTCAATCACTATAGTAAATTCATGATATGTCATCTTTCAGCACTGAAGGATGTTTATGATGTAGATGTGCTGTACATGCATGAATATTAAAATAGGTTATTTCTAACTGAATATTGGAATTGTGTTGGACATTTTGGATATTTCTAATACACCTTATCCAGAGGGATATAAAAAGGAAGGTCGGGAATAAAACATGAATTCTACTATAAAGCAATTGGATAATTTTGTTCATATTAAATACATATCAACATAATATGAAGTTTTATTTGCATTCTATTTGATTTCAGATTGTACTGCCCTTGGCAATTAAGCTTGAGACTGCAACTTGAAAGCAATGTAAGAATCTTTTCCATTAAAGACTTGGTGTAATTTTTTTTTTACAAAGATATAATTAGATCTCAATGACTCAAGTGTTTTTAAGGTGAGCTGCTCTTCTCTCTCTTGCAGGTGGCCAGACTTACTACAGAAAAGCATAAAATCCTGCAAAAAATCCAACGCCGAGGAAAATAAGCCTGACCAACATCCTGAACAAATGAACATGCACTGCATTTCATTCCATGCAATAAGTTTGGATGAGATCTATGTTTCATTTATCCTTTATTATCTGCTGGGGAAATGTTTTATCCCAATGTTTTTGTTTGGCAAAGTGTAAGACACAATTCTTGACTTCGCTTTCAGACTCACTTCTAATATAACGGACATTTTTCAGGCAATTCAGTTATTCAGAATTTTAAAACTGTAAAAATTAAGAACTATCTTTATTATGTATATATTAACATTTGACTTTTTGACAAAATGGAAGAACTGTACAGTTTTAATGTACAGAAAGAGTGCCTCTAATATTTTCAAAGGTTATAAGCGGTAGTTCAAACATTTTTCATTGCCAAGTTTTTTTCTTTTTTGGGGAAATGACCAGTATTTTGTAACATTACAGTACTGTGATTAATAGCTGGAGCATGTAAAGCACAATTATATTCAGAAACAGAACAATATACAAATCTTTGAACATCAGCAGTAATGCAAATAAATGACAGTTTAAAATGCAACACTGAAAAGCTGTTTAATATTGCTTTGTTACAGATCATTTAAGGTTGTGAACTATGACGGTTCTTAGGGATCTTTGCAAAATATTACTGTAAATATTCTCTTCAACTGCCTTTTGTAAACGAGATTTCAAAGCATGCATAAAATGTAAAGACACAGATGGGCAAAAACAACTAGATGTGTAAGCTAAGTATAACTACTGTACAGTGCACAAATCGTTGACTAGTTTGTGTTTCAGTGTTTGAAAATGGAGGTTGTGGCGTAGCTGAATCGGAGGACATTGGGTGGAATCTCCATTAAGTTTAGTTTAATGAGCTCAGATAAATAGTTGAGGATTTTCTTATCATCTTTGTGAAATTCAGAAAGAAAACGTTTTGTCCATGTACTTTCCCGAGCCCTTCTGGGTGTAAGGCGACCATTTAAAAATGTTAAAAGGAATGCTCTGGTGACAAGCTTGCTTTGCACACTTTGAGCAAACATGAAGTAGGTGTTTCCACGTTTAAAGTTGCTCCTTGGATCCACCAGCAGGTTGATTAGAGTACCACTGTAGGTTGGGCAGCGCAGTGTCTTTTGATCCACATCTAGAACACTGATGTATCGGCTGTAATGGCCCAGGCAGTGAGGCAAAGTTGTGTGAGTAAAACAGCACATCCTGAGTAAATATAAAAAACAAAAATATTGTCAAGGTGGCTTCAACTTAGCTAACAGCGTTTATCCTAATGGCATTGCTGAAAGGGTAAGTAGATTCTTGTTTTTATGCATCCCAAGTAAAATGACCCTTTAATAATTACTGTATCATTTAAGCTCATCAACAAAGCAATGATTGTTTATGCAGTATATCAGTGGCATGCAACCCTGCTCCTGGAGATCTGTATTGTCAAGTCATGATGTATTGATCTTCCTTTAATACTATTTCTGCTGCAAATGAGAATACTGTCTCTCAGCCATTTATGAGCACTTCTTTTATTGCACACTTCTAAGCTAAGTTTTTCAAAGCTCATGATTTACATCAGTCCCCAGGCTTACAATGACCCAGACACCAATATTTAAATGATTCAGAAAAGATGAATCACTGGCCACCTAAGATTTTTAGTATGGCAGTAAAGGTTATGATCATGATTTGTAAGTAATACTACAGCCGCCCGTTTGAGTGTTTGTTGCTTTTTGTACCAGGAGTGTTTTGACTCGGAAACGGTGAAGTGTGATGTTGACTGCCCCCAATAAATGTCAGAACTAGCTAATTAAGATATTTGAGTTAAAAACAGGCATTCAAACAAGATTATGATGCTTAGTAAATGTTACCTATTAAAGCCGATGAGTTTCCAGTTGAGCAGGTCAGTAAGCTGCAGCGGCGTTGAAGTCCAAGGTTGAATGCTGTCTCTGTATCTACTCGGATGTGGCATGTACACAGACAGTGCTGTAACTAGTCGTCTCACTGCAGCCTCCTCGTTGCCTAGTACCACCAATGTTCTCCCACTCAGTAGGCTATACACTGCATGCACTGCAAAGGGAAACTGTCGCAAGAACTGCAATGCTGCCCGCCCTACTCTGCCACGCCTTCGTCTGGTCCCACCTTCTTTTTTTCCCCTGGGAAGACAAGCAGAGAAAGGGCATTCGGAGGTTGTGGAGGCAGTGGTGCTCCGATAGCTGAAGCAGTCTGACAAATCATCAGGTATTGTCCGACAGGGCTCCTCTGACAATGAGAGAGGGATCGATTCTGTTGCATGACAAGCATCTTGTAAGCTTAACCCACCCAGGGATAAAGTAATAGGACAGTCAGGTGGAGTCAGGGTGACAACAGGATAAAAACCTTGCGGCGACTCCAAAAAGGCACCTCCATGATCTCCAGGAACATTTCCCACCCCGAAAACACATTCAACATTTTTGTTGTCTTGTTTTTGACACCTGTCTTTCTCATCATTCTCTTGCTCTGGGCTTTCCTCATCAATTGCGCAAGGGTATAAGGCACGCAATTCTTCTTGTAGGATGGATTCTGTCGTGCTAAGCACCTCAATGCTGTCTTCACTGCAAGTCCGTCTGGTAGGTACCCTCCCTTGCCTTAGACCCTCCAGTGCAGCTGTAGTGGACAAAGGTGGTGGACTTTGCAGTGCCGTATCCATTGGTAAATTTGAACCTTGGGATCTGAAGGACTTCTCTGTCCCTAAGACTTCGATACTATCTCCACTACTAATACTGGTCTTCATCAAAGCTGAAACATATTCCACATTTTCTTGACAAACCAGAGCAGTAACTACTCCCTCATTTTCCATTTCAGCCTCTACTGGGGCGGTGTCGGATGTCAAGGGTAGGTTATGCTCGGAAGGGGTATTTACAGAGCTGGGTACAACTGGAGATTGGTTAGATCCAGCCAACTCTAGTTTGATTGGCACCATTTCAACACAGGAGGCATATGACTCAAGACTGACAAGTTCACTTAGAATTGAGGGTGCAGAAAGAAAGGACGGTTGTCGCACTGAATGTTGACCAGCTATTTCAGTCTGTAATCCAGCACCCTCTTCCAAGTCACATGGATCCTCAAATAAGAAATTGGTAGATTTAAGGTTGCGGAGAAGATTACGGCAGAGGAGTTGTGTGTAGAGATGGCAAATATCTCCTCTGAATGTCCTCTCTATGGAGTACAGTTGCTGTAGAGCCTGTTGGTGGAAGTAGTCGTCACACAATTCCTCGAGAGTTTTCAGACGCTTGTCAAATCGGCAAGATGAAGTGGGGTTAATCAGCTGCAGAGAATGCGAGGGTGTGTTTGTGTAAGGAAAAACATTGCATTCTAGCATTGGCTCAGCAAGCTGATCGTGCCTTAAATCATCCAGGTCAAGTTCCAGAGAATGAGGGAGGTCATCTGGTTCATAAGGGGAGTACTCAGAGTTTCTAAGCTTCCTGGTTGGATAGCAAGTGACCTGTTTTAAAAGGCTTTTATAATCCTGAATCGATTTTTCTACAGTGGCCAACTCCTGTTCTTTGTTAGCCAATGGCATTGGGCAAGATCTTTTATCCTGCTTGTCCCTTCGATCCCCAAACCGTTTATCTTTCTCGTGTGTAATACATGACCTATTCTCATTTTCAGATTCTACTTCCGCCTTTTTTGAAATCCCACTTCCGTCTTTCTCTTGTAATTTCATTTCAGTTTCACACTCATTCAGTTTCACATCTTCTGTATTTCTATCTAATGTAGGCATACCATTCAACATCCGTTCCCTTTCATTGGTGCACTTCACAGATGCATTATTGAACTCTCTTTCTATCTCTCTAAGTAACATGACTTTTGTATACTCCAGATCTCTTAGTTTTATCTCCAGTTCATTCGCAAAGTTCTTCCTGTTCCCCGTTTTCAGACATTCAGATACTTTGGAGAACTCTGTGGAAAGCTGCTGGAATTGTTGCATGATTTTATTCTCATCTGATGACACATAAGCAAGACAAAGTGGTCGTACAAACCCTCGAGCCTCCAGGTCATAGAGCGTAAGGTGGTGCACATATGCAAATGCTCCTTCTCTAGAATCCCCTAAAACTACCATTGAGTCTTCTACAAAGTTCAGTTTCAAAGAGCCACAACTTGCCGAGCTGGCGAGAGAGGACTGATAGTCCACTGACATAATCCGAAGGGAGAAGTGGTTCAAATCAAACGTCCCACACGCTTTGGTTTCAGGAGGAACAGTAAGCAAAGGTTGGGGCCCAACTTGCTCTGAAAACTCTGATAAAAGAATAAAGTCCTTCTTAAAATTAGCACCAGACATCCTGGACCACGGAGTGATATCCCCAGTGTAGGGATACATGGGCACAGACAGCTCCTCTGGAAGAGCTGATGGGTCTATTTCACTGAAATCTGTTTCTTTAGTAAAAGCTACCAAGTCTGGAGAACCAATCATGGTGGATTTTTTTTTTTAAACAAACCGGACAGGGGTGTAAAAAATATTGTGAAATTAAATTAAAAATATTAGGACTATCAAAATGTTTCCCAAAATTAGTTGTGATTGTTTTGTCTTTCGTAAGGCTATTACATGTCAAAAGTGAAACCTAAATACTGATACCTGCTAGTTAAACTTTACATTCAGCAAGACCTGATTTTATAGTAGTTTTACAGTACATGTAGATATAGTTGTTTATAGACTGATTATCTACCGTATTTACATTCAACATACATACATTCCCCATTTTTCACTATGGTTATAATTAAAGCATTGTTTTAGGTAAACCACTATGTTGTGATGACTGTTAAAATTTCTTCGTGAGAACAAATAGACATAACTGTGGTTAATAAAGTGGATTTCATTGGCTGTTTCAAATAAAAATTGCAAGATGTCAATTTGACAGGCTTGTTACTTTACTGAAAAAAAAAAAAAATTAAAACTTGTTTAAGCTGTTATAAGTATGCACTTTGTTGTACACTGAAGGTCTAAAATTTTAATGAATACAAAATTTGATTTATTTAATTGCGGAAATGTCATTAAAAGTATAAGCATTAAGTGTGAATAGTGCTAAAGTACAAATTCCATAAAATAATACTAAAATAATTAAACTTGTCACTCACATACTTTACACCCCTGAAACCGGCTTCGTCAGTGCTGTCCATCCACTCCAGGAGGTCTAGTTTTACTACTAAGTAAATTGATTTGTCGCCAGACACGAGAATAACTAGGCTATTTAAAAACCACAATAAGCATGCAATTAGCCAGTTCTCGCCGATTTAAAAATTACATGCCTGATACAAAATACAAACCATGACATAAACGCAATGTCATGAAAACTGACAGGTCAATTCAGAATATGTATAATCCTTTCGCTGACGGCAGCGTGAGTACAGCAATTCACGAGAGTAGTTGTTGGCTAATTTTTTGCAGTTAGTTTAAGTCGTTGTTCAGAAGTAAACAAACATTAAAGCGCTTCCCGGAGAGCAGTAACTGAAGCAGCCTTTGCCATAGTTAGCCATGTGACACCTCTGGTTAGGGGGGGCTCAAACTTGTTTCCGCCTCAGACCAATTCCTCAAAATAACTGTGGAAAAATAAGACGTGCTCGTGCGTTGTTGTTGTTTTTTTGCAGTGTTGAGAGATGAAATACATATATCAAAATATTACGAACTGTAATTAATAGGCAATGACAATCAAAGGAAATCTTGTTAATTTATTTGAGAAAACAAGCTTTATTTTACCAGCCAATCCTTTTACATCTTAAAGAAAAAATCTTTTTAGAATGAGAACACTTCAAAAAGAAATAAGCCTCTACTTTTTTTTAACACTTTATCTTATATCGACTTTAAAAATCCTCTTTTCTCTGGGTCATTCAATGAAATGTAAATGTGAGTGGCCCAAAGAAAAGGATTATTAAAACAGGATTCCTTAAAATGTACCATAGTCCAAATATCATTAATACAGTTAACTTTTTTCCCCTTCAGAAACATTAACTTGCTGTTAACTTGCTGTTAACTGTAGTTCAGTAGTAACGTGGCCATATCTTTTTTTATTTGACCTTTCATAAACCGTGACTTGTGCTTATTGTTTTCTCACATGATAGCAACACAAAGGGGAAATTTCTTTGCATACAAACATCAATAACAAATGGGTGTGCAATCCATTCTAATGGACATGAAAAGCAGAAGTAACACCACAAACAAATGTGAAAATTGTGAACAATCTCTTTATTCAGACATGCATCCCAGTGGTAAAGAAGAAATCATGTAAGATTTCATGTAACCTTATTAGGAGTAGGTTTCACCAAAGTGTGATATTTGACGCTACCAATATTTTTATTGTTTTTGCAATTTATTTTTTAACCAAATTTGTTTGGCAAGTTATCATAGGATGTATACATGGAACCTGCATCACATTAACTTATAGTTTATTTCTGTCCTTTTTAGTATTGACAAAAGGGTAGAATATGAGCAAGTAGGAAAACAATCCTTATAAAGGTTTTCCCCCAATCAAACACAGTATTTTTGCTACTTTGTAAGCAAGACTAACTGACAAAAATTGATATAAAAATATTTTTGCATTACTGCTTTATTGTCTTAATATTGAGTATTTGCTTCTTCAGAGTCAACAAAGCTTCACACCGTCTATGATTACTGCTAATATATATATATAATATATATATATATATATATATATAAACAATCATGGTCAACACATAGCTCATAATAAAAATACATCTGAAGTCACAGACAAACAGTCTAAATACCCTTATACACACACACACACACAAGCAGAAGCTCAGAGTAAAGATGTTTTATGAAATCTTTCACTTCTTTCAAACCTACATCTAAGCAAAGTGCCTGACTAGGATAGTGCTGCATAGTAAAATGATGCCTGTCACTTCAAAATCCCCTCTAAAGGAGCAGGTAAGCAGAAATTCACATCAGAGGACTGTGAAGAGACATATAATATCTAATATGACATTCTTTGTTTAAAGATGCATTATTGCCAGTTGCCATAGAGATAGATGTTTTGATAGATGTAATACTCTGTGCACAAGTATAGGAGTGAATCAAATAAGTAGTATCTCAGGTTCAGTTATGGCACAGTAGAGCATGAAGCCCATCTCGTCAATGTCATCCTCAGTAAATCCCTGAAACAGATTCACATTATGTTTAAAGAAACTAGGCATGATTCCAGTCTCCAGGTATCCGATTAGCTCAGCAATCGCCTGCAGGAACCTATCAGCAAACACCAATTCCGACCAATCAGTTTCCTTTTCACTCATGTGTAGAATGACATTGCTAAGATGGCTGCCGTTGAGCTTGCGTAGTGCAGGGCAGTTGCGGCACACTGCCTTTAGTGTTTTCAGACACTTCTTTCTGACCCCCGAGTCTGCTTTGTCAAGAGCTGCTAGTCTAGTTGTTTCGCTGGTGTATAGGCTCTGGTACCAGACGTAGTCGAATGACCCAGTGATCTCTCTCTGCGCCGTAAGCATCATCTCGCTAAGGCGCACTGTTGGCAACACGGTAATATAGAAGCGTTCCCCACTGTCACAACTGCTTTGGGTTAATCCTTGAATCTCCAGTTTGAGCTCAGGAGACCCAAGCACCGGTCGCACCTCGCACTCCAGGGTTCCGGTTAGCGAAGGCCAGTTCATTGATTCCATCACAGCCTTGCCTAGTTGCTCAGAAACAAGCCGTGACGACAAGTATCCACCCAGTAAATGTCGATCCCAGTAGCTCCGTCCCCTTGGGAAGTACTCGAGGTTTTCACGCCGCACCATGCAGAACTGAGGGTGACCCAAAAATGTGTCCTCTCCGGCAATAGGCATCCACAGACTGGACTCCAACTGTAATAAACACATTTGGAACAAATTTAAAAACAGCTTCAATCCAAGTCCAAAGATCCAAATGGTGACATTTGGGAAAGTTAGTTGATATGTAACTTTCTAATATGATCTAAATCAATTTTGGTCAATAATTGTAGAAAGAGTCATAAAAATTTCTGCTCATTTAAAAATGATGGAAAGGCTTATCGAGGACTGATATTAATAATAAAAAAAGTATTCATATAATTTTACTACTATTACTAAATTATATTACATCATCCCCTGAACTCTGCATGACCAGGGAAATCAAATGAAGAATTATATTTAAAAATTTGGGAATGTTGGTCTAAATATGATCTAAACCAATGTTGGTCATTTAAAAATGCTGAAAAAGCAAATTGAAGGACCTAGAAATTATTATTATAATGATTTAAAAAATATATATATATATCCACTGAAATCCAAGGGAATAAAAATAATAATTTTAATAAAAAATTGCAATGGCTGGTCTAAAAATTAGTAAAACCAATTTTGGTCAACAGTTGAAAAGTAGTTGAGAGTTTTTCACCAAAAACTTAATGGCAGAACGGTTTATGGAGTATAATATAATATAATATAAATTAGATTAGACCCAGATAATCAAAATAATATGTAAATATCTTGGCATGTAAATAAACATTTGAACAGCTGGTGGCACTAAAAGGTTTAAGATACAAAACACAGAAAAATACAATAAATACATGAATGACATAATTAAATATATAAATTATATGTATTAAAAATAAATATAATTATCAACATATAGTACATGTAACAAAACTCCAGGCTAGCTCCGGATATCATGAAACTTAATTGGTCTTTAAGATGTATGGAATAGCAACTATTGGAAACTATAGGATCAAATTTGCACACATGCAAGCACAAAGATAGTGGTTCAGACAGAATCTTGATACCTGTAGAGGCACGATCAGACAGGCATGATCTGCTTTAACCACTTGCAGGTCGTCGAGCAGTGACCCCGCCAGCATCATGTCTCCCAACGGCATGTCAGGGTGTTTGGAGTGCAGGAAGGCCTGGATCTCTGTGGATATATCTAACGCTCGCTGCTGTGCGACAGACACCTCCTCCTCTGACAGACACACTCGTGTTCTGAAGTACTGCTGCAGACGCTCTGCAAACGTCATCACGCACAGATCCAAGCGTTTCCGGCGTTGAGGTGGGTCAGCGTCACAGCGCTGGGGTTCAGGTGAGGGTAGGGGGATGGGCTGAGACAGTTCTGCTAAACACACAAAAAAAAGGTTTTCTACTTAAAACCGCATTCACAACCCATTTTACTTCCATGTCATTTAGTGAAACGGGATGTTCAGTGATATCAATGGCCAAATTTCCGTGGGACAACAAGGTATATTCCATTCTATTCATTAAATAGCCAATTGACATTCACCAGTAGCTTTAGAAGTTGAGCAAGTCAAAACATTCTGATAAAAGATTACAAAACTCTTGGTTTGGACTAACATGCACTGATGAATTGTGCACAATGAGACAGTAAATAGGGTAAATTTTGATTTCTTGTCGTTGCCTTTCAGCTAGATGGGAAATGTACCTTTCTTGGTTGCGGCTGCAATCTGTTTCATGACTACTCCTTCAATACCCTTGTGGAGCAGTTTGGGGGAGGCACTAACCAAGCCTAACTCCTCCCAGCTGTCCGTCATCTTCTTGTCAGGCTTCTCATCAGGAGGCCTGCCAGCACGTTCTATCAGCTATGACATCACAAGAAGAAATAGGAGATAAAAAAAAAATCAATAAGTAATCAAAATAAGCCATAATAGAGAGAAAACGTTGGGTTCCGGAAATAAAAATCCCATTCATTTTCCTCCACTGGGAAATTGTTTTTTCTTTTTAACAATAACGTATAAACCGTTAAAGACAGACTGGCTGTGAGCTACAAGTTTTTTATTAATTAATGGTATATGCTTCTGTTGAAGTCATCAGCCTACATTTTTTCCTCAAAAAAAATAAATAAAAAAAATCTCTGATCATGGGAAATGTAGTTTAACAGGAATTCCACTAAACCATTAGCTCCCGCCCACACCCTTCAAACAATGAGAGTCAATCTCCCTACACTCTCAAAATACTTATATTTGTGTGGGTGTGTGTGGTGTGTATATATATATATATATATGAAAGAGAAAGTACACCCTTTTGAATTTTATGGTTTTGCTTATCAGAACATAAAAAAAATAATCTGGTTGTTAGCAGGTCTTAAAATTAAACAACCTCAGATGAACAACAACACACGACATATTACAGTGTCGGTGTCATTATTTATTTAACAAAAGTAAAGCCAAAATGGAAAAGCCATGTGTGACAAACTAAGTACACCCTGTGATTCAGTTGCTTGTAGAGCCACTTTTAGCTGTATGACTATCAGTCTCTCACATCGTTCTGGAGGAATTTTGGCCCGCTCTTCTTTACAACGTTGCTTCAGTTCATTGAGGTTTGTGGGCATGGGTTTATGCACAGCTCTCTGAAGGTCCTGCCACAGCATTTCAATCGGGTTGAGGTCTGGACTTTGACTGGGTCATTGCAACACCTTGAATCTTTTCTTTTTAAGCCATTCTGGTGTAGATTTGCTGGCGTTCTTGTGATCATTGTCCTGTTGCATGACCCAATTTCCGCAAAGCTTTAGCAGATGGCCTCACATTTGACTCTAGAATACCTTGGTGTACAGATGAGTTCATGGTTGACTCAATGTATGCATGGTGCCCAGGTCCCGTGGCTGCAAAACAAGCCCAAATCATCACCTGTCCACCACCGTGCTTGACAGTTGGTATGAGGTGGTTGTGTTTGGATTTCACTGTGCATTATGGCCAAACATCTCCACCTTGGTCTCATCTGTCCAAAGGGCATTGTTCCAGAAGTCTTGTGGTTTGATTAGTTTCAACTTTGCAAACCTAAGCCGTGCTGCCATGTTCTTTTTAGAGAAAAGAGGCTTTCTCCTGGCAACCCTTCCAAACATGCCATACTTGTTGTATAATGAGAAAAAGACTGAACATGTTAACTGGCTTGTAGAGTTTGAGGTGTATCTATCTCTAGAATTCAATAGGGTGTACTTTCTTTTTCACATGACTCAATATACGTCACAGGTCATGACGTTCCAAACCTGTATGCATTTCTCTCCTGCTGAACACAAAAGATATTTTGAAGAATGTTGATCAATGAGAACTGAAACTAGTTACCAGCATTCTTCAAAATATCTTCTTTTGTGTTCCACAGAAGAAAGGTTTACAATGGCATGAGGGTGAGTAAATTATGATAATTGTCATTTTTGGGTGGATATTTTTATTTTTATCCATCACTTTTATTTCGGCCATGTCATTTGCAATGCTAGTGAAAAGCAATTGTAATTCTTTTAAAGCAATTACGTACAAAGTCTTGTAACTTTGTCTTTTTGTCTGATTTTCAAATACTTTTTTTTGCTTGAAATCGAAGTTTGTAATGCTGTGATTGACCACATAGTTGGTTGGTTGGTTTGATTCATGACTTCTAACTATTTAAAAGACTTTAAAATCTCTACGGAAAAAAAATAATAAGAAAAAAAACTTATTGCACTCTATTAAACAATATTATTTTTGACCAATTAGAATTGTGTAGTGTGTAATAAACTAAAGAAAACAAATGATCACCCGTTTCACTGCTAATGTGGCGATGCCCAGCATCGCAGCTCCGCCCACCCCCAGCACCAGCCGGGCATTGGACAACAGGAAGTCAATGACAGCAGCAATTCCATCTTCTCCCCGCCTTTTCCCAGAATAATACATCACTTCCTCTGTGAAAGTGTCTGAAAATGTCAACAAAGATTTACATTACCATTTGATTTCACACATGCTTCCTCAAAGTCCAAAGTCTGATAGCTTTTGAGTTTAGAGACTTGAAACAAATACATAATTGTAAGAATGTGTCATCTAAGATTTTTGGACATGTATCATGATAGTCATGGTCCTAAAAACACTATGGGGCACTTTGGTGTACCATAAATAGTATTAAAGTGTGATTATGATTGCTTTAGGCATTTGCTACCGTTTAAGTCACAATGAAACAGAAGTAGTGACAGATCTTTACTTCTCTATTGCGACACATCCAGAGTGTAATGGGTTATTTTGAGTTGTGGGTGTTTAACTCATAAGTGGAGGCAGATGAATGCAAGCTTGCAGGGGTGGTCTAACTGGACTAAATGATTGGAGAAGTCCTGCATACATCACAAGAGAGAAACATGTCGTTTTCACTGGAAGGTTCAGTTATGACATTGTGATTAAACATTTTGAGGTCAAAACATAAAAAAAGAGAAACATTCACAAATTAATTGTACACAATAACATTTAGAAATTTAAAGGGTGAATTTTCATTTAATTCTGGCTTTAATGCACCACCACAGGACTCTTTTATGAAGGTTATTCCAAACACACGGTGCTCATGTGTGCTACGTGACAGGCCAGGCATCTGAAGCTTCACCTGCCACTCACTGTCTGTGGATCAGAAATAGCTTTGGTAGCTTCATGAACTCGGCCCCCAGCAGGGTAGTTTACCAGGTCTAAATTTAGACCCATGTGGCTTAGTAACTCTCCACTTATTCATTTGATAATTTTATGATACTGACTTAGACTTCAGTCTCTGGCTGTGATCTACAGATTACAGTAGTCGAAGGCTCGGACATGGATGAATACAGTATCACATAGATACATTTTAGGCCTAATATTTTGTTATTGCAAAAGGTGCTTGAAAAGTAACAGCATGTTATTGGCCAATCAAAGAAGAAGAAGAAAAAAATCAAACAAAACAGCTTACATACGTACAGTATAATCCTGGTTATTGGATAAAAGGCAAACTGGGTTAATAAAATGACACAAGGCCTGCATAGAGATGGACTTTAAAACCCAGATAACATTGATTGTGTTTTCCAGAAAAGACAGCTGATGTATACAAAACTGATTAATGCTATCAGTGGTTTAAATGTTAAACAGCAAGCCTGCACATCACACGTATAACAATGTATGACGGTTTTCCTTACTAAATATTATATTAAATCCCATGACTACCCATGACTACTTTTTAGTAGTTCACAAAGGGCATAAATTAAACTGAAAACAACAGTGTTTTGCTCTGTTAGCGTTTGCTAACTTAACTAGCTGTCTGTTGAATTCAGAAAACCAACAATCTTGGGAATATATTAAGCAGTCAACAACTTATAAACACGACTTAAACAGCTAACTTACCTTTTTACGGTGGTATCAAATCAGAGCCATTAGCGTATAGTATCGAATTTAGTACTTTTGTCTAGTACGCACTTGCTCTCTTACCTATAACAAACACATCTTACGTCACTATCCCGTTGATTGAAGTACATCTAGACCAATGAGATGAAAGTATCACGTGACGTCAGAACTTTACAGGAATTTCTATGCATGTATGGCCAAAAGAAGTAATAAGCATATCTTACATAATTTTTTACGTTTTAACAGGAGGGTCCACACATATTTTTTTATTTTATTTTTATAAATTATTTTAAATACTATTCGTGTAACATGTAAATGCAAAAAGTTATGATTTTGATAAATTATATCGTTTGGCGTTTTATTTTGTTACACTATGACACTTACTTGATCGCTTCTGTATTTGGTTCTATTGTTCAATGCAGATAATAAATGAAACGTTGTTCTTGAAAATAGAATAAAAAGATGCATTCGCATTTGAATGGAGAACCAAAGCATTCCAAATTGAATAATTAATTTGTAAACATTAGCAATTGATTGTAAATAATGTAGTTTGTGATATTCCGTGAAGCAATTTAAAACATTCCATATTATCAAGCAATGTAGTAATCAAGCTAATATTGTTATCTGTGAAGAATTGGTGGAAAGTTCTCTCGTACCATCTAGTGGACAGACACATCCTTTAATTTACAACCAGCGCTTGGAGAAATAACCTGTGGGATTTTATTGGGTAATTATTCAAAGTTGCATAGCCACACGAAATGTTTACATTTTGATTTCTGAACCAAATAAAACAGTGCATAGTGCAAATTATGAATATCAGAACTGGAGCAATTTTCTTTTTTAACTTTCTGATGCATGTTAAATTAAGTGTAACCTGAAAATGAAGTTCCTATTCCATATTAATGGACAAAGCAAATTAAACTGAAAAATGAGCTTTCTCAAATATAAACTAACATGAGTTTCAAGGAACATTGAGTGAGAATGTTTGGAATTTAAAAGTTAACTACAAAACAATACAACAAATATTAAGAACTAGAAAAATAAAGAATGAACATAGAACCTCCAAAACAGTGTCTTTTAATCTTTTATGCAGCCAAATCTACTCCATTTGTTTTCAACCTTTAAACAAAAATAGTCTTGTGTCAGCCTCATGAATACAAAGTATAGTCTTTTGTAGTCAATCGCATTTTTTCTATTAAACAAACTGCAATGGGACACACTTTATCATCTTTTCCTACTTGTTCGCCACTTCCATTCAATCTCAGAACTAAACAGCATGAACATAAAACATGAACGGTTGCCATCATGACAGTCTCATACAGCTCTTGAACGACAGCTGTAATGTTGGCATGAATGAATTCTTTTCATCAGAAGTAAAGAATCTAAACAGCATGGTTGTCAAACAGAACTAGTTACCATGGCTATACCACCCTTCACTGGGGGAAAAAGCACTGAGAAGCTACTGTGAGGAAATCAAAGACACATTTTATTATCACGGTATTAACGTAACTGTCAGCATTAACAAAACGTGCGATTTATTTTCCCTCTCGCTTTCTCTGACTTTTAAGATTTTGCAAAAACAAAACATTTCTGTAAATTATTATTTGATGGCCTGTTCTAAGCTTGTTTTTAGAATTTATCCAACAAAATTCTTAAAGCCAGAAAAAATAAATCACCCAAGTTTACTTCTCAAAAATCTACCTTTGAAAAAGAGGACACAGTTGTATTTGATATTATGTGAATGAGCTAAATATGCATGACACTGGCACATGAAGTTGTGAAATGGTGAATTATGATTGAATTCCATGTCAGTTTAGATGTCTTTTTATTCCGTACATTTCCTTTAATCACACAGAACAAAATATAGTGGATATTAAAGTATCATTTTTGATATGTCTGAATAGATAGATCAAGCAGCCAGCGTCTAACGTCCTTGAGTGCACCCATCTCTTCTACTGAGTCACTGTTGGCTTGAGCAAACGTAAAGGCGTCTGAGGAGATAAGCAGTGAGTTCTGATTGCGTCTCAGTGCCGCCTCATCTTGACTCGTCGCGTGGGTGCGTGGTCGTGTGTGTGGCGTGAGCCCGGCTCTCTCTCTTCAGTTCTCCTCCAGGAGTTTTCTGAACTGCTGTCGCCGTGACGTCTCTGTCGGGAGGAGAGGGAACGCCTCTGCAGCTCTTTGTCCATCTCTAAAATACGAGGCCTGAGGGAGGAAAAGAGCAAAATGCTTTTTAGCGAAATGCATGTGTGAAATGTGACAACTTAGTCTTGAAGGATTAGGTCACGCAGAAATGGAAATTCTTTTATAATTTTCTCACCCTCATGTCATTACAAACCTGTATGCTGTTACTTTTTTCTTATTCCCCCAATGACAGTTCATAGTGACCCCAGCATAAAGGTTTGGTATGACACGAGGGAGAGTGAACAATGACAGATTGTATTTTTGGTCACTATTCCTTTACAGGTGCACTTAAGCAAGCAGGTTCAGCAGGTTGATATGTTTTTGGACTTTATACTGCATCTTGCAAAAGCAAAAATCTGTAGTTACCAAACACATCGTCGAAATACCCTACATGCTTATCTCTCTCCTACTTTATCATTCAAAAGTATGGGGTCGCTAAGATTTTTAAAGAAATTTCTTATGCTCACAAAGGCTGCATTTTATTTTATTTATTTGACAAGAAATACAGTAAATTACTGTATTTTAATAAGTGAAAAATAATTACAATTTAAAATAACAGTTTTTATTTGAATATGGTTTAAATTGTAATTAATTCCTGTGATGGAAAGCTGAATTTTCAGCATCAGTAACATTTGAGAGCCGTAGCACCGGTGCCAGTGAGCTCTACAGATGCTGGCACCAGCACCGGATTTGGTAGTGCTGAGGGGGGGTATTGTTTTTTTATTTATTATAAAATCTATATTGTTTTGCATTAATAAGAGCAGTAACTAATAATATTACGCGTTTATTCCTTGGATATGCACATTTTACAGTAAAACGCTTAGCTTGAGTTGAAATGCAGATAAAATATATATTTTTTGTATTTAAAAATGTAAATATTCTACTCTTATTAAATGTATTATTGTTCTTCTATAGTATCATTCTGAACTGACCGACAGCTTCCTGGGTCTACACACCAAAAGATTGTTTACATCTTATAAGATTTTCAAAATGTGATAGACGACAAACACGAGGACAAAAAATCCTAGATTTAACCGTTTTGCTCCTATAGTGTGTGGTGTGCCATGATGTGACAAAGACAGCACACCACACACGAACAGATTTTCAACCAGATTCTCGACTGTGAACACAGGAAATCTCGCAAAATCTCGTGAGACTTCAGAATAAGCATGGCGGACCATGATAACCACAAATTAACCATAGTTTTGCTAAGAAAAAAAAATTCTAACTATAATGTCGTGTGATTGAGATCGGCTCGTATTTAAACCTGTTCCGAGCTCGCACTGCGCTGTCTATTATTGGTCCAAGCTGACAAACTGGCTGCACATCTCAAACGAGGAGTGCGGATTCGTTTCGTTTGATGTTTCTCATATTGAACAGAAACAGCAGCTCTTATCAGTTGGGCAATGTGGTGGAGGCACCAGTACGATCTCTAAAAAAACTGAGTCACACCGGCAGGAAAAGTAGTCTTAGGCCCGGTTTACACCTGGTCACTTCATGTGTTTTTACTGATCAGATAACTATCCGATTTATCAAACCAATTCCATTTACACTTGGTCACATAAATGTGTTTTCGCAAAACGGATATAAATCTGATCTTCAATTCCCGCGCTACATGCAGATTTAATGGAGTTCACGTCACCGAAAGCAACAGATATAAGATGCATTTTATTGATCATCAGCTCATTTCAAAATCAAAGACCGCAATAGGAGAGAGCGCTGCATCAGCACTGGTAAGATCAATTAGTTTCTTAACTTTTAATGAAGATGATTGAGTCACTTTCAGTTTTATTTGTGGTAGTTTGCGCTAGGCTTGATGAAGAGATCCTCAGCTGCTCATCTGTGGTGACGCGTGCTGCAGTTGTGCCATCATATCTGGCTATAAGATGACATATAGCCTATGACACGCTCTCACACGTTTATTTTTAGCATTGTTGGGAGCAGTAAAATGTACATGTGGTTTCAACAATCAGATGCATTTAGACTTCTTTTCTAGGGGTGGGGGAAAAATCGATTCTTAGATGCATCGCGATGCGGACGTGGACGATTCTGAATCGATTCACAAATATCAAAAATCGATTTTCAAAAGAATTTTTTTATTTTATTTATATATATATATTTATAATAACGTAATATTGATGGAATGCAAAAGACGGAACTCAGAAGCGCGGAAGTTCAGTGGCCGGACCGTCTGTGGCGTTCACATAACAGAGACGGGATGGCTGAGCGCGAAATCCAAACACCCTCCTTGTTAAAAGCTGACGTGTGGAAATGTTTTGGCTTCTAAGAAGTTGAAGGGGGAAAGAAGCTGGACAACAGTCACACTATTTGTAAGCTTTGTAGAATAAAACTAAAATATTTCGGAAACACGACAAATATGAGAAGCCATATGACACATTTCCACCCAGAGGAGGAAAAACACTCGGCTGTAACTTACCGGTCGTTGTTATATTATTAATTTACTACAAGTATGCTGCTAGTTCAGGTACACATTTATTTTCCTGTTGGTTCTTTGCAATGTTAATAAAATATATTGTACGTTAATTCTTTATGGGTCTTCAAAATATTTATAGTCACACACACACACACACAAAAGATTCAGATAATCGATAATCGCTTTAGCATCGAATCGCAGCCCTCTGAATCGTAATCGAATCGAACCGTGAGGTGCCTAGAGATTCCGACCCCTATTCTTTTCACTTCCTATTTTTTTCTTTTTATTCCACTTTCGTCTGTAATGCGGCCCAGACCACCTCCTGAAGGGGTTTGAGCGACCGGATTTAAATCCGTCTCGGAATGCGTTTCGGAGGGCATTTACACCTGGCCTTTTCACGATCGAATAGCTATTCTAATATAATTTTTTGCTCATTTATTTGCAATAGAAATCTTTAAATATAATATAAAAAGATAACACATTCTATTGTGATAATCACATTCTAGTGTAAATCAATTTAAACATGTGTCATATTTACTTCTTAAGGTGTAAAACTAATTGAATAAAGTACAATTACATTTGTGCACCTTAAATATTAAAAACTAGGTTTTTATAATTTCTAAAGAAAATCTAGCCTGATCAACTGTCCTTAAGAAGCCACACTTTTAGGTATTCATCATGCCTTGCCTACAGCACAAAGTGGGACGAGTTTTAGTGGGGTTACACTTAATTTTAAGGTCTTCTTGTTACAGTGTAATTATGCATTTAAGTACTTATTAATATTAATCAACAATATATACTTAGGATTAGTTGCATGTAATTAAGCGTAATCTACTGTTATTACTACAGTAAGTAAATGTAACAAGGAGGTTAGTTTATAATAGTAAATGTAATAGTTAGGCATTAGTAGTTATGCATTCCTTAGTAGCACCGCTATTTAAACAGCATGAAAGACTTTGCAAGTACCTGTGTGCAGCATCTGGGTCAGCCTTGCGGTGTGAGCGTTTGGCTTTGAGTGTGTGTCGTCTCTCAGAAGAGTGGATGGACGGGCTCCGTGAATCGGAGTCCAAGCGAGGGGCATCCGGCCTTGTTCTGCAATAAAACACACCAAGACAAATTATACACCCCCACATATGCTTCCAGAGCTTTCAAGAACAACTCTGACTCACAACCAGAACAACTCACTTTCTGAGAATGATGACAGCTCTCCTCTCCTTGATGTCCTGTGGGCGGATGCAATGCGTGATGTCATCGGCTGCGTAGTCACTAAAAAGAATCAAAGGAGAGAGCATGAGCAAGAATTTTATATTTTACTATAAACATGGCAGTACAGTACTGTGTGAGTTTTATCCTTTCAAGTACCATGTAAACTCCATGGCAAATGAATATGGCAATTATATACTACCATAGTATAAACTAGTGTTGTCAAAAATATCGATATTTCGATAAATATCGATACTGAAATATCTGAACGGTACCAATACTAATTTCCCGAAGTATCGATACTAGCCGAGCAGTCACTTTCACTTCTCTCCAAAGGCGCGTTGACAAACACCACACGTGACGCACTCGTCTCATTCGCTCTGGTTAAATAGCAAAAGTGAAGTGAATGGAAAGATGACGAGGGCGGCGCCCCCGCGACCGGCTTTGGTTGATTGATAAAGAACACCGCGAGCGGGCATGTCGGAGAATAGCGCGGACACGCGTAAAAAACACACCGCGAGCGGGCATGTCGGAGTCGGAGAATAGCGTGGACACGCGCTACACACCGCGAGCGGGCATGTCGGAGAATAGCGCGGACACGAGCTACACACCGCGAGCGGGCATGTCGGAGAATAGCGCGGACACGCGAGCGGGCTGCGGGCACCCAACAGATTGTTTGACTATCAATAATCCCTCACATCACTCATTTTTTTTAATTATTGTATAGGTGAAAACAGACTTAAGGAACAGGCTCCAGGGGTAGGCTACTATTTAGCAGCATATGCTCAGCATCAGGGGTGTTTGTTGTTTGGACAGACCTGCCCCCACTGCTAAAAAAAATCCTCAAGGAAACACTGTAACTCTTCTCATTTGAACTTTTCTGAAACATTAACCAAGATGGCCTAGTATTGTTGTTGATAAGAGTATGTGTTGTCTCGTTTTAATTCTTAAAGTTAACATAATCTGACTGAGGAATCTTAGACAAGTAAATATTGTAACTGTGGTCAAATGTAAATTAACTGGTGCCTATTTAACTTTATTCAAAAATTATTATTTAATTCTGCAATTTTCCTTCATTAGCGATTATCATCAATTTGATTACACAGATATTAATTAAACTAAACAGCTAGACAATGGCATCTCTGAATTCAATAATGACATGCCTTTAACTGAAAATTAAATGTTTAATCTTATTATTATACATTACTGACTCTCTATCCTCCAATTTGATACTGTTAAGTGCTTTTTTGTTACAGTATATTTTAATCTTTGATAACAGTAGGTAATAAAAATACATCATGTTAGCTCTGGTCCAATTAAAAAATATAAACAAATAGAACTCAGCACATTTTTGTTCATGTAAAATATACCTCATTGTCATGTTCTAGACTTGTTATATTTAGCTTTAAATTAAAAAAATACCCCCTTAATATTGTGGCAGTTTTTTCTCCGTGGTATCGAAAATGGTATCGAATATCGATATTTTTCAAGGTATCGTATCAAAGTTAGAAATTCTAGTATCGTGACAACACTAGTATAAACCACCATGGAATTACCAGTAACACTTTACAATAAGGTTTCATTTGTTAACATTAATTAATGGATTAACTAACTAACATGAGCAACACATTTGTGACTGTATTTGTTGATCTTTGTTAATGTTAGATAATAAAAATCCAGCTGTGCATTTTTTGGTCATGTTAGTTCACAGTGCATTAACAAATGTTAAAAAAACAAAACTTTTTGTTTTTAATAATGTATTAGTAAATATTGAAGTGCGGGTCATTCTTAGTTCATGTTAACTAATGTAGTTAACTAATGAAACCTTATTGTAAAGTTTTACCGAATTAACTTATCGCCCATATCACTACAAATGAGAATGTCCTGAACATGAATCGCAACACAGTAGCAAGTGTCCGGACTTGTAAAGCTCCCCACCTGAGGACGGTGACGCTTCCCCGCCTCACGGGCAGGTGCAGCACGGGCTCGGACACCCGGATGGGCTTGAACTGGAACTTGCAGCCGAAGCAGAGCGCGCTATCGCTGAAGAACGACACGGAAACGATCGGTCGCTCGAAGATGTGGATGGGGTCCACGTGGGACACGATACAGCCCCCGGGCTGGTAGTCATTAATCACGGCGCTATTAACGAAGCCCTCCGGTATGACGCCGTGCGTCACGAGGCGGTCGATGACCAGCTCGTGCACCCAGTCCGGGATCTCGTCCACCTCGCCTTTGGAGTACAGGCGCTCCTGCCCGGGGCCGCGCTTTTCGAGCTGCGAGCCGTATGTGTAGCCCTCCCCAAAGAAGTACTTGTTCCGCAGGGGCGCCCGGTCCACCGTGTGCTCCCGGTAGAGCCCCTTGTCTGCCTTGGCAACCACCTCGTCAATCTTTGCCTCGATGAGCGCGCACTCCTCCTGCGTGAAAATACTCGCTTGCTTAATGCCGCTCTTCACTTTGCGCGCCTCCGCGTCCCGCCGCTCCTCGTACTCACTATCATCGTCATCCGACTCGCGGTATTTGCGCTTCTCGCCGTTGCTGTGCTCGAAAACTGTCTCCCTGTGCGGTGTCATCGACTTTAGCTTCTCCCGCAAATCCGTAAAACCGGCCATTTTAAAGAGCAAAGTCCGAAATTTTGCGGCTAAATGTTGTTTATCCTGAATTCACTTCAGGTCCCCATGTTATAATATTAGTATCGGTCACTGAAGTCGTGTGCGACGTAACCGAAGGCCTGGAGCGGTGCCTCCTGCTTCCTCTTTCCCTGTTGGAGCAAATTAAACCAACCAAAGTTTCCACTGCCCCATTCCACGAGCAACCCGGCTGAATGTGTAACACAACGCAGAGAGTGTGCTGTCAATCACAGGCGGCGTTTTCCTGCGGTTCAGTCCCATAACATTAGCACGTAGCACAGCTGCGGCACCGCTAGCTTCCAGTGGACACAGGTTTACAGCGGCATGTTGTTTGAGTAGCACGCCTTCTGGTCACTACAAGCTGTGCTGATCAGCTTATTATAATGTATCCAAGAGATAGTAGTTATTCTGCAGCTACAGGATTGTACAGAGCCGTGAAGAGAACGTAAACTCGTGTAACCAAAACTGTTTGACTAGCTGCGCATGCGCGTCATGCCTTGCACGTAGGCAACTAGGCATGAGGGTCTGGTCCAGTGACAGCCAATGAGCGACGCGATCAGCTGTCAGCAAACCCCTTCAGCTATATAAAGGCAATTTCGATTAAATGAAAGTATTGCCATATTTAAGAATTATTTTGATTATTATTATAACAATAACATGTAGAGAGAAAAATTACGGGTGACAGTGGGACTGGGATGACCCAGAACAGACTCGAACCTGGGTCCTCAAGATCTCAACAGCTTTTACATGTTCGGAACACGTGCTGCTGACATCATTATTGTATTTTTATCATTTTAATTGAATTTTTATTCAATTACAACAACACAAATGTTCCATAAAACTAGAACAGCATTTAAATATTTTATTATTTAAATAACAAAACGTATATTACATTTCCTTGTATTAACCTTACCCCTGATTATTTAAATTGAAATAAAAACACATCTTTAGTCATGGTAAATGTCTGCATTTCTTTTATTTTGATCAACATATTTTGTCATAAAAAGGGTTATGTAACAAAATAATTGATGTGCAAAAGTTGCAAGCCAGTTAAAAACCCATAATGTACAAGATATCATTATGTTTCTACAGCTCCTTTGTAATCTCATTTTGCATAATGAAAACATAATAATTTTTAAAACAGACAGCTTATGCAGCTACTAATTTGCTGTATTTTAATCGTATTCATTTATTAGATCATTATAGAAAACACAAATGTGAACATCATATTCCAGTTTCTCCAAAATACTGAGAGTTATAGACCATTACAGTAGGACAATTTATAAACTTATAGGCTATAACCAATAAATGTATTAAGAAATCTATAAAAAATACAAATTTAACAACCCACAGGCCCCATATGTTAACTAAGAGCTAAATATACAAAGTTCGACTGAAAAATTGTCATTACACTACTTTGAAAACTACCATTTCATTGTCAGTCTGTGTGAGATAATAATGAGAGTGAAAAATATTACATTCATATTGTGTTCTCCTGAGTAACATCTCTCTTCAACTTGTATGTGCATGAGTTAAAAGATTAATATAAAAACATTTATACCTTGATAACTTTCACATTTAAGGTATCAAGGAACAATTTTACATTGCATGTTTTGATGCACAAAAGCAAGGCAAATAGTAATCCATCTGTATAAATATTACGCATTCAGTACAAAAATAATCCTTTTCATTCACTGCGTGTGTTCTATACATAACATGTGAACAAATACACATGATTAGTGCAAACATCGCATTAAGAGGTTTGGTTTGTTTAGTTATGATGAGATAAACAATAAGTAAAAAATTACACAGAAAGCATGAAAATGTGTTGTTACAGCATGGTGATTTCACTGGGTGGCAGCGTCAGCCTCTTCTCTCGCACAGAGAGCATATTCTCAATGTGCATGGCGATAACCCGACACAGCTCCAGACCCTACAAACAACATATATGATCATACACCACTCATTAAAGCTTGTCATGGTTGTAATGGTGTTGAATGTGCGTTACCTGTTCCAGCTGTAACTGCGTGACTCTGTGGTTGGTCAAGTCTCCTATCAGGATGTCTACATAAGGATAACTGGATCCAGCGCTGGGCCGCTGTGTGTGAGCTGACTGAACCAGCTTCAGCTGAAACTTTACCTGCACCTCCTGCCAATAGACATTTAAAGTGCCATTATTATGCTATTTTAAAGGTTTCTATATTTGTTTTGGAGATTTACAAGCATCCAAGGTAAAAAAAACACCTTAATTTTCTCATAATATACATTGCAGCATCACCTAATTTCTCAAAGTGTCTGAAAACGGTTTGTTTGTTGATTCAGTCTCTCTAACCCTGCTTTCCAAGAGCCTACTCTGCTCTGATTGGTCAGACAGCACAGTCTGCTGTGTTTGGCTTGTCGCTTACAGTGAGTGCCGGAAACAAAACTCCTGTTACCAAATCTGCTGGAAGGCTTCCTCAGCGTTTGAGACACAGTGATACGAACAGTAATGACGGCATAGGTTTTTCAGTATTAATTCCAGTGTGAGTCCTCATGCAAAGTGGATTCGTAGTGCTGAAAACAGCATCTTCTCAACATGTCGACAACATGAATTCTCTTCAACAACTCAACAATTCAACAACTCTTACAGTCTCAGCTACAACTACAGTGTTTGAGGGCGGGTCAAAGTAGACGTTGTTTGCGGGTAACCAATGAAGACCATAGGCAGGCATTATGAAACTTTGTTGCATTGTTACTAGTGGTGGGCCGTTATCGGCGTTAATGTGCTGCGTTAACGTGAGACTCTTATCGGGCGATAAAAAAAAAAATCGCCGTTAATCTATTCTCAAAGTTGGGTTGGGAGCTGGGTCTATACTATGCAAGCTATGATGACTTTCACCTTGATATTTTAGCGCAGATGTATACCTAGCCGAATTGCACTGTAGGGAGCATTTAATACCAATAGCCTATATTGAAACGTCTGTTTATCCATACTCCCTTAATAAAGGAGTCCAGACATTAGAAAAATATCAGTCTATGCGTTTTATATTTAATATGAGGGAAATACACATCCATAACGGACGTGACACAAAAAAACTTTTAGGTGGCAAAAGTACAAAAAGTAATACTACCCACCGGCACCGGACGAAGAAGGGTTGGCTCTCCACAGAACATAAAATATTCATTTTGTCATATTTTTCGTGTACGCATTTATGAGGGAAAAACAATGTTACGTGACAGTTCCCCGTTACGGACGTGACCGCTCTGAAAGCAGCACTGAAAGACTGCTTTAAAACTTTCACAGTGACATCAAACATAAAGCACAAAGCCTTTCATTAAGGTGAATTTCGTTTTGTATTAATTGTATCTTCATTTTAATCAATGTTTCATCAACCAATTGCCTGGATTTAATAAATAAGAAGTAAATATAGCAGACAATAGATAATCAAGACAGAGGCGCCGGCGCGTGAACTGGAGCTCGTCTTGTGAGTCATAAATGAACCGAAACACAGCGTATAAGGTAGGCCTACTTGCCTCAGGAGTACAGTGGGTAGCGTGAGGTGCGAATGTAGAATAGTTACGAAAATGGAGAGAAAATATAAATCGGGCGCATTAAAAAGAAAAGATCGAGATAGTCTTTGTGTTTCATTTAACATAAGCTTACTTGGCTCAACAAGTGACACATTATTACATATGCATTCATCAGATATTTAACGTTCTTTTTTACGGTTTTAATTTTAAAATGACTTGGTAGCAGAGGGCCCCATGATGAAGCTCCGCCCCCACTGTACTGAGAGTCTAGCTCCGCCCCTGCCCATCTTACAAACTACCTGCGAGGTTATTTATTTGGGTAGAACACATATTCTGAATGCCTTCGGCAGAATTCAAATTAGCCATTTTAATCTAGATCAATCTAGATTAATTCCAAGATAACAGTGGATTAATCTAGATTAAAAAAATTAATCTATGCCCACCACTAATTGTTACGTATAGGTATGTAACAAGAAGTGAGATTGGAATTGCAGATTCCGGCAGTTCAGAATCGATTATTTCTTTTAGGAGACAATTTTATTTGTCATGCACTTTGATCTTTCAAACTTTGCAGACCTTTTACATTCACAAACAGCTGTATTACACACTAAAGGTTATATTCGAAAAAGAATAATAGGGGCACTTTAATTTGTAAAACTGAAAACATTCGCTTTTGTAAGTCTGTGTGTGTTTGTAGTACGCACATGAGTGTCTTTGTGCAGGAAGTTCAGTCCGTTCTGATTGACAGCGAGGATGCATGGTGCAGAGATGGTGCTGTTGCTGCTGCTTTGGATGTAAAAGAAGGACGATCCAAACATGGGAAATGCACACACCAAACCTGAAGTACACACACAAACACAATCCAGCAAACTTGCTTTTTATCATAGTATTATCTGATAAAAATAAAAAAAGGTGAAAAGTTAATGAGGTGTTTGGCCTGGTGAGAATAAAATACCCAGGAACTGGGATCTGGCCTGGTGAGGGTTCAGGCTCTGGACGGCATGTACGTGTTGGGCAACCAGTTGCATCCACTGCTGAGGCCCCTGTCTGCCAAAGATCTCAACTGGGATGTACTCTGTCAACTCATGACTACAGAGAGAGAACATTTCAACTCATTATGCTTAAATTGAATATATGTGGAACGACTTTCAACTAGAAAAATCCCAAATGAAGTGCCCTTTTTCATTGCAGGACACTTATACAGATAATACAAATTTAAACTGATTTCCAGACATAATTCATAGGGTGAAAATTAAGTAAAATGTTAGTATATAAAAAAAAGACAGTTTTTTGTCACCTACATAGTAGGTGTGTAGAGACTGTCTTTGGCTCTGTGTTGAAGAGCAGCAAGTTTGGCAAACTGGTTAAACTGCTGTTCACTGATCTTTCCCTGAGGTATGATATTCAGCAGACCCTTCACGTAGTCTGGCAGAATCTGTGCAAACACAAACACATACAATTATGATGGAATTATAGGTGCAGGTACATTTTATTTAGAATATAATTGTGCACTTTTTGAAAATTTCAATAACATTATTCATAAAATGTGCTCCAGCAAGTTATTATATTTACACTACCGGTCAATGTTTGGGGTTGGTAAGAAGTATTAAAAAAAAAAAAAAAAAAGTTTGAAAGTTTCTTATGCTCACCAAGGCAACATTTATTTGATAAAAATACAGTAAAAATTGTGATATTGTGAAATATTATTGCAACTTAAAATAACTCTTACTGACCCCAGACTTTTGAACGGTAGTGTATATGTCATTCTGCGTTCACGCCATATTGTAATTACCATAAACGCGATGTCCTTGCAATTGTGGGTTTCAATGGCAACACTATCAACACCAAAATCCATCTACAGGCTGCCCAAAATATTGTTGCCCTCATAAAAGTCAGAGCTTCTGAGTTGTAATTACAAGTTCTATGAGGACGTGAAAGCTTTTTACAAGTCGGAATCTTATAATAACGGTAATTCCGACATGGCATGAATGCACCTCAATTTACATTTTCTTAACACTGTCCTGGCCAGATGCAATGCCTGGAGGTTACTAGCATCAGACATTTTTCTGTCCTCACTGAAATCCAAATACTGCCAGTATGAACATGGAAGAGACAGGATTGCTGGTTTGATGTTTTAGTGCATTACAGCTGGTTAGGACACATGTGAGTAATGGCATATGATAAGACAGACATGTCGTGCCTGGTTATAGTGCATGGTGACACAGAGCTCGTTGTCAAACTTGAGCGGATGGGCCCAGATGACTCGTCTGAACCAGAAGCTGTAGTTTGTATCAATTTGCTCCGCTTCCGTTGCAATGTCTAATATGTACTCTCGCTTATTGAGGGGCCGCACATTCTGACCTGTGTGACATAAAAATATATGAGTGAATAAATCTTGTTAGTGAAAGCGGTAGGGTATGTTCGGAATGGCAAACTACTCATGCTATTTCCAGAAGAATGCATAGTTATATTGTGCACACTACAGAATATACAATTTCATGCATAGAATACTTGAATAATGTACTTTTCCTACATTCGTTAAAATAAACAAGCATAGCATGCTGTGTAGAATAGCATATCCCACAATGCAATGCTCTTGACTTGACACATTTCCAGTGTGACTAATGAACCAGAGGTAAAAGCAGCTGTAATTTTCTAATATGCCCTTTTTGACTCATTATTTGGGCCAATAAAATTTACCAGTCACTGAATTAAAAATGCAAGATGAGGTCATAACATAATAAAAAAATACTTGTTTTTAAAGTTTTTCTTTTGTATACTGCGTGTATTGCATTACATACCAATTTTTATGTATAAATACAAGTGCAGAACAGAGCATGTGTTCTAACCACTAAACCACAGGTTGGAAAATGCAGTATACAGTATATAGTGAGCAATATTCAGTGCTCAGTTCGCTAATATTCCACTCTGAACATAGCCTTATAGAGGTGTAAGGACATCAATCTGTACCTCTGTTGGTGACTATGAAAATTGTGTACTCATCCATTGCCTCCAGCCTTTGTAACGCCATCTCATAACACAACTCCTCTATGATATCCAGTGCCACCTGCACACACAACACATCAACATCTATCTTAAGTGAACTTACAAATATAATCACATGCAATAAATGGTATTAACTGTCAAACAAGAAAAGAGACATACGGAGCAGGTTTTGATCTTCAAATGTCTCTCAATTCCGCCGGGAAATAGAAACAGTTGCCGCTTCGAGCTTCGACCAGCCTGAAAACACATTCATGACCATAATTACATTGTAATTCATATTACATGCTCTACTGATCAACAGATGTTGATTTTTTTTTTTTACAAGCAATCTCTTTTGCTCACCCAGACTGCATTTATTTGATCAAAAATACAGTAAAAACTGTAAAACTGAGAAATAGTATTACAATTTAAAATAACTGTTTTCTATTTGAATATGTTTCAAAATGTAATTCATTCCTGAGATGCAAAGCTGAATTTTTTAGCATCATTCCTCCAGTCTTCAGTCTCACATGGCCCTTCAGAAATCATTCTAATATGTTGATTTGGCGCTCAAGAAACATTTCTTATTATTATCAATGAAGAAAACAGTTGTGCTGCTTAATATTTTTTTGTGGAAACGGTTTTTAGCAGGATAAAATAATAATAATAATTCATTACATTTAATAATGTAATGAAGGATTCTGGAGGATTCTTTGATATGAACATAATTTTTTTTGTATCAATGTAAAAGTCTTTACTACCACTTTTGATCAATTTAATGCATCCTTGAATAAAAGTATGGATTATGTGTAACACGGTTATTGACCATTATGGCTTTGAGCTCCATACTACTGGGGTAAACACTCCTGCCACCAAACTGAAAGGTCTTTCTCAGATTCTGCTCACAAGCTTTAGCAATTCCTGGAGATCACACATTAAATAATGTTAGATCATCATGCGTCATAAAAATATGATTTTAATTTAGAGACTAACATAAGTTAAATGTGTACTGTGTATGTGTGATGTATTATTACCATGAAAAAGCACTTCAGGACTTCTGCAGACGTCTCTGAGGAACTTGAGTAAGAATGGTTTGAGCACTGCAGAGCAGCGGTAAAAAGCAGTCAGAATGTAGAGCAAGCGCCAGCCCTTCTGACAGCTGTCACTGCAACACAACACAACACTAACATACAGACTCTGACAGCTGAACACAGATTCCTATCAAACAAGCAAATACACAGAAAACATCTCACGGTTTAGAGCTGGTATTGGCTGTAATCTGTCTGAGGACTTGACAGTAAGCCTCATCCTTCATCAGTCCATATTCACCGGTTAACTATAAAAACAATTATGCATTTTAGTAAAATTAAAGCTAAAACATATATCAAACACAACTGGGGGTCTATGAGCCCTATGGGTAACAGTACAGCTGGTCCTATGGACGAGAGGTTGTGCTTTACCTTAAGGAAGGTGCAAACCACAAACTGCTCTGATTGGCCCCTGAGTGGATGATCTCCCATGAACTTCATTATGGCTGCACACAAACCAAACCCAGAAATAAATAAATCTTGAGATATGAAGCATTCCAAAAAAATAATAATAAACAAAAATAAAACCGACTGAGTGGCTGTGATTTATGTTTCAACTCACCTAGGAAAATTTCAGAAGCAACTCGGTTCATGTTGGGGTCAGTGAAGTCTATGAGGGACTCTATGATAGGGTTCTGGAGAAAACAAGAGATCATCAGTTTTATATGTGTGTGTGTGTGTGTGTGTGTTTGTGGTGTAAATACTATATATATATATATATATATATATATATATATATACACACACACACATGTATATGTATACTACTGTTCAAAAGCATTTTTTAAATGTTTTTGAAAGAAGTCTCTTACGCTCACCAAGCCATTTATTTGATCAAAAATATAGTAAAACAGTAATATTGTGAAATATTATTACAATTTAAAATAACTATTTTCAGTTTTAATGAACAATTTATTCCTGTAATAGTAAAGCTGAATTTTCAGCATCATTACTCCAGTCTTCAGTGTCACATGATCATTCAGAAATCATTCTAATATGATGATTTGGTGCTTAACATTTCTTATAATTATTAATGTTGAAAACAGTTTTGCTGCTTAATATTTTTGTGGAAACCATAATACATTCTTTTTCCAGATTCTTTAATCAAAAAATGTCACAAGCTTTTTTTCAGCATTTCTTTTAAACAGAAATCTTTTGTAACATTATAAATATAAATCTTTACTATCACTTTTGATCAATTGAATGCATCCTTGCTAAAATTGACCCCAAACTTTTGAATTGTAGTGTACATGTATATGCATATGCATTTGCACATGTATTTATATGTTTGTGTACGTATGCATATAGTGGACGCAGTACCTTGCTGAATTTCACCATCTCTGCGGGGTCTTTGTTTGCTTTACCTTTTTTGGACTTATCCCTGAACGAATCACTAGTAACATAAAAAAAAGTACAACATCTGGACTCAGTCCTGTGTTTTACTGTGTTGGACTGACTTTGAATAAATAAGCAGGATTTTTTTGTATTATAATAGCAGTAGCATCACTTTTACCTCTTGTTTCCATTTGACGTTCTGAAATATTTCTTAGCAAACTCCACCATGTTGTACTGGCTGTCCAAAATGATGTTGCCCTCAATTTCAGAGTCACCAAAATCCCCTAAACCATCAGACTAGCAATCACAAAACAGACATAAAACGAGTATGTAATATTAGTAATATTCCGTCAGACACATTTTGTTCAACCTCAACTAACAGCCTTGTAGTAAATAGGAAATTCACATGTTTTATTTTCAAAGATAGTAATACTGCATAAAACTTTTTAATAGTGCACTTTCATTGTCGCATAATTTGCTAATATTAAATGTTATGCCATATAGTACCAGATTTGCTAAACAGGGCAAATTATCATAAGAGTGCAATTCCGAAAAAGCGGCGACAGAAGTGGAATGCCCAGTGCGTGATCTACAGACAATACACAAATGAAAGCACACAGACACAGCGGGATTATTTCCATAATGACCAACACAATCTACCCAGAGCAGCGCAAATTAGCGTCTGGTTTAAGACGTGCTTTTTTGGGTAAATAATGCCACAAATATCCAGTAAATTGACGAGCGCAAACCTTAGTAAATCACCTTGCGTGATTCATTTAAATACTCTCCTCTCATAAATTTTGCATCTGAAAGGGAAACTCCAACAAATGCATACGCAATAAGTTCAGCCGCAAAAATAACCCTGTCCATGGCTTTTCAGTGCTATTCTTTTCTACTGCGTGTCTTTAGTAAATCCTGACAGTAGTTTTTTAATACCCAAAGAGGGTTTGTGCTGGAGCAAGCTTGTCATTGTAATTTCGGCATCAGCATTTGTATATGCTGCATGAATGATATTGTGTTGATGTACCTCCAGTGAGGGGTCTAGTTCATGTGCAGCTGCAGTGGAGGCCACGGCGAGAGCGATAGCTCCTGATGCTGCCACTCGACCCTGTCTATCTCTCGGCTCGTCTCTTCTCTCAGCCGGGAGACTCAGGAAATCAGGAGCAGCTACAGGAACCACACACTCCATGGGGAACGCTCCGCTCCGACCCTGCACTGCCCCATACCTCCAGCCTGAAAAAAACATACATAAGCTTATGACAGCTTATTATTTCTGCATTCCACTTTTTTTTAACATCTTAATAAATAGGCATAAATAGATATCTGTTTTCATCATGTGACAAAATATATCTCATTTCAAGTTTAGTTACACAATTTAAAGCATCCTATAAACAAAATAATATATATAAAAAAGGTAATATGTTAAATGTCGGACCAAAATCTGGTGTGCCTCTCTTTAGCTCCTCGAGGTATATTACTTTTTTCTTCACCACACAGCCGTAACTCTGACCTGAAACACAAATGCACATGCACACCATGAAAATGTCACAATTCTTCCTCTAAAATGCATGCACAGCAGTTTAAGTATAGTCATGCACTGTACGGGACCCCCACACGGATTTCCTGGAGTATCAAGGACAAGCCTGTCCCAAGGTTAACTGCTGATCCTCCTGAAGGAATGCTAATATTTTGAGCTCCATTCTAAAATCTTTTCCTGTTGAGTAATTTCCTAATCTTTACGGACTCAAAACTGAACAAATCACTGTATACAAAAAAGTTATTGTCTACCGTTCAAAAATGTGGGGTTGTACAATTTTGTGCTCACCAAGGCTCCATTTATTTGATCAAAAATACAGTAAAAACTGTAAAATTTTAAATAACTCTATTTTCTATTTCTTTAAAATCTATTTTAATATATTTCAAATTGTAATTTATTCCTGTGATGCAAATCAGAATTTTCAGAATCATTACTCCAGTCTTCAGTGTCACATGATCCTTCAGAAATCATTCTAATATGATGATTTGCTGCTCAAAAAACATTTCTTTATTATCACAGGTAAAAACAGTTGTGCTGCTTAATATTTTTGTGGAAACTGTGATATATTATAAATATCTTTACCATAACCTTTGATCAATTTAAAGCATGAATACAAATATTAATTTCTTTAAAAAAAAAACACGTTTGAATGTAGTGTACCTAAACTCAATGGGATGAGATCAGCAATATATTGTATTTGGGTGCCAAATATTTTCCCCTGCTAAAAACTGCATGACATCACTGCTTGTGGGAAAGACCTATAGATTTTAATGTGCGTATATGACTGCATTTCTCACCCTCCTCCAATCCATCCATGGCCTGCAGACGAATGATATCTCCTTTATAGAAGTTTAAAAGAGCTCTGTCCTCCGTGATGAAGTTTCTCTCTGCTACAACATACTCAGAGTCCTGCGGAGGAAGTCAGAAGTACAGCATTGCATGTTAACACAAAATCAGAGCCGTCTTTGGCAGTGTAACAGCACCTTAAAGTCACCATGAACTTTTTTTTTAACAGAATTTATTATTTATTTATTATTTTTATTCATTACAAACGATTTATCTTTTTTAAAATCATGTGTCCTTGTAATCTTTAATCAAAATAACTCCCTCTTGCAGCGACATCTCTTCTTTTCTCTGATGACGTGTTTAGTGGCATGAGGGCGGGACAACCTGTCACTCACATGACATCACAGTAATAGCAAACCATGACCATCCAATCAATTCCTGATAGACAAAATCAAGTCCCGCCCTACATTTTTTCTTGTTCGAGAAGCCATTTCACTCGTATTTCCATCAAAATCGGGAAGAAAAGACAATATCGCAACTTCCGTTTCATGGTAACTTTAAGAAATGATAAGAAGAGAAATCGAAGCCTCTTCCGTACCTTCTTTAGATGAGAGATGAAGAGATCAATCATCTGTTTGATCTGAGGAGCTTTGGCTGAAAACAGAATCAGTTTCTCATTCATCAGATTAAACTCCAGCATGTTCTGAGACGGGATGGTCACAAACAGGATGTCTGTGTAGCTGTGGGAGAGAGCGAGAGTTGTGGTACTCAATCTTTGTGAGGTCTCTGGCTGACAGAGGGTTAAATGGCTGGATGGATGACGCACCTGTACGGACGGAGCACTCTGAAGTAGTCTGGAGCTGCAGAGCTGCTTTTCACTGTCTTTAGAAGTTTGATCCCAGAGTGAGACACTGCCAACACCTGCACTCCAGTACCCACACTGCCCTACACACACACACACACACACACACACACACACACACTGGTGACATATCAGGCATAAACTGAATTCATACTGAAAGGCTGCCAGCAAAAGGAACTCACAGAGGCAGGAAAAAGGCGAGAAAAATAAATCTCCCATGATTCCCTGGCAGCAGCAATCACAGCTTTCTTCACACTCTCATCCGGAACATCTGTGTTCGGCTCGATGCCATATTGAGCTATGAAATAAACACACATATCATAGTAACAGATCAGTGTAGTCATCAAAAACATTCAACTAAACATGCCATGGGAAATGATTCCACATAGAAAATAAATGTAACTGTAAATGAATTCCTTCCTCACCAAACAAGGATTTCATCTTCTGTCTCTCCTCTTTAGTAATACGCACACAGGCCTCTGTAAATGTGTCATTGACAATCTGAAAAACATCATTTATAGGTGAGAAATAAATTACAAAAATATGGAATGAAGAGAGAAAAGCAATGTATTTGCCAAATTTTAAAATATTTTAATAAAAATGTTTGGGATCAGTGCGTTTTTGTTTTTCAGCATGTGCATTACATTTATCAAGAGTCAGTAAAAACTTTAACATTGTTACAAAAAATGTATTTCAAATAAATGCTATTCTTTCAAACTTTCTATTCATCAAAGCACATGATCTTATGAAGGCAATGAGTGGAGTTCGCCTCACCTGTTTGAATATGAGGTTCAGCACTAGCGGATGGTTCCAGCTGTCTTTGGGGTAGAAGACCTACAACAATTTGAACAGGAGCATTAGTGCGGAAACTGTTCTGTGTTCAAGATGATCTACAAAATTAACTAAATACACACACACCTCCTTCCTGAGGCAGATTTTCCAGGGGACGTTTGTGTAGGTGTAATGCTCCTCTGTGCTGCTCCTCTGCAGCTGTGTTTGGATGCTCTCAGATTCCACTGGAAGATCTCGGGACACTGGTGTGTGTGTGTGTGTGTGTGTATGACAGATGGAGAAATAGAGATGGTTGAGGACATACAGTATGCATTATATACAATATACTGCTATTTGGGGTTGGTAAGATATTTTTTCTAATGTTTTTGAAAGAAGTCTGTTTTGCTCATTTATTTGATCAAAAATACAGTAAAAAAGGTAACACCGTGAAATATTAGTACAATTTAAAATAACTGTTTCTATATTCATATATTTTAAAATGTAACTTATTTCTGTGATGGCTGAATTTTCAGCATTATTACTCCTTCATGATCCAATGAATCATTCTATATGCTGATATATAGATCTATAAACATTTTTGCTGTTTAATATTTTTGCGAAAACCATGATACATTTTTTCAAGATTCTTGAATGAATAGAAAGTACAAAAGAACAGCATTTATTTGAAATATAAATATTTTATAACATTAAAAATGTCTGTCACTTTTGATCAATATAATGCATCCTTGCTGAATAAAAGTATTAATTATTAAAAAAAAACCTTCTGAACAATAGTGTGTATCCCTTACAAAAAGATGGTTATACTACAATACTTTGTTATCGTAATAATATAATACCATAATATCTGTTGTAAGCGATGTCGGTAACGCTTCCTTTTTCAGTCCTGTTACCCATGTACTTACTATGTACTTATTATAGTAACTATAATTACTGGGTAATAACTAGGTACTAACCCTGAACCTACCCCTAAACCTACCCCTTTAACCCATGTACTTACCTTATATTAGCCAGTACTTTCTAGGTAAGTACACTGTAAGTACACGTAAGTACTGTACTGTAAAAGGAAGCGTTACCGCGATGTCTGTGTGTGTGTGTGTGTGTGTGTGTGTTTGCGTGTTGTTCACCTGGTGGAGGTAAAGTCAGTGGTGGTTCTGGTGCTTTCTTCTTGCTGCTTTTAGTTGGTTTGAGGCCTCCATCTCTGGACACAGCGACTGGAGTGGGAGGCTTTCTCTACACAAACAGTTACACACAGCACAAGATGTTATATTTTGCGAAGACAAACATTTGGTGCACAATACGACCAGGAATGTGTATAAAGAAAGAAAAGCAAATTCAATCTGTTCACCATATAAAGCGATCGAGTCTCTTCAGAAAGTTTTTAAAAAACCGCTCAAAATGAGGCATTTATATAGCGCTTTCATATGTACTACGGTACACCCAAAGCGCTTTACAATCATAACAGGGGATCTCTCCTCAACCAGCACCAGTGTGCAGCATCCACTTGGATAATGCGATGGCAGCCACAGTACAACGGCACCAGTGCGCTCACCACAGACCAGCTATAGGTGGAGAGGAGAGGGAGTGATAGAGCATATTCAATGGATGGGGATTATTAGGAGGCCATGATTGGCAAGGGCCAATGGGTGGAATTTGGCCAGGACACCGGGGTTACACCCCTACTCTTTAAGAGAAGTGCCATGGGATTTTTAATGACCACAGAGAGTCAGGACCTCGGTTTAACATCTCATCCGAAGGACGGTGCTCTTTGACAGTATAGTGTCCCCGTCACTATGCTGGGGCGTTAGGACCCACACAGACCACAGGGTGAGCGCCCCCTGCTGGCCTCACTAACACCTCTTCCAGCAGCAATAGTTTTCTCAGGAGGTCTCCCATCCAGGTACTGACAGGGCTCAACCCTGCGTACCTTCAGTGGGCAACCAGTCTTGGGCTACAGGGTGATATGGCTGCTGGCAACTAGTTAATTTAATCTCTTTATGAACTTTTTGAAGCATCAAAGTGGTAGTTGCGTAGCTGTCAATGGAGGGACAGACATCTCTCAGATTTCATTAAAAAGATCTTCATTTGTGTTCCAAAGATGAACAAAAGTCTTACGGGTTTGGAACGACATGAGGGTGAGTAATTATTCACAGAATTTTTATTTTTGGGTGAACTATTCCTTTAAAGCATATTAAAAACACCACACAGACATATAAAAAACATAAAAAACTTAAATGATTAGTTATTAGCTAGCAACCTTTAATAGTTCAGACACGCTTTAAATGGATAGTACAGAAGTGAGAGAGGTAAACATACACACCTCTGGAGGAGGTGGATTATCCATCTGTGTTTTTAGGATCTGCATTGCCTCATCATGTGGGTTCAACTTCTTGACAAAACCTTTCCCATCCCGCCTGTCAACAAACGCATGCCATTCTTTGAGTTAAGAATAATAATAAAATAATCTGATTGCATGATACATAGGAGCAAATGCACAGGTAACCCACCTCTGTCTCTGCGGCACAGGTTCTGGGTCCGGAGTTTGATATTGTTTAATGATGTCTTTAATGTTGTGGCTGGGAACAATGTGCTCAGAGTTAGAGACAGAATATTTCACCACCTCTGTGGCAGGAGCCGGAGCAGAACGCATGGGACCCGTGACCGCAACAGGAGCTGAGAGACAGAAAGAAAAAGTTGGAATATATAGAAGTTACAGAAAATGGATTTATTTCAATTGTTGGGCATTATTATATTAAATGCAATCACACCATGTTTTTTAGCAGGCCGGCTGTCAAGTTTAATTGGTGCAGCGGGGGCTTGTTTCTTCCCTAATGTCCCATTAGATGATGCAGCCTGAAAATCATTTAGCCAAAGATGACAAATCATCAACAGTTCTTATATTAAAATGTACTCAGCAGTTAAACAGATACACAGATTAGATAAATATGAGAGACTAAAAGTTAATTACAATCAATCAAAGTGCAATTAGAAGCAATTAAGTTGCAGCGTAATATGAAAAAGATACAGTATTAATGACAATAATCAATAAAAGACATGCACATAAAAACATGAACACATGATCCTTCAGAAAACATTCTAATATGCTGATTGGTTGCTCAAGAAACTCAAGAAAATAATATCATTATTATTATTAATGTTGAAAACAGTTGTGCTTCTTATTATTTTTGAGGAAACCGTGATGCAAGTTTTTCAGAATTCTTTCATGAATTGAAAGTTCCAAAGAACAGCATTTTATTTGAAATCTTTTGAAATATCACAATTTTCTTCACTTTTGACCAATTTAATACTTCCATGCAGAATAAAAATTATTAAAAAAAAAAAAAATCTTACTGACCTTAAACTTTTAAATGGTAGGGTATTTATATTTACATTACATGTATTGATTTAGCAGATGCTTTATCCACAGCAAATGAGGAACTTCATGAGAAATTGGTCAAAAGAGCCAACAATATTCCTAGGACACAAAGTCAAGTTTACAGTATAAACTAGATTATATCAACACTCGGGCACCTGTGTAGTCTTGGTGTTCAGCGGCTGTGGCGTTGGGGGGCTGTTCTTCTTCATGGGCTCACTTTGCCCCTCTAAGATGCTGGGGGTGGCGTAGATCGAGGTGGAGGCGGCGGCCGGCTGGGGGGTCACTGGAGGGCTTGTGTACGTGGACAGGGGAAGTGGGGCGTAGGGGCTGAGGGGGATGTTTGCGTAGGGGCTGGGAGGGATGTCGGGGTACGGGCTGGGTGGGAGAGTGCTGTAAGGGGTGGGAGGAGGACTGGTTGGGGGGCTGGTGAGGGGAGACATTGGGGGACTGGACACTGGACTGGTCACCATAGCCATCGCCTGCATGGTCATCTGCTGAGCCTGAAGATGTAGGGACAGTCGAGAGACACAAGGTGACTTAAAACACTTGAAAACCAGTTCACACCAAAAACGATAAGTATAACGATAACTATATTAGCGTCACACCAGTGGACGATATAATTCTGTTTATTATAAACATGCACTGCAGTTTTGTAGTTTGCCGCTTTTAATGCTTGAGATCTTTAAAGTAGGATGGATTCTGATTGGGTGTCATTGTTTTCATTGTTCATCAGCTAGAAAAAAAAAAATTGTTTCCCTGTGCCGCTATCTTTTAGTTGTGATGTGGATATTCTTTTATATTTAGAACGATTTTTAGAACTATATCTTTTTCGCTATTGTTATAGTTATTGTCCTTGGTGTGAACGGGCCTTTAGTCCATTTTTTAGTTTTTGGGTTAAAAAGACATTTTTATATATTACATTTTAATATGTTGTCATGTTGTATTATGTCATGTATTAATTGCAGTCTGATTGAAAAGGCATACAATTTTACATGTAAAACCTTTTTATTTTGTTTTATTTGACATCAACATATGTAAAAATGTAACAGACAATCTGTAACCAAACATTCAAAAAGTAAAAATGAATAATACATTAAAACAAACAAAATAAAAACTTTAATAGTATATCAATGATACCAAATGAAAACTGGTTTAGATTATTAGACATTTTTTTAAATATTTAAATTTAATTTGAATTTTTTTGTAATTGTGTTGTTTGTTTTTTTATAATTTTTACTATAATAAAAAATATATGTCTATATAGTTTTTTTATTCTTAACGTATTAGTTTTAATTTATTTAGTTTGAGTTATTTTATTATTTGAAGTTAAACTAAAATGAGAAATGTTGACTTGAAAACTAGATACAATAAAATAAAGTTTAAGCTTTTTATATTTTATTTTATTTCAGTTAACGTTTATTTTGTTTAAATTAACACACATTTTTTTGTATGGATTTAGTTTTAGTTGACAATAATATTTTAATTTTACTAAACTAAAAAAACTAAACAAATAATAGCCCTGGGCTATTTACACTAACTCCGCCACTAACTCTTGTGTAAATAGAATCTATCGCTGTTTGCACTTAGTGCAAATAGCCCCAACCAAAATATTTTGTTGTATAAAATTATTGAAGAAAACTTTATCATTAACAGTTGTCATGTGATCAACTTCTCTTTACAGCATTAAAGATTCACCAATACATTTCCAAACTCAGAAACACCACTTCATAAACCAAAAAAAGAAATCACAAGAAAGGAGTAAAATCCAAGTCTTCGTTCAGACTTCGTGGAGAGTTTTTAGTTTTTAGTATGTAGCCATCTGATAATAAAGCCTTTTTATTCTTTAAATTAATAAAGTTTTCTTTGATGGACTACTAAAATACCTGGACCATAGAGCACCTTGACTGGGTACTTTTCCTTTAGATGTGCTCTCTTCAATTGGACTTTGTTTAAATAAAATTATTGTTTTTTAAAATTATTTATTAATAAAATTATTCTGTCAGAATTTACTCACCCTGAAATAATTCTTCAAAAAAAAAAACATCACTTTAAAGAAATAGTCAAATAGTTTAAAAAAACATGAGGATGAGTAAATGAGAATTTTCATTATTGTTTCAATAAAGACTGCAGTACCATAATGACGGCTTGCTGGTTGATGATGGTTTGTTGCTGTTGGGCCAGGACAGTTTGCTGTTGGTCTGAGGGGAAGAATTAAAAGACAATACTGAATTCTTCTCCATCACTCCAAGCCGTGTAAAGCTGATGGCATTTTAATCAGAAATACCTGGCACTGGGAGCACTGCTGGCATCCTGGGCATGACTGAAGCGCCTGGTATGGGTGGCAGAACTCTCACTGCTGCAAAATACACATAACAGAAAAATATCACACACACAGCCCATCACATCATTAAATTATGTACAGTATGTGGGCATTCATGATTGAGTCCAGCTTAAAAGATCAGCATAGCTGGTCCTCAGGTTGGGATTCTGGTGTCTCTGCCAGGCTTCTTGACTTGACTAACGAATCTGGTCAAGAAGCAGTAAAATTAAGTCACAATATATATTGTTTCAAAGCAGAATGTTTATCATATCTTAATAATCTTTATGCCTTATAGCCACATTTAGTAGGTTAAAGCTGGGTGAAAATATAGTTCTAATATAGAAGATACAAGCAGATAAGATATACTATATAGTATGTATTGCCCTACGCGAGTATACTGTGTGTACGCAGAAAAAAAGTTTGCCATCTTTAAAGAGCTGGGCGAGTTAAATTTTGCAAAAAAAAAAAAAAAAAAAATTCAGGCAGTTGAGATTAAACCGATGAATAGCCTTTGTATATAACTGTACTACACACACAGTGTATTGTATGTATACAGAAAAAAGTTTTGCAGGCGGTCCAGCATCAAAACCAGCATAAACCAGCCTGGACCAGCAAAGAAATTCCTGCTTTTTTAAGCCGGACTTCTCAGCAGAGAATGTGTGAAAGTGAATGTGTGTTTACCTCCAGGCTGAAGAGTGACTCTAGCAGGGGACTGTGCTTCATCGCCACCTACACCTCCTCCACCCTTCATCCTACCAGACAAAACTGAAGCATCAAGGTCCTACATATAAAAGAATAATCCAGTTAGTTACTAAGACCGCATACTTCAGAGTACTACAGCAAAAAATAAAAAAATAAAAAATCCATAGCATTCCAGAATGTTTTACTTTCATAATATCTTTCTAAGTGAAACGATGGTAAAAAAAAAAAAAAACTCTAATTAGTCCAGCTAATATGTATTAACATCATTCTGGAGTAAAAAGATCGGACAATGTCGTCTTCCAACAGCATAATTTTTGCAGCATTTTTCTTGCTGATGGTTTTTATGCAGTAAAGGTTAAAAATCCACACTGGGTGAATAGGACTCTGTGTTAGTAGTATCATATATTTGGGTTGAAATAGTGGAAAATTTGTTTTATACTCTAATAAAAGCTGTATTTGCATTCCATGAAAGAAGATAAACAACCTATTTTTTCTTTCATAACGTATTTCTGAGTGAAACTATATATTAAATAATAAATCAAATGTAGGGCCACACTTCAGCCACACAAAGAGTCAGACCATGCTTTAACACATATTTTACTGCATTAATCTGTTTCTATAACAGAGATAATTAAATTAGAGGAATCTCATTGATTTAAAGGTGTGTAGTTTACTGAATGACTGTTGGTCTCCGTCTCTCTCTGCATGTGGGATAAGCCTCATTAAAAAATTACACACTCATTTGCTTACTTTTTTCCTAGTGCTCTGTGTAAAACGATCATAGGAAGCACAGCCAAACACACACACACACCAACACATAAATGAGACTGAGAATTACAGTAACCCTGTAAAGCAATCTTTCATTCTTTCGCTCTCTCTGACACACACATTAAGGGTTAATTGACATTTGTGTGTGTGAGTTAATCAGGTGTCATCGTACCCCATCAGACAGAACTGGGTCAAAGAGGCTGTCCAAATACCGGTCCATCCCACGATGAGTGGCATCATAGGATGGTTCTGAGTCTGATAAAGACAGAAAGAGACAGAGAGAGAATGTGAAAAAAAATAAGGATAAAGTGGAATTTATGTTTAATAATACAACAAAAGTATCTTCATCTTGGTTTGCAGTAAGATTACTTAGGCTTTTTTTTTAAGTATAAGAAGCAAATACATCCCAAGATACCAGGTCAGTAGGATTGTTTTGTCACACTTTAGTTTAGGCTCCAATTCTCACCATTAACTAACTATTACCTATGACTTTTGCCTCAAATTAACTCCTAATTACTGCTCATTAATAGTTACTAAGGTAGTTGTTAAGTTTAGTTATTGGGTAGAAATAAGGGATGTAGAATAAGGTCATGTGTGCTTTATAAGTACTAATAAACAGCCAATTTCCTAGTAATATGCATGCTAATAAGCAACTAGTTAATAGTGAGGATTGGACCCTAAACTAAAGTGTTACCGATTGTTTTTTTTAAAGAAAATTAATGCTTTTATTTAGCAAGGACACATTAAATCGTAAAAAGTAAAAGACATTTATAATGTTACAAAAGATTCCTATATTTCAAATAAATACTTGTCTTTTGAACTTTCTATTCATCAAAAAATCATAAAAAATTGCATCACGGTTTCCCCAAAAACACTGTTTTCAACATATATAATACTAAGAAATGTTTCTTGAGCAGAAAATCAGCATATTGGAATGATTTCTGAAGGATCACATGACACTGAAGACTAGAGAAATGTTGCTGAAAATATATCAGAATAGAAAGTTGTCATAAAAAAAAAATGCAGCCTTGGTGAGCAAAAGAGACTTTCAAAGACATTCAAAAATAAATATATTACTGACCCCAAACTTTTGAACAGAAGTGTATTAAAGAAATAATTTAACGAAGAATCTAATCTATTGCACACATAGTAGTTCATTATACTATTAAAATCTACTGTAACCTACTTAAAAAAAGATAATTCATGGAAACCAAGCTGAGTGATTTGAAATTTCCGATGCCAGACAGATTAATACATTGTCACATGGCCGTAAGTGAATTTTTTAAGAGGATCAGAGAAAATGGTAATCAAAACAATTTTCTCATGTGTTCTTTAACCCAAAATTCAAAATATGCCAGGTGAAGTCAATAACACTGGTACAACAAGCCACTGCCTCAAAAACATTATTAATGATCAATGACCTGAACATTTCACCCTTGCAAGACCTCTTAAACCTGTATAATGTTACTCATCCTCTGGACATGCACACAGAAAGGTTACATGAACACCATCGGGGTTAGTTTAGCTGTATGTAATCTAGCCATTCTGTGTGTATCTGTTTCTACTTTACATGCAGGGTTGTAGATCTGCTACATCTGATTAAAGCAGGGGCTGTAGTTTAGTGTTTCTTGAGATTATGCTTGGATATTCATGACTCATGAGACAGACCACTAGGCCTATTGCTGGAATAACAATCACCGGGCAATCAGATTGAGAAGGGTCAATGACTTTATGTCGTTTCACTTAGGAACAAGTGAATGTTGTGCTTCATTTAAAAGACTGAAAAAGGAGGCTACCCAGACTGTAGTGGCCTTCAGAAATCGGTAGGCTGTTGGTTGCAATGGCGCTCGTTCGGTTGGCAAACGATAGCGGCCCCTCCTCATCCTCTTCAAATCCACTGCCAAAGAGACTTCTGCATACCAACGTATTAAACATTGTCACAACAATGCACTACAACTGAAACATGGGAGAACAATGAAATATTTTGGGATGCATACATACATGCTCGCGTTAGGTCGTGCCCTGCTGGGGTCTTCAGTAGAGATGATGAAGTATGTTTTCTGTTTAGGGAAGTCTGGCAGCAGCTCCAGGTCACACACTAGATCGAGAACATAATCGTGACCCTCTAACTCCACCCACTGCGCCAGCTCCTTCATCAGAACGGACCAACCACATCGACTCTCAGTGGACACGCCCCTGCAGGAGGGCCAATACCATGTTACTGACACTACAGGCTGGAATACACTAGACAACACACTAGGCACCATATACTTGGCAACTTTGAAATTGGTTACAGAGAATAACTGGGCATCATACACTAAACAACTGAGGATCACAAACGAACAGACTTTAAGTCATTCTGAAGACAACAAACACAGAAATGTGTGTCTCGTTGCTAGAAGATGTGTTACGAATGAAAACAGTATGTGTTCTGAAATTGGCTCAAAATATCAAACATGTTTGAAATCCCCAGACTGGATGAAATCGATTTTCAGCAACTAGCGTGGTTTGTAATCTTAGTAAAGTTTGTGTGAAGAAATCCAGCCTTAAGATGCTGTATTTTCAAGTAAAATTCAGTGGGAAGAAAATTCACCTGTGTTGTAGAACGTCTCCTGCAAGGCCCTCTCCATTAGTCCAGGAATGGACAGGACACAGGAAAGAGACACCTACAAAGGGATAATCAAATAAAACTCAATTAAAAAAAGCCCCAAACCCAAGTCCCTCTGTTATTATGGTCTCTAGATACAGCCTGGCTTCCTCCCAGTCTAAATCTATACTTTTTGTGTTGCAGGTGAAAATCAGGTGTAATTTAAAGACAGGTTCTATATAAGTCTTGTTTGCACTTCCCCATGCCTCAACACAATAGGTCAGATGTGGAACAATCAATGAATTATATAACAAAATTAAGGCACATTTATTTACAGATTCTTTTACTTTATGTAACACAGCTATAATTTGGGATACCCTAGATTTAACATAGTCAATATGGAATTTCCATGTCAACTGTTCATCGATAACAACACCTAAAAACTTAAATTCATGAGTCCTTGCAATCTGTACTCCTTGTACTGTCAATGCTGCATTTAAATCCACATTTATACAACCAAAAATCATAAATTTTGTCTTACTGATATTTAAAGATATTTTAATATTTATTTACCTCATTTATATTTTTGCCAGCATAAAAAAAAGTAGTATCATCCGCAAACAAAATACATTTTAGTAACTTAGAAACATTTACTATATCATTCACATAAAGAAGAAAAAGTACTGGACCTAGTACCGATCCCTGGGGTACACCACAATTTATTGGACAATTTCTTGATTTTATGCTATACTGCATACTTCCCAACCTAAACAGAATGGAGTTTCCATTTCTATAAAACACAGACCCAGACAGTGGGAACATAGTGTCGGCCCAGATCCAGCCCACATCTGGTACGCATTGAATCCACATGTACCAGATGTGGCCCGGATCTGGGCCGATACTATGCTGTCTGGGGATAGTATACAATTTGAGATACACTCAGCCACTTTATTTCTTCGGATGGACACAAACAAATATTTTTTGAAAAATAATCCATATCTGTGAGACCATCTAACACGGAGCCCCACATATGACATGTGAAAGCCATATATATATATATATATATATATATATATATATGAGCCAAAACGCCTGATTTATAACCACCTTCCTAATATGCTGTTGTTCCTCCATGTGCAAAACAGCACCTACCCCGCCAAAACATGGACTCTATAAGACCTCTGAAAGTGTCCTGTGGTCTCTGGGACCAAGACAATAGAAGTAGATCCTTCAAAGTCCTGTAGGTTGCAAGGTGGAGCTGCCGTGGATCGAACTTGTTTGTCCAGCACATCCCACAGATGCTCAATTAGATTGAAATCTGGGGAATCTGGAGGACAACACCTTGAACTTTTCAGATATCCTCTGACCCAGTTGCCTTGCCATAACAATTTGGCCCTTGTCAAAGTCGCTCTGATCTTTGTTTTTGCCCATTTCTCCTGCAGAACTGAGATCTGTTGTTTTCTTACCATCTATTCTACCCAGACCTTAATATGTGGACTTGTTAGAAGATGATATTGTGATCAACACACAGGAGAAAAATCTCCAGTAGGAGGTCATTAATACCTGTAGCTTGTAATGGTTGTGTAATTGGAAGAGAATTGACGGGTGGAAAGAGTATTCAAGATAATTTGACTGATCATCTTATCTCTACCAGCACACACACACACACACACACACACACACTATCACATATCTGCTAATCTGCTCCAGCCCAAACAGGCGAGGACAGAGAGGCAGTGTAACTGGATGAGAGAAGGCGTAAAATAAAGCAGAGTGACAGAGAGAGTGAGCAAGATTAGATGAAAGAGGAGAGGCTAAAAGAAAGATATAGAGAATGACAGAAGAAGAGATTAAATAGATTAGAGGAAAGGATAGACAGATGACACCAGTCCTGATTTGCCTCCTGACCTGACATTAACATGCATTATTTGAGAGACAGTAGAAAGTAGGACAGGAAATTGAGGCGAGAGAGAGAGAGAGTGCACTGACACTATTGGACGAGAACAAAAACTCGAACTGAATTGAGCTGGATGATGACACTACTGTCTTCTGTAGAGCTGCTTTATAGCTGAATCGACTTAGTGTCAATGTTGTAAAATTAGCCAATTATGAAACAGTTATTGAACTGATTTGAATCAACATTGATTGAACTGACTTGATATGAATAACACAACTGTTGTGTTCTGCAGAGCTGCTTATTGCTGAATTGAACTAGTTTCATAATTGATGATCTTTACACAGAACTGAATCAACATTGAACTGACCTCAACATTGAACTGAAAAATACACTATTGTCATCTGTAGAGCTGCAGAATTTGAATTTGTCTAATATTTGATGGTTTGCATCATTGATTCTGTTATGAATTAGTTTATTACCGTGAAGCTGCTTTTAAAATAATGTGTATTGTATGAAGCGCTATTTAAATAAATAAAGGGGATATAAAAAAAGAGGGAAAACAGCACCACTTACGTCTCGTTCAGAAACATTGTGGCTTAGTGTGGAACTGTAAGGCAGTTTTAAAAACCAACTGTATGGAAATAGTCAAGAATCATGTCTTTTGACTGCAGTTTTCTGTCTGACATTGTAGCTTTGTTTCAAAATCAAGTGAGCTGCCTAACTAGACAGCATTTATCGTAATCAATTGGGACTATTTGCAAAGATTTATTTTAAAATATGCACACATTTACACTTAATCGTGTATGCCTAATATACCAAAAACAGCTCCATTAATATTTCTTGTCTTTTCACATTCAGTTACAAATTAGATGAATCACGTGAATGATAGCCTATATTTTAAATTCAAAACGGCGGAATTTGACAAAAAGGTAGCTTGCATCACTGGAAATTATTGTCGGTTGTTCCAGTAAAGTGTTGTCAAATGTTAAAACCTTAGCTATTGATATTTTACCTTGCAATTAATGCTCGGCAACTGTGAACAGTAAAGCCTGCCTTCTGTGATTTGATTGCCATCTCAAATATTTTGACATTGACGAGTGCTGTTAGTATTTGGGACAATTTTGGGACAATTTGGCCATATCTAATGATTGAGGATGTATGTGTACCCTTCATGTATATGGTGGTTATGTCATGCATGAAATACTAAATTATTTCTAAGTAATGTGGCACCGTCCTAAATGAGTCTGAACAGGAAAAGATGACAATCAGTATTAGTCTGAAATCTGATTTTGGTCATAGTTAACTATGCTGTTTTGTTCACGGTGTATATTTATCCTCTTTACTTTGTTACACGTGTAAAAAAACACTAATAGGGTCTTACCATCAAAACAGTGCACCTGGAGAACAATGTGTGCTTTCTTGCGGGTGGCAGTCCACTCTAGCAGGGATGGAGGGTATGTTCGAGATGCTTCAGGGACTAGGTGGGATTTCTGCATTGCTTGGATGAGTTTGTGTTGGCACAGAGCCTTAAAGCCATTCAGAGCATAGTCTGACACAAATCTGACAGAGACAGAGAGACAGTTATTTAACTGCTAGCTCCATGTACCTGAACAGAACAGTATATTATTGAATTGTTGAATATTATTGAATTGTTGTACAAAATATGCATCAGTGATGTGCTTTGACTTGGGTTCAGAAAGATTTTTTTTTTTGAAAGAAATGAATACTTTCATTTGCATTAGATTAATGATAAGTAATGTTTCTTAAACAGCAAATCAGCATAACAGAATGATTTTTGAAGGATCATGTGACACTGAAGACTTGAGTAATTATGCTGAAAATTCATTTTTGCCATCACAGGAATAAATTGTATTTTAAAATTCATTAAAATAGAAAACAGTTATTTTAAATTGTAATATAATATTTCACAATATAAATGTTTTACTGTATGTTTAATTAAATAAATGCAGCCTTGGTGAGCATAAGAGACTTCTTTCAAAAATCTTAGTGACACCAAACTTTTGAATCATGTGTGTTTGTATGTTCATTTGTGCATTCTCCTACTTTAGCAGATATTTCTCCATCTTCTCAGATGGGGCAAAGGAACTCAAACAGGCAGCCATCAACAGCCAGCCTCTCTCTGCATTTCTGCTGTTTTCATTCCGCCACACCTGATTGGCTATCTGCGCTAGGATCTCATCTCTGATTGGTGGGGTGGCAAGGCCTCTCTGAATGATGTAATTTCCAAACAGGTTTTCTTGAGCTCCATTCAGGTTTGGATCTCCCATGAACCTCAAAATCTGTCAACCAAAACAGATATGAAAATTCACCAACATACTGCTAAAAGACTTACAAAGGTGACTGATAATGAGACTGGATTTATGGTAAAGGTAACATTACCAGTATAAACACATCTAGAGCATCCTGTTTCAGATCATCTTCTAGACGAGTCAGTGAGTTCTCCAGCGGTGCTGTTAGCATCCCGAACTGCAATTCCTACACAAAAGAAAGAAAAAATATAGACAAAATGTACTGCTTTATGTCCTTAATGTGAGTGAATTGTGAGTATTATGCACATGAGTGTGTTTGTGTTAGCAGGCAGGACATTTACCCTGAAATGCGTGCGTATATATTTGGTCATCAAATAGTTGTTGATGTCCAATGGAAGAGTGAGTTGGGGGTCCGTCTGTATTCTAGGAGCCTGAACCAGAGCCAAGCAGTCTGAATGACGCTCCCTTCCAGCTAAAAACAAAACAAAAGGTAAAACATTGGTTTAATATTATTTCAAAATTATTAGGTAAAGTAATGCCTAGTTCTCTTACGAGAGGTTCTCTCGTATTGCGTAAGCTAGCTTACGCTGCGGGAAAGATTCATCTTTGCTGAGATATTGAAGCCAAAAAATTATTTCATAATTTTGTATCCATACACAACGCAGTTCCTCTGCGGCAGACCTAGAGCGGGCTAGCTAGCAGCTCATTGGTTCGCTCAGAGAGAACTGCTTAAGCCTATGGGAGAGCGGGGCTGAACCCGCTTCCAATGAGAGGCGCCCGCGCGCTCATTGCGTCATGACCCGCCAGAATGGGCGTGGCCATGGTGTATATAAGGCGCTCTCCCAGGCTTATATGTTGATTCATTTCATCTTCAGCAAGCTGCACGCTTCTGCTGTTCCTGAGAAAAGCCATCGCCGTCGAAGAAGGCATCCTCTAGCGAGCTCAAGGACCCTGAAGAAGCCGGCCGTCTTCGCCACCTTCAGCCGCCCAGCAAGCTAGGCCATCCGACGATTGTATCCTTTCTCTATTTCTAAAAGAGCCGAGCGTCTTTTTAAAGATGTCTCGTTTTTCCTGCGGCTCTTGCCGCGCTCGTCTCGAGGACGGAGACCGCCATGTCATCTGCGCTCTCTGCTTGGGACTCGAGCATGCAGAACTCGCCCTCGCTGATGGAGGATGCGACCTCTGTGAAAGCCTGCCGTTATCGTCCCTGCGGGCACGACTTCTGGCAGTGAAAACCGCTCCCGCGCCGCCTATTCTCTCGCCGCGTAAAAAGAAACGCCGCTCTCAAAGGCCGCCGGAGCCCCCAGCGGAAACATGCGGGCCGCCGCCGCCGCCTCCCGCTTCCCGCTCTCCCTCCCCGCCCCTGCCGGACATTCAGTTGCCGCCGAGTGGCCGCTCTGTTGTTTCCGATGACGCCGCGGAGGAGAAGGACTCCTGTTCACTGCTCGCTTCTGACAGTGAAGACTGGTCATCTCTCGGATCCGCGAGAGAGTCGACGGGGACCCGCGCCGGGATAGAAGAGGAGCTGATGCGCCTCCTCTCACAGGCCGTCGAACGCCTCGGTCTCGAGTGGTCTCCTCCACCCGAGCAGGCCCCGAACCGAATGGACGGTAGCTTTTTTCATCGGCGCTCGACCCCCGCGTGCACCCGGGCCGCTCCATTCCTGCCTGAACTTCACGCAGAGCTGACAAAATCCTGGAATGCACCGCTCTCGGCTAGAAATCGCTCCGATGTATCCGCCTCGCTGCGCTCGGTGGACGGAGCCGCCGAGAAAGGCTATGCAGCCATGCCGCCCGTCGAGGACTTGGTCGCCACACACCTCTGCCCGCCCTCCGCTAGATGGCGTTCTTCACCCACGCTTCCTTCGAAGGCTTGCAGAGCGACCTCGAGCTTTCATGCTCGCGCTTACGCCGCCGCCGGTCAGGCCGCCGCTGCGCTTCACTCTATGTCTGTCCTCCAAGTGTTACAGAGCGATATTCTCCGTGAATGGGCCGAAGGCGGTAGAAAACCCCCCCCCGCCGTCACGGATTTGAGAAGTGCTACGGATCTCGCCCTTCGCGCCACTAAAGCCGCCGCACAAGCTCTGGGGAAATGCATGGCCAGCCTTTGTGTTGCTGAGAGACACTTATGGCTCACGCTCGCCGACATGGGAGATTCTGAGCGCGCCGCGTTTCTCAACGCGCCCCTCTCCCCGACGGGCCTGTTTGGATCTGCCGTCACGGGAATTGTCGATCGCTTTTCTGAAGTACAGAAAGCTTCTCAGGCGATGAACTTGTTTCTACCCCGCCGCGCTAGCTCTTCAGCGGGCCGCTCTCACGAGCCCTCCGCCAGAGCCCCATCACAGCGCCCCCCTCCGCAGACTCAAACAACTCAGCGCAGTCAGAGCGGCCGCCCTCGCCCTCGCTCTCGCTCTGACAGCCGCCGCAGACCGCCGCCCCCCCGTGGCCCGCGACCCAAGATCACGCTGAAGCCTGATCATCAGAAGTCTGCCTAACAATGTCAAGAAAACGACGGTGCTCTCCCGCCGCGGCCGGACCGCCGTCAAAGCTTCGCCCTCTGCCAGTCCCCGTTATTTCGCCGACTGCTGTAGTGTTGACCGCCACAAACAAGCCGGTGTCCCAGCCCGCTTGCGAGCGACAAAAAGCCGTTTTTACGGCTACCCAGAGAAATCTCAAAAAGAGAAATTTTGCCAGTTGTGTAGAAAATGTGCCCACAATCATGTGTTCACCCATACACACAAGCATAACATATCCCGTGTCTCTATCAAAGCCCCATCACATGAAACGGGCACAGCCCGCTCTAATATCAGAGAACATAAACACGCCCACGAGGTCGTGCACGTGTCCCCTCTCTGCTCGCTCTGTGTCACGGCCCATAGACTCCTCTCTGAGTGCAAATCCCGTTGCCACACACATTCAAAGCGCGCCCACACACTGTGTCCAGCCCGCTATGTGCAGCAATCAGGGCAATACAGCCATTCGGCCACTAGCCGCATGCTCCAAAGCGTGGGAAGCCATTCCAGGCATTTCCCCGTGGGTGTTAAGCATTATAAAGAACGGCTACCTGCTACAGTTTCGCCGCCGCCCGCCTCGTGCGCGCGCGCAGCTCGAATCTTCTGTCAGCCCGCTGGCCGCCGGCACGCTCCGCTCAGAAATTGCGACGCTGTTGCAAAAGGGCGCGATAGAGAGAGTCCCGCCATCTATGACCGAGTCGGGGTTTTACGGCCGTTATTTTCTGGTTCCCAAGAAAGACGGCGGCCTCAGACCGATCTTAGATCTCAGGTCTTTGAACAAAGCGCTCATGAAGAGACCGTTCAAGATGCTCACTACCAGGAAACTCCTCGCGCAGGTGCGCCAAGGGGACTGGTTCATATCTCTAGACCTGAAAGACGCCTATTTTCAGATCCAGATAAATCCCCGTCACAGGCCATTCTTACGTTTCGCCTTCGAGGGTCTTGTTTATCAATACGCCGTTCTCCCGTTCGGCTTATCTCTGGCGCCCCGTACATTCACGAAGTGCATGGATACGGCGCTCGCCCCCCTGCGAAGCCAGGGGCTGCGCATTCTGAATTATCTGGACGACTGGCTGATTTTGGCCCAATCACAGACGGAGCTTCTGTCGCACCGCGCAGTTCTCCTCGACCATTTGGAAACGCTGGGCCTCTCTGTCAACTGGACAAAGAGCTCCCTTCATCCCAGTCAATCGATTTCCTTCCTAGGAATAGATTTGGACTCGGTCACGATGACGGCTCGCCTGTCTACACAGCGCGCGCGCAGTGTTCAGCGTCTAGCCGCCTCGTTCCAGATGGGCACCCGCAGGCCTCTGAAAACTTTTCAGAGGATGCTGGGTTACATGGCCTCAGCCTCCGCTGTACTTCAGCTGGGCCTTCTGCACATGCGCCCGCTTCAGTTCTGGTTGAACAGCCGTGTACCCCACCGCGCGTGGAACACGGGTCGCCAGCTGATCAGGGTTACGCAAACGTGTCTCACGGCGCTGCAGCCATGGACAGTAGCAGAATGGTTTCGTCTAGGCGTCACGATGGGGACCTTTTCCTGCCGAAAAGTCATCTCGACAGATGCATCCAACACGGGTTGGGGTGCAGTCTGCGAGGGCTCACCGGCCTTCGGCCACTGGTCGATTCAGGAAAGCCCATTACATATAAACTGTCTGGAAATGCTGGCGGTCGAGAACGCGCTCTCGCACTTTCTCCCGCGCATCCAGGGACACCACGTCCTGATCCGTTCGGACAATATGGCCGTGGTCTCCTATCTCAACCGTCAGGGCGGTGTCAGATCCAGAAATCTCTGTCGACTGACGCACCGCATTCTAGTTTGGTCTCAGAGCCGCCTGCTCTCGCTCAGAGCGACGCACGTGCCGGGCCATCTGAACGACGGTCCAGACATACTGTCCAGGAACCTCATCTCCACAGGAGAATGGTCCCTGAACTCACAGACGGTCCAGTTACTGTGGCGACTATTCGGCAGAGCAGAAGTAGACCTCTTCGCGTCAGAAGAGAACGCTCACTGCCCAATATATTTCTCGAAGAGCGAGGACGCGCTAGCCCAGGAATGGCCTCGCCGCCCGCTCTATGCATTCCCTCCGATCGCTCTGTTACCACAGGTAATTCAGAGGATCAGGGACACACGCCACTCGGTGCTCCTCATAGCCCCGCGTTGGGAGAGTCAGAATTGGGTTCCGGAGCTCACGCAGCTGTCACAGACAGCCCCGTGGCCCATCCCAGTCAGAGCAGATCTCCTCTCTCAAGCTCGCGGCACGATCTGGCACCCCCATCCACAGCGCTGGGCGCTGCATGCATGGGTGATCAACGACTATTCGTTGATTTGCCAGAGGGAGTAAGAAACACTGTCATACAGGCTAGAGCACCTTCCACGAGAAGGCTCTATGCGTCTAAATGGTCTGTGTTCTCAAAATGGTGCACCGACAAACAGCTGGACCCACGGTCGTGCGAGGTGCCGTCTTTGCTTGTTTTCCTTCAAGAGATGCTGGACAAGGGCAGGTCCCCCTCCACTCTCAAGGTTTATGTGGCAGCCGTCGCGGCGTTCGCGGAACCCCGACGCGCTCAGTCATTGGGCAAAGACGAGTTAGTCATCCGCTTCCTCAGGGGAGCTAAGAGGATGAACCCTCCGCGGCCCCCGTCGGTTCCGGTTTGGGATCTTTCTATAGTCCTTGAAGCTATGAAAGCACCCCCGTTCGAACCGCTCGAGTCTGTGGATCTGAAATACCTCTCGCTCAAAACCGTTTTCCTGACGGCTCTGTCCTCAGTTAAACGCGTTGGGGATCTTCACGCGCTCTCATCCAGCGCCGCGTGTCTTGAGTTTGGACCGAATGATTCGATTGTCATTCTCAAACCTAGGCATGGCTATGTCCCGAAGGCGATTGGTACCCCGTTCAGGGCTCAGATTATCTCCCTATCGGCTCTGCCTTCATCCGATAGTGAGCGCGATGCCAATCTCCTTTGTCCGGTGCGGGCTCTGAGATTGTACACTACGCGCGCTGCCGCGTTCAGACGCGCTGAGCAGCTTTTCGTGTCGTTTGGGGGGCGCACCAAGGGTCTGGCCGCCTCAAAACAGACACTGTCTAGATGGATAGTGGACGCTATCGCCTCTGCTTACGCATCTAAATGCCTGCCCTGCCCTCTGGGCATCAGGGCGCACTCCACTAGAGGCATGGCCTCATCGTGGGCATGGTCCTGTGGAATTTCCATTCATGACATTTGTGTGGCCGCGGGATGGGCCTCCCCGTCCACTTTTGTCAGGTTTTATAACTTGGAAGTTCCCGCCTTGCAGGCAAAATTACTAGCTGTCTGACGAACAGCTCTCTAAGAAGCTGCATTTCTGGAGGTCCCTCACAACCGGTTCGCCCCTTGTGCTCTCCTGTAATGCTTATACACTTCATGTGCCCGCTCTGCTGGCCCCATACATGCTTATGTGTACACTTCATGAGCCCGCTCTGCGGCCTCTTTGTACATTCACTCCACGTTAAGAAATTCCCCCGGTATATCCCTGGGTTTTTCATGAGTGGATTCGTAGCGCGCACGGCGTTGGCCAGGTGTTCCCGCAGCGTAAGCTAGCTTACGCAATACGAGAGAACCTCTCGTAAGAGAACGAATCGGTTACCTAACGTAACCTCGGTTCTCTCTAGAAGAGGGAACGAGTATTGCGTTCCCGGCCGTGCTTGCGCTACTAGCGTTTCGCTTCACGCTGAAATAAATCAACATATAAGCCTGGGAGAGCGCCTTATATACACCATGGCCACGCCCATTCTGGCGGGTCATGACGCAATGAGCGCGCGGGCGCCTCTCATTGGAAGCGGGTTCAGCCCCGCTCTCCCATAGGCTTAAGCAGTTCTCTCTGAGCGAACCAATGAGCTGCTAGCTAGCCCGCTCTAGGTCTGCCGCAGAGGAACTGCGTTGTGTATGGATACAAAATTATGAAATAATTTTTTGGCTTCAATATCTCAGCAAAGATGAATCTTTCCCGCAGCGTAAGCTAGCTTACGCAATACTCGTTCCCTCTTCTAGAGAGAACCGAGGTTACGTTAGGTAACCGATTCGTTTTGCATCGTCTGTGCATCATTTTTTAATTTCAACTGCAAACAAACTAGACAACTTTGTTGATTATATTGGGAGCAATGCAAAATCTGATTGAGTGTTATTTAATATGATTGAGATACTAATATAGTTTTTATTATTATTTTGAATTAGTTTTCATTGTTATTCTTTCTGATTTCATTTTAATTTTAGTTTTAGAAATTTGTGTATTTTTGTCTGTTTTATTTTTTGTTTAATATGTCGGTACCACTTTATTTTACAGTCCTGTTTCGCACTATGTACTTATTGTAGTAATGAAACCAACAATGTACTAACCCTGAACCTACTCGTAAACCTTAACTTAACCCATGTATTTACCTTTGTACTTGTGTGTAAGTACATTGAAAGTGCACGTACTGTAAATTAAAGTGCAACTAATATGTCTATATAGTTTTTTATTTTATTTTACTAACTATTTTAGTTTTAGTTAACTAAAAAATACCTAAGTTGTAAGGATGTTCTGGGTGGTTGCTTACTAGATCAATTTTAAATTCATTTTTATCATCTGCTCTCAGATCGCTAGGAAAAGTAAAAGCACATCTTTCCATTTTCTCAATTTGAATTAATTTGTATAATCTGCTGGACTGTCAAGTCAGATCAGTGGGTATCATTCACATCTGTAGCATAAACAGTGGGGGACAAGCTATGTGCCACAGTTTGATATGGGTTACAGGTTTTGAACAAAACTTGAACAATAATAATAATAGTGATTTTGCCTTAGCAAACATTGTTAATAATAAGGAAGAAACACTGGGAAATTGTTAATAACCTGCTGTGGCCTGTAACAATCCTCCCAACTCTGCAGGAATAACTAGCTGAGTCACATTTACCACCTCCCTGCTTGTTCGCTCCTACAGAAAAGAGAAAACACATAATAAAAACTCTCGTTAAGAAAATTGGAAAATGTTTGGCTGGGTATTTACAAAAACTGAGACCTGAAGAACAGTTTGAAAGTTTAATATATTAAAATATGAACTGCAAATGGGCCTTATGATACAACCTCAATCATCATTAGAGTGATAATATATACATAATTGGTCCTAATTGGTCCTTAAATAAAAATGAGCACAGACTGTTCTTTTTACCAGTTCAATCCTTCTCCTCTCCTCTTCTGCTCTTCTCGCTAAGTAGATGTTGTACTGTAACAAAACCATGAGCAAAAGTAAAGCATTAAACATTTGAAAACCTGAATGTGAACTTATAGTAATTGCATTAGACAGTTTAGTATTGGTGAAGTAATGATTGGAACTTATTATTAGGTAATAGGGATGCACGATATATCGGCCACCATATCGGTATCTGCCAATATATGTTCAGTTTTAATGTTAGTGTTGTCGGCCCGATAAGAAAATTAGGCCGATATATTAAAGCCGATAAATAATGGATTATTTCCTTCAGCTGAGACACTTCAGATGCGCACTGTTTAACGTGATTGTTTTGAATTGTTTAAAATATGATTGGAATCACTTCAAAAACTGAAAATACAGTGCAAATGCAACATGTGCTGTCATATAGGATACAAAAATTATAATGTATAACATTACAATTGTGTGCTTGGGACATGGCTTTCAATAGTGAGACATTTGTTTTTATAATGGCTCTAAATTATTATAATACATTTTTTTATTTAGATTTATCGGCCACTATATCGGTTATCTGATAATTCTTTAAATATAAAGAATAATCAGTATCTGCCAAAATGTTCATATCGGTGCATCACTATTATGTAACGTACCCTGATGTATCTTTTGCGATTGACAATAAGTCGGATCATTGCACGGTGCCTGATCAGGTTTATACGCATTCGGAGAAACCGTCGCCTAAAAGGCACAAAGAGAGTGAGTGAGGGAAGTTTCAGCCATTTCAATTACATATAACACTCAGTTTCATTGATCTTACTGTAACATTTAGATTCTCCCTGCATAACCCCCCCCAGTTTAATCAAAGTGGTCTACCAATGCTAACAAGGTTATCTGAGATGGTCGGGTCTGCCAGATCAACTTCATCCTTACTAGCTTGTAATAATTACTTCAATGAGATCATTGTTTCTTCCTTAAATTAATACATGATGTTAGCTAACTGCTGCATGATTTGTATATGTCCATTTTTGAAATACATTACAATTTATAGTGATTTCAGAGGTGACTGTGTTCAAGTAATGTAGACACATGAATTGTCTGTAAAGCAGCTTTGAAACGATATGTATTGTGAAAAGCGTAGTACAAATAAATGTGAATTGAATTGAGCTGGTTGTCCAAGTGATCAAGATCCTAAACATAGCTTAGGCCAGCTAATGATCAGTTAATGTCCAATTTTAACCAGCTATAAATCTTGAACCAGCTACAATCAAAGGCTGCATTTACACTGCAAGGTAAATGCACAGATCTGATATTTTGACCAAATACAATTTATTTGACTCATATCCAATATCTGGAAGTGAAATAATCTTTATGGGTAAATATTAAGTTTCCCTCGCCTTGTGGTGGCTTGTAATTCTAATGGGAATCGGATACATGTGTTTAAACGCAGATGTAAAACCACATGTGGAGGTGCCTCAGAATGGATGCGAAAAAACCTGCAGCTGTACCATCTCTAGCTGTAAATCACATTACAAATGACACGGCATTGAAGTTAAGTTACAGGCGATAGGTAGTAGTTTACCTGGCCAGGTAGCCCTTGCAGTGAGCCTGAAGATTTGTCATGTCCAAACGAAATTTGAGGAAATTCTTCCGGACAAAATACATCCGTATGTAACGCTGAAGGGTCAGTGCAGCTACATGCCTCATACGATCACGCTTACTCTCCAATAACTGATTCACTTCCTCCTTTAGAAAGATCTAAGAATAAAAACACAATATTAAAACAAACATTATACAATGTAAAATTGTCTGTTTTTTGAAGAAAGCCAAATTTTGGCATCTTTACAAGTGCAAAGTTTAATTATTCTGCTCACCTTTGACACACCCACTTGATAATCTCCTTTGTTGATTGGGCAGAGCTTCATTAACATAATGACACAGTTTTCTCCATCTGAAGGTGGTGGCTTCTTCATTCCCAGCAGGGCTTTGTACCTGGGGACACGTTTATTATAAGATCTGTATTCTATACACTGGCACGCGTCCGTCTATTTATAGCACTAGACTAGATTACACACCATATGTCATTGCACCCATAAGTAACAAGCACCAGCTGTTGAGTAGGATACCTGTTTAAGAATTTATGGAACGGCACTCTGACTGGATAGCCTTCCTTCCTGATGCGGATTGTGTCCCAGATTCCCGAATATCTGAGCTGAGTAGCGATCAACTCAGGGTCAAATATACCAGGTTCCTGAATTGACACACAAATACATTTAATTCAAATACACATCAGAGTGGTAACACCAAATATATGAGTCAGCAAAAATAGAACACACAAATACATAAACATTCTGAGTTGCATTAACCACTAAGATTTTTTTGAACATTAAAAAATGTAATTTGATCAAATACAGTAAAAACAATGATATTGTGAAATATTATTATCATTTAAAATAAATGCGTCTATTGTAATAGATTTTAAAATGCAATTTATTCCTGTGATGGCTGAATTTTCAGCATCATTACTCCAGCCTTCAGTGTCACATGATCCTTCAGAAATCATTCTAATATGCTGATTTGCTGCTTAAGAAACATTTTCTTATTAGTATCTTATTAATTGCTGCTTAATATTTTTGTGGAAACTGTGATACACTACAATTCAAAGGTTTGGGTTTAAATTGATCAAAAGTGACAGTAAAGACATTGTTCATTGAACTTTGTATTCATCAAAGAACCCTGAATGTATAGCAAAAATATGATACATTCAACATTGATAGTATTATAATAATTATTATTAATAAAATTAATATGATAAATATGCTGAATTAATATGTTGAAAATTCAGTTTTGCCTTCAAAGAAATTTTTTTTTTAAAAATATATTAAAATGCAAAATAGTTATTTTAAATTGTAATAATATTTCACAATGTTACAATGTTCAATAACATTAATCTTAATTATTAGAAGTGAAAATTGTCTGAAGGAAATGTGGGTGCTGCAGTGAAGTTAAATTGTTAGGGTTAGGTGTTCACGTTCCTAACCTAACCTAAGTACCTAATAAAACGTGATAGTGATGCTTGCTTGCCTAATGTCTGCCCATACCTTGTTATTATTTGGCTTTATGCAGCGCACAAAAAATGGGTTGCACCTGAAAAAAGTGAGAAGAACAGGAGATAGAACTAAATAAATTCCGCCAAAGACATAATCAGAAGAAACAAATATATGAATGTATGTGTATGTGCTGATAGACATGTGTAATATTGTACATCTATTTGTGTTTATGAGTGTACAAGACCTCTCCATTTTGTCAAGGAGCTCTTGTAGTGATTGCTGGAACTTGGCGGCCACAGTAGAGGGCTGATATCTCCGCGTCACTGTGCTGTTCCTGTTCATTGCTCCTTTTTGCTGATTCAGCATCTCAGCATGCTTTATGAAGAGATTGGACACCATCTAGAAAACACACCATATGTATATTAGAAACATACATTCACATTCATCCAAAAAAAAAAGAAGAAAAGATTCATATGCATAAGCAGAGGAAATTGTGGCTTCTAATTCATATCATCTTTTTTTCTTTTTAAAATTCTTTTAGAGAAGAAAAATAGGATATGCTTTCACATACACACAAAACACACACTGCAGATGCATGCATGGAGATACATGGACTCACTCGGTTCTGGCTCTGCATAAACAGATCCAATACTTCCTGCCGAACCTGATCGAAGTTCTTATCCAGAAACTTATGGATCTAAAATCAGTATGAGATTCTCTTTAGACAGGCTGGTGGTAACATTAAAACTTCCATTAATGGTAAATTAATTCAAATTTACAAGAAGCATTCGAGTAGAGCTATGACCTCTAAGCTTTGACATGACATAAATGTCTAATTAAAATACTGCCAGTGCATTTTGTGATTTCTATTACCTGGTAAGTTACACGGCCAGCATAGTGATAGACAGTAAACTCTGGCAGTGGCATTTTTGGCTTGGAGTAAAGGGGGTTGTTTCCATGATGATAGTGGCACTTCTGAAGGAAGGTGTTGTCAGTGGCCTGGCAACATATGTTAAAACATGTGATGTTAACATACCAGGTTTCCTTAATTTATCACAATGCAACATACCAAGTGTATAACCTGTGGAAAGCAGCTCTGATCATCAAGGATGCGGAGTATCCCATGGGGCTTTGCAGCGATAAGGTCTATGCATGCCTGGTTGTCAGTAAAGATCAGTTCTTTCCAGTTGATTTGCTCTCGAATGTACTCTTCCTGCAGACACATAGTGTGCTGTTATATTTTTGGAATTAATATTTCAAAGAAATCACAGTATGAAAATGTCTACGTATAGATATAGAATATATAGAATACTTTTATACAGAACTGATACATTAAATTGATCAAAACTGACAGATTTCTATAAAGATTTCTATTTCAAATAAATGCTGTTCTTTTGAACATTCCATTTATCATAGAATCCTAAACCAAAATAAATAAATAAATATTAATAATTAAAAATGATTGTAAGCAGTACAACCATTTTTATCACTGATAACAATAAGAAATGATTCTTCAGCACCAAATCATCATATTACAATGATTTCTGAATGATCATGCAACTCTGAAGACTGGAAATTCAGCTTTGCCATCACAGGGATAAATTACTTTTCAAACTATATTAGGTAGAAAACAGCTATTTCTGTTTTTACTGTATTTTATCAAATAAATGCAGCCTTGGTGAGCACATGAGACTTTCAAAAACAGCCTATGACCTCAAACTTCTAAATGATGGTGTACACAGTGATTCTCACCTGCTCTAGTTTGAAAATAATTTTGTTGAAGAAGAACTGCAGTGTCTCATTGGCATAGTTGATGCAGAGCTGCTCAAAGCTGTTGAACATCAAGCTCTGGACAATACAGACCAAGATGACATGGAGATATATGCGATTTATATGCCATTTAGAAGGTCTAAATCCCTAAACAATAACAAAAACTGCACATTTGACCTTTATGTAAAAATGTATCTAATATAGAATTAGCATCTGTGTTAGTGGAAGTGCATGGGAGTGTCAGTGTATACCTCAAACCCGTATATATCCAGTAAAGATATGGACAGCGCCTCATTCCTGGGGTAGACCCGTCCATTGATACGTTCTGTCAGCCATTGAAAGAGCAAGGAATAAAGGATCTTGGCAACTGCATCTCTGCGATTGAGAAATAGAAATACATACTTATCTGCAATAGCTTGATTTTTTGATTGCATTTTAACTAGAAAATGTCTCATAATGAGTACCTGGCATCCATAGCACTTTCTACTGAGAGGGGAGTGTATATCTTCTCTCGCATAGCCTCCTGTGGCAAAACCAAATAACACACTGCTTAGTTACTGCATATGTTTAAAAAATCATTTATTAAGTCAGATAAAGCAGAAAAGCTAGTCTGACACAAACACAGACACAGACACACAGACACACAGACACACACACACACACACTATGTCACTTGTACTGTCACAGTGAGCGTGTGCAATTGAGACAGTGTTATGTGACAGCTGATCCAAGTAAGTGGTGTAAACACAAACCTGTGAGCTCTGGATAGCAGAGCTTTACTTATTAAATGAGCAACATGACACAAACCACAAACACACTAACAAATCACACTGTATTCATGTAACACCTCTGTTTGAATAACGCTAACATAAAAAATGCTTAGAGCGTGTTAAAAATGACAAAATGTGTTTGGGTGAATTTCAACAACAACAAAAAACCTCCATATCACATTTCGCCCCCACAAAAAAAAAAAAAAAAAAAATGTTTGTCTACGAAAACTATGATAATTTTCATGCCTCCAGATATATTACTTTGTAGTGTTTTTAGAATTCCTATTATTGTAAATTTGTTTTCTTTCATTACTATTAATCCATTTTATTCATTACTATTATACAGTCTTGCTTTTTTTTAAACATACCAGAATAAAAAATGTTTAATTTATTCCTGATTTTTTTGTGTGAAAAATCAGCCTAAATTAAAGGTAGTACAACAAATACTACCATGGCGTATGAATATAATACAATACAAATTTGCATTAGGGGCAAAATGTGCTTATTAAGGGTATTAATATTTATTTTTATTCTGGTATTCTGAATAACCATACTTCAAAACTAGTCTCTTTTCAATGCTGTATAGTTTACAGCATTAGTTGAAACTGAAAGATATATTTTTTTCTTTGAGGAAATTTGCCTGGACTGCACCTGATAGGCCCAAAAATAATCGAAATCGAAAAAAAGCTTGTGAATCAAAATTGAATTGAATTGTGAAATTTGTGTCAATGTCCAGTTTTTCCCCCCACTTGAACCGAATGTTGTCTTTTCCCTTTATGCTCTTCTCAGAGTGCACCAGAATGCTTTGTTTACATGTTAAAAATCACAAAAGTTTTCTTATGAGGGAGGATGTCCCCAGACCCCCCTACAGGGATTTAATTCTTAAACATGTAAACTTTTTCACCTCTTGTGAGATTGCAGGTCTGACAATGCTATAGAAATACAACTGACCTGATGTTATCTCGTCTGTCCTCGTTAACCTTCATTGATCTTTGTATGATGTAATGTCAAGCTGGCACTGAGCAAGCTATTAGGTGTTAAGATTACTCAAGCCCTGAGCAACCCTTGATTAGATTACCGTGGTTTCCATAGAGCTGAACTCAGAATAATTAAATTAGGTTACTGGAACTCATTAACAGCAACCTGCTTACATGTCATTACAATGTTTCTTTTTCTCTTTATTTATGCCCCAAGTGTTCGCAATCGTGTCAGAAAATATGAAAATGTAGGATCCATGGGCGACGTGAGTCTGACTTCCCCATGAAATCATTATGCTTAAAAATGAAAGTGGCCAAAAATACTACACTTAAAAATATCCATTTTCCAAAATCCAAAATCCATTTTCAGTTCCCCAAAGAACCTTCCAGTGAACGGTTCTTAAAAGAACCGTTCTTAGTGTGAAGAACATTTTAAGAACCTTTTTCCACTATAAAGAAACCTTTGGGCAATGGAAAGATTCCATGGATGTTAAAGGTTCTTCATAGAAACACAGATCTAACAGTGTACATGCTGTTTTTCAGAGTACATTATGGATTTTTGCTTATGTAAACGTGCATGTACCGTCACTTTGAAGGTGATGGCTTTCTGCAGACCCTCTGGAGAAATCTGCAACAGATCGGCTACAGCACGAATCTCCTGAGTGCTCACCACACCAGCTGTCTCCTGCACTTCTGTCTGAGACCGAGAACCCAAAGCACACGGTCCACAAGACTCTTTACATTGTCCATATGCTATGTTGGCTATATTTACATAAAAGTACAATCAAGAAAACTGCTATTTACAAGGTCAAATATTTCATCTACAAACATCTTGTTGTGTGACAAATGGGAAGAGCTGGAACACAGTGAAATTCTTAAAATCGTGCATTTTTTATTATTATAGGCTTGGTGTGCAAACAAAAGTGAGAGGAAATTTTCAAATGTTAATTTGCAGTCAATACCTCTACTCTATGGAAAAAGACATTGCCCAGGTGCAGTATGGACGACAGCACTCTGAATATGCTGCTCTGGTCTTCAGGACTGAAGTGGAGAATTTCCATGGCACTCTGTAGCCTCCTGAAGTCCTCCCCATCATCTTTCCCAATGATCTCACAGTTACCACCCTAACATGAACCATGATAAATGACATCAACATGACATAATTATACAGCACCTTAGATAAGCACTTTTATACAATATAGGTTCACCTTTAATTTTGCAAAGGAGATCTAGATAATAATGATATTAATAAAATATACCGGTAATAATATGATATTCTTAAATTATACCAGAAATATACATTACTGTTCAAAAGTAAGAATTGTTTTTGAAAGAACTGTTTTTTATCAAAAAGGACGCATTCATTTCAAGTGACAGTAAATACATTTATAATGTTTCTATTTCAAACAATTGCTGTTCTTTTGAACTTTCTATTCATCAAAGAATCCTGAAAAAAATATATTAAGCAGCACAACTGTTTTCAACAGTGATAATAAATGTTTCTTGAGCAGCAAATCAGCATATTAGAATGATTTCTGAAGGATCATGTGACTAGAGAAATTATTCAATTGTAATCATATTTCAAAATTATACTGTATTTTCGATCAAATAAATGCAGCCTTGGGGAGCATAAGAGAAGCTTACCAATTTTTTGAACAGTAGTGCAAGCTGAAATCCTTCAAAAGAAACAATTACCTTTTAATACTTTATCATCTAGATTTGCCTATTGATACGGCTATATTTGTCTACTTATTTTTCGGTGTGTCATCTAGATTTGCCTATTGATACGGCTATATTTGTCTACTTATTTTTCGGTGTGTCTTGGCAACTTGCATTTGTATATGTCTGCATGTACCTGGTTCAGGTAGTAATAGGTTTCAGCCTCCTGTAGGTAGAAGGCCCGTTTCATGTGAGTAGGAAGTCCAGCCAGCATCTCATAAAAGATGTGGTAGTTTCTCTCATCTTTGGCCTGCACACACACACACAGACACAGTTCAGATAAGGTCCCAAATGTCAGTGATTAATACAGGGCTCTTTTAGCCTTTTCCAAGTTAAAAGGAAAAGAAACAACCAAACCTGAAAAACGATCCTGGACTTCTCCAGTAGATACTGCGAGGTTATGGCACCACTGATCACCCCTCTGATACGGACAACAATACACACAGATTGGTCTTGTGTATGAACTATCTTTGGCCCTACCTGTACCTTCTCAATTCTCTTTCCATCTCTCTTCCTCTCTTAGCATTCAGAGGTAAAATAGCAACCTTACTGTCCTACTTTCACACAAGGTCAGGCGGTACAGATCTAGTTCCCTTACAGTGTCGCCTCTCAAGCAACAATTTCAGGCTTGAGAGACGTTAAAGAGTTACGCAATGTAACATTCAAACAGTCTATTTAACAAAGCTTGAAAGAGTTTTTCACAGTTCAGAACAGAAGTAATGTACAATATATATATATAAAAGAAATACTCACTCCTCCAAAAAGACCTCCACAAATTTCCCAAAGCGACTGGAGTTATCATTTCGGACCGTCTTAGCATTCCCAAACGACTCTAAAAGAGGAGCTGCCTCTAGAATCTGGATATTAAGAAACTAAAACTTACTTACAGATGTATGCAGCAATGTTTACAAGGTTAGAGTTATTAGGCTATCAGTAAAAACATAAATTTCACAGATTTACCTCAATCTGTATAGAGGAAAGCATTAAATAGAAAAACAAAAAGACAGATTATACATTCATTAACAAACACTGCATACATCATATACATGGATTCAAACAAAATTTTGTGGTTCCAGAAATGTACTCTATAATACGCACTTGCTGCCTATGATTTTGCGAAGTAGGACTTGTTCCTGGATCAACATATATATATATATATAACGTTTTGCCAATTTTGATAAGTGCTTTTCATTTTTATTAGTTTTATTAATATATATTAAATATTTCCATTTAGCTTTAATGTATTTTTGTTAGTATTTTTTTGTAAATTTCTAAATTTTTAAGTTTAAGATTTTCATGTAATATTTATATGTTATTTTATTTCAGATTTATTTCAATTAATGAAAAGTATTAACAATACCCAAGTAAGTTAACATTAACAGCCCTAACCATCCCTGACCATATAAATAATTCAAACCATTAACTACCCTTAAAATCAGAAGGAAATGAAACGATAGGTAAACATGAATGTTGTCCAAGCCCCAACTCCATCCCTCTCCTTATCCCTAAAAATAAGGAGAACAAGGATGTTGATCCAATAAGGATGTTGATCCAATAACATATCCTACCTGGCGAAATCACAGCAAGTGTACAGAGGTGTATGCGGGGATCATTGTCTATTAAGAAAATTCAGTGTGTACTTTATAATCCTACACACGTACCTGTTGTGTAATGTTCCTCTTATGGTGAATAGCAGTGAGGTACCTCAGAACCAGTTTGGTCGCCTCTGTCTTTCCAGAACCACTTTCCCCACTATAATACAAACATTTCACTGATACAACATATCAGTGTATTATTACATCCTCTGCGATTGACACACACATGCTATCACTGACCTGATAATGATGCACTGGTTTCGCTTGATGTCCATCATTGTTGTGTAGGCAATGTTTGCAATGGCAAAGAGATGACTGAAAACAAACATGTATAAGAGAGTAGGTCTACATACTGTCAATTTTTGGAGGTAACAATAATCACAAAGTATTGTAAATGGATGCAGGATAAAATCTTCATCTTAATTTTCTCACCCCTTCTTTCTCAGACTTTTAATGTACACTACCATTTAAAAATGTTTAGGGTCAGTAAGATACTTTTATTCTTTAGAAAGAAGTATTTTATGCTCACCAAGGCTGTATTAACTTGATCCAAAATACAGTAAAAACAGTAAAATTGTGAAATATTATTACAATTTAAAATAACTGGGTTCTATTTGAATATATTTCAAAATTTAATTTATTGCTGTGATGGCCAAGCTGAATTTCCAGCATCATTACTCCATTCTTCAGTGTCACATGATCCTTCAGAAATCATTCTCTAATATGCTGATTTGCTGCTCAAGAAACATTTCTTATTATTATTGTTGAAAACGAATCGGTTACCTAACGTAACCTCGGTTCTCTCTAGATGAGGGAACGAGTATTGCGTAAGCTAGCTTACGCTACGGGAAAGATGAATCTTTTCTGAGAAATTGAAGCCAAAAAATTATCCTATAATTTTGTATCCATTGTCAACGCAGTTCAGCTGCAGCAGACCATGAGCGGGCTAGCTAGCAGCTCATTGGTTCGCTCACAGAGAACTGCTTAAGCCTATGAGGAGACGCGAATGAACATTGCGTCAGAGCCCGCCGAAACGGGCGTGGTCAGAGAGTATAAATTCGCCTCCCAGGCTGTAAACTCTGGTTTTCATAGAATGAAGCGAGAACGCTAGTAGCACAAGCACGGCCAGGAACGCAATACTCGTTCCCTCATCTAGAGAGAACCGAGGTTACGTTAGGTAACCGAAGCTAGCTTACGCTACGGGAACACCTGGTCAACGCCGTGCGTGCTAAGCATCCACTAAGAGTCCCAGGGGAGACCCCAGGGAACCCTTATGAGTGGGAATAAATATATGTACATGTGACAAAGGCCAGCAGAGCGGGCCGGAGATTGTGTAGTACATAAGCACATGATAGAGAGGGACAGAGCGAAACCGGTCTGAGTGAATAACTCCCTATAGTGCAGCTCAACCAAAAGAGCTGTAACATACTAGACTGCTAGTAGTTTAGCCTGCAAGGCGGGAACTTCCAGATTGTAAAATCTGACAAAGGTGGAGGGGGAAGCCCATCCCGCTGCCACACAAATGTCATGAATGGAACTTCCGCTGGACCATGCCCACGATGAGGCCATGCCTCTAGTGGAATGAGCCCTGATGCCCAGAGGGCATGGCAGGTCTTTTGATGCGTATGCGGCTGCAATGGCATCAACTATCCATCTGGATAGAGTCTGTTTCAAGGCGGCCAACCCTTTGGTGCGCCCACCGAACGAAACAAAAAGCTGCTCAGATCGTCTGACCGGAGCAGTGCGAGTAATGTATAATCTCAGGGCCCTGACCAGACACAGGAGATTAGAGTCAGATTCGCTATCGGAAGCAGGCAGAGCCGATAGGGAAATAACTTGTGCCCTGAACGGGGTACCAATCGCTTTTGGGACATAACCATGTCTAGGTTTGAGAACGACTAAGGAGTCATTGGGCCCAAACTCAAGACAGGAAGCGCTACTGGACAGCGCATGAAGGTCTCCCACACGTTTTACTGACGCGAGCGCGAGCAGAAAAACGGTTTTGAGCGAAAGGTATTTGAGGTCCACAGTGTTTAGCGGTTCGAATGGGGAGCTTTCATAGCTTCGAGAACTATAGAAAGGTCCCAAATCGGCACCGAAGGGGGGCGCGGGGGGTTCATCCTTCTAGCTCCCCTGAGGAAGCGGATGACCAAGCCATCTTTGCCCAGTGACTGGCCGCGCCGGGGTTCAACAAACGCTGCGACGGCTGACACATACACCTTGAGAGTGGACGGGGACCTGCCCTTGTCCAACATCTCTTGGAGAAAAACTAGCAAGGAAGGGACCTCGCATGACCGTGGGTCCAAATTTCTGTCGGTGCACCATTTAGAGAACACAGACCATTTAGACGCATAGAGCCTTCTAGTAGAAGCCGCTCTAGCCTGCGTGATCGTGTTTAACACTCCCTCTGGCAAAGCAACGGGTAGTCGTTGATCACCCACGCATGTAGCGCCCAGCGCTCTGGGTGGGGATTCCAGATCGTGCCGCGAGCTTGGGAGAGGAGATCTGCTCTGACTGGAATGGGCCACGGGGCTGTCTGTGACAGCTGAGTGAGCTCCGGAAACCAAGTCTGACCCTCCCAACGCGGGGCTATGAGGAGCACCGAGTGGCGTGTTTCCCTGATTCTCTGAAGCACCTGTAGTAGCAGAGAAACCGGAGGGAATGCATAAAGCGGGCGGCTGGGCCAGGTCTAGGCTAGCGCGTCCTTGCTCTTTGAGAAAAATATTGGGCAGTGGGTGTTCTCTTCTGAGGCGAAGAGGTCCACCTCTGCTCTGCCGAATATTCGCCACAGCTTTTGGACTGTAAGAGTGTGCAGGGACCATTCCCCGGGGGGAATGGGGTTCCTGGACAGACTGTCTGGACCGTCGTTCAGATGATCCGGCACGCGCGTCGCTCTGAGCGAGAGCAGGTGACACTGAGACCAAACTAAGATGCGTTCTGTCAGCTGGAAGAGATTCCTGGATCTGACTCCGCCCTGACGGTTTAGATAGGAGACCACGGCTATATTGTCCGAACGGATCAGCACGTTGTGACCGTGAATGCGCGGAAGAAAGCGCGTGAGCGCGTTCTCGACCGCCAGCATCTCCAAACAGTTTATGTGGAGGAGACTCTCCTGAGCTGACCAGGGGCCGAAGGCCGGTGAGCCCTCGCAGACCGCACCCCAACCCGTGTTGGATGCGTCTGTCGAGATGACTTTTCGGCGAGAAAAGGTCCCCATGGAAACGCCCCGCTGAAACCATTCTGCCAAGGTCCATGGCTGCAGAGCTGTGATACAGGTCTGCGTTACCTTTATCAGCTGGCGGCCCGTGGTGTATTGATAAACCTGGCCTTCGAAGGCGAAACGTAAGAATGGCCTGTGAAGGGGATTTATCTGAATCTAAAAGTAAGCATCTTTCAGATCTAGTGAAATGAACCAGTCCCCCTGGTGCACATGCGCGAGGAGTTTTCTGATAGTGAGCATTTTGAACGGTCTCTTCATGAGAACCTTGTTCAGAAATCTGAGGTCTAAGATTGGTCTGAGGCCGCCGTCTTTCTTTGGAACCAGAAAATAACGTCCGTAAAACCCCGACTCGCTCATAGATAGAGGAACTCTCTCTATAGCCCTTTTGCACAATAGTTTTGCTATCTCTGAACGGAGCAGAGTCACTGCTTCTGGGTTCACAATAGTTTCTAGCCGCGCTCGGAAACGTGGAGGGCGGCGGGGAAACTGTAAGCGATAGCCTAGCCTTATTGTGTTTAGCACCCACTGGGAAATTCCCGGAATAGCTTCCCACGCTTTGAAGCGTAACGCTAAGGGGTGAATGGCTACATGGTCCCCGTTGCTGCACATAGCGGGCTGCGCGGGCACGCTCATAGTGTTTATGACAGCGGGACTTACACTCAGAGAGGAGTTTAAGGGCCGTGTAACAGAGTGAGCAGAGGTGGGACGCGCACACGGTCTCGTGGGCGCGCTTATACACTCTGAAACTCGAGCGGGTTGGAACCGCTTTATGAGAGTGGGCTCTGTGAGAAAACACGGGAACTGAAATGCTTTTGTGTATGAGTGAACACAGTGTTGTGGGCACATTTTCTACACAGGAGGCTTTTATGCTCTTTTTGAGATTTCTCTGGGTCGCCGTGAAAACGGCGTTTGTGCTCATGCAAGCGGGAAAGGGGACCGGCTTGGTAATGGCGGGGTACACTGCTGTAGTAGCCGCGTGAGCGGGGACTAACAGAGGGCGAAACTTTGACGGCGGTCCGGCCGCGGCGGGAGAGCGCCGTCTTTTCCTCAGCTGTGCTAGGCAGACTTCGAGTGATCAGGTTTCAGCGTGATCCTAGGCCGAGGCCCCGGGGAGGCGGCGGTCTGTGGCGGCTGTCAGAGCGAGAACGAGGGCGGCCGCCCTGGCGTCGCTGAGAAGTCTGACTGTGCTGGGCTGGGCGCTGGGGTGGGGCTCGTGCAGGAGGCTGGTCACGTGAGCGGCCTGCAGAGGAGCTAGCGCGATGAGGCAGAAAAAGATTCATGGCCTGGGAGGCTTTCTGCACTTCGGAGAAACGGTCAACGATACCCGTGACAGCAGATCCGAAGAGGCCGGATGGAGAGAGCGGGGCGTTGAGAAAGGCGGCGCGCTCAGAATCTCCCATGTCGGCGAGTGTGAGCCACAAATGTCTTTCAGACACAAAAATGCTCAAATCCGTGACTGAGGGGGGATTTTTTCCGCTCTCGTCCCATTCACGAAGTAAATCGCCCTGTAGAATCTGAAGGACGGACATGGAGTGGAGTGCAGAGGCTGCTTGGCCGGCGGCTGAGTAAGCGCGGGCGTGAAAGCTCGAAGTCGCTCTGCAGGCTTTAGAGGGAAGCACAGGTGATGAGCGCCATCTCGTGGAAGGCGGGCATAAATGTGCGGCGACCAGGTCCTCTACAGGGGGAATGGAGAGATAGCCCTTTTCTGCGGCTCCGTCCACAACGCGAAGCGGGGCGGAAGAGTCAGAGCGAGTTCTGGCAGAGAGCGGGGCATTCCAGGACTTCGTGAGTTCCGCGTGCAGTTCAGGCAGGAAGGGCGCGGCCCGTTTAGTGACGGGAGTAGAGCGCTGGCGGAAGTAGCTGCCGTCCATACGGTTGATGGTCTGCTCGGGGGGAGGGGACCAATCGAGCCCGAGGCATTCGACGGCCTGTGAGAGGAGGCGCACTAATTCGTCCTCGATTCCAGCGCGGGTCCCAGAGGATTCTCGGGCCGAGAAGGCGTGAGAACCGGACCATTCCTCACTGTCTGAAGCGAGAAGCGAACAGGTTTCCTTGATGTCCGCGGCGTCATCGGAGGCGACAGAGCGGCCACTCGGCGGCAACTGTACGTCCGGAAGCGGCGGAGAAGGAGAGCGGGAGGCGACAGGCTCCGGCGGGATGAACACTTCTAGCTGGGGTTCCGGCGGCCTCTGAGAGCGGCGTTTCTTCTTCCGCGGCGAAGTCAGAGGCGGCGCGGAAGCAACTTTAGTGGCCTGAAGTCGAGCCCGCAGGGTCGACAACGGCATCTCCTCACAGAGATCGCAGCCGCCATCGGCGAGGGCGAGCTCGGCGTGCTCCAATCCGAGGCAGAGAGCGCAGATGACGTGGCGGTCTCCAGTCGCGAGGGGAGCGCGGCAAGAACCGCAGGAGCGTTTACGAGACATCTTTACAAAGACGCTCGGCTCTTTTAGATACAATACAATACAGGAAGCTTTTTCGTAAAAAGGATACAAATCCGTCGAATGGCGCTAGTTCGCAGGACGGCTGAAGGTGGCGAAGACGGCCGGCTTCCTCAGTCTCCCAGATGCTCGCTAGAGTTGCCTTTTCGGCGACGGCGGCTTCTCTCAGGATCAGCAGATGCGTGTAGCCTCGCTGAAGAGATGAAAATCAGAGTTTACAGCCTGGGAGGCGAATTTATACTCTCTGACCACGCCCGTTTCGGCGGGCTCTGACGCAATGAGAGCATGTCAGACTCTCATTGGCCGAGAGTTCATTCGCGTCTCCTCATAGGCTTAAGCAGTTCTCTGTGAGCGAACCAATGAGCTGCTAGCTAGCCCGCTCATGGTCTGCTGCAGCTGAACTGCGTTGACAATGGATACAAAATTATAGGATAATTTTTTGGCTTCAATTTCTCAGAAAAGATGAATCTTTCCCGTAGCGTAAGCTAGCTTACGCAATACGAGAGAACCTCTCGTAAGAGAACAGCTATTTGAAATAGACATCTTTTGTAACATTATAAATGTCTGGGTCTGCATTTTCTTCTAGCTTGTGTAATTTCGTTCATGGTTTTCGAGAATGAAAGCATGTTATCTTATCTGCCAAACAGGGCAAGCTTCTACCAGGAGTTGACAAATAAGAAAATGTATTGAGAATAGTTATGATTGTGTTGCTGTGACTCACGGTGGGTTATCTCCCAAGCCATGGCCCTCGTACCGCAGAACCATATCTGTGCCATAGATGTTAAATAGCTGGTATGGATTCACAGATACCAGAATACTGCCAATGTATGTCTGCTTAGAAGACAAAGGAAATTCATAATGTAGTTAGGTTCACAAGAGATTTGAATAAGAGTGCTAAAGGTCTATTCACAGTATTGAGAAAAACATACAATCAAACATTTCATTTTAAAATGAAGTCAAAGTTATTCTGCTTAGTGGCCTGTCCAGTGAAGTATTTTCTGTAATGTAACATTATGGCATAACATTAAGTGCTTCTGTCGAGAAATTTGCAAAGATAAGGGACTGTATAGTGTATGTGAGCATGTCTATTCTTGTGCATATTTAACTGGAAGCATTTGTAGAGCATAAGAACATCCTTCAGCAGTTGTTTATAATTTAGATTGTATGTGAATACTAAAAAAAGATATTTATTATGTTTGTACAAAGTAATTAGAACTAGAATGCAAGACTCACATAGATAAGCTCTTGATCAAAGCGAGTCTTCAGGTTTATCAATACTGCTGCCTCAGAAAGCTCTCTGTAAGAAATTGAGGAAGAATTATTTATTTTGATTCTAATGATCAACTTTACACATACATTACTATGTATATTTATGCTGACATACTCCATTTGTGTCATGTCCTCAACTCCGTCCCCTTCCCTTTTTGTTCTGTAGCTGACAGTAGGCAGGCTCCTTATAGAATACATCTGTTTGAAAAATACAATTTGTGCTCAGCAAAAAAAATAAAAAATAAATGCAATCTGAGAACATTCAAAGAAATTTGAGAAGTCATTCATTAAATTACATTAGAGAATATCTTCTCTGATGAATTAGGTCAAGTTGTCTTTTCTAGGGCCTGCACTACAATAATGCAGAGATGATTATCACTGGTCAGCAAGGTAACCTAAGAGGAGTTATAATCAGCCTTGTAAATCTCATCTGACATACAATGTAGCTGTGGACTGCAGCTTAAACCTGATAAAGATAGGTGAGCTTGGCTGGACCTTTTGTTAAAGGGTTAGTTCACCCAAAAATGAAAGCTCACCCTCAAGTTGTTCCCACCCCGTAAGACTTTCGTTCATTTTCGGAACACAAAGTAAGATATTTTTTATTAAATCTGAGAGCTGTCTCACTCCTCCATAGGCTTCTATGTAATTGAAACTTGCCGGCCCAGAAAGTTAATAAAGACAATGTTTAAAATATTCCAAGTAACTACAGTGGCTCAACCATAAGTTTATCAAGTGACGAGAATACTTTTTGTGCGCAAAACCCCCCCAAAATAACGACTTCATTCAACTATGCATTTTCTTCTGTGTGGGCCTCTGAGTGAGTTCACGTAGTGTAACAGCTCAGTGCTTCTGTGTTGTACGTCAGAACGTAGGCTCACTATTGGCCAGCATCACACGCATCACACACATGACAATCGACCAATAGTGAGCCTACATTCTGATGTACAACCCAGAAGCGCTGCGCTGTTACCATAGACTGTAAAAAATGGCTGTTACACTACACTCAATTACATAGAAGCCTATGGAGTGAGACAGCTCTCAGATTTAATCAAAAATATCTTAATTTGTGTTCCGAAGATGAACGAAAGTCTTACGGGGTTGGAACAACATACGGGTGAGTAATAATTACTGACAGAATTTTCATTTTTGGGTGAACTAACCCTTTAAGGCTCAACGCCTAATAGACTTCATTGCTGTCTACTTGACAACATTAATAGTCAAATTTAACAGTCTGCTTATTTATAATTCCTTCTTAATATAAACATTCAGATATAGAAGTTTTAGTGAATAGTATAAATATGATCCATGCACAAGCATAATCATGAATTCACTGTTGCATTCCAGTGAAGAGAGGCATCTCTCAATGTTATCCTATATTTATCTGCTTCCAAATGAATATTTACAACAGCAGAATTAGACCAAGAGAAGAGAAGAAAATGAAAGCATGATATATAGTTAGTATCTCTGGGGCAGAGAACATACAATGCATTTGGTAACTTCTGTTACCATTAGTTAAATAAATAAGTCAACAATTAAGGTTGGTATTATGTCTAAAGGGATTTACCTTGTCATACCACTGTCCTTTTGGCTCCCCTTCACGATCTGGTACCCATTGCAGCTCTGTTTCCCCTGGCCTAAGACCACCAGGTGGAGGGGTAAGGAATTCCATTTTCTCATCACGATTCATAGACCACTTGATGAGGTTCTGTACTGTATCATGAGGCAAGACCTTTTCTGCAGCCCACAGGTCCTCTGCAGTTTCCCCCTCTCTGGCATTTTGAGCCCAGTGCTCTTCTGGCCCACCTGGACCTTTCCGCTGTGGTGGAACCACAGCATAACGACCATCTGGACCAATAATCACCTGTCCAGAGGATGTCATATAGTTGGAGATCCCTGAAGGTAGTTGGTAAGAGGCTTTCTTCAGGTTAGGATTCTTTAGAGCATCCGTTAAATATGGTGAAGTGGGGACTGCAAATCCTTGAGTGAGGGAGGATCCATCAGGTAATCTGTATGTGGCATTGCGAAGGTTTTGATTTAGAAGTGCCTTTGATAGATCTGGACCGGTTTTATGTCTTCGAGGATCTGCAGAAATTACAGATCCATCTGGTAGCTGGTAAGCGGCCATGCGAATGTTTTCATTCTGCAAGGCATTTGAAATGTTTGGGCTACTTGGTTTATATAAAGCTTGTGAAATAACAGATCCATCTGGAAGCCTATAGGAGACATTCCTCAGATCCTCATTTCTCAGGGCAGAGAACAAATTTGGGGATGTAGTTTTATAACTTGCATCAGCACTTATTATGGAGCCATCAGGTAACCTGTAGGTAGCATTACGAACATCCTGATTACGAAGCGCGCTTGCCAAATTTGGAGACTTAACTTCATAACCTGGTCCACTTATAATTGACCCATCAGGTAAACGATAGCTGGCATTTTTCATTTGTTGGTTCTGAAGTGCCGCTGATAAATTTGGGGAAGTAGGTTTGGATTGTCCATAGTCTGTTGTTATTAATGTGCCGTCCGGCAATCTGTAAGTTGCATTTCTAATGTTTCGGTTTTGGAGAGCATTGGCTAGATTTGGAGAAGTTGGTTCCACTGGCTGATCAGTCATTATTATTGTCCCATCTGGCAGTCTATATGATGCCTTCCTAATATTCTGATTCTGAAGTGCATGTGACAGGTTTGGTGAGGTTTGCTGTTGTTGTCCTGCAGTTACAAGAGTTCCATCTGGAAGTCTATAAGTTGCATTCTTCAGATTTTGATTCTGCAAGGCATTAGACAGGTTTGGAGAAGACGGTTGCTGTAAATGAGATTCTGGGTACATTATTGTTCCATCTGGAAGTCTATAAGTTGCATTCTTCAGATTTTGATTCTGCAAGGCATTCGACAGGTTTGGAGAAGACAGTTGCTGTAAATTAGATTCTGGGTACATTATTGTTCCATCTGGAAGTCTATAAGAGGCGTTTCTTATGTTTCTGTTCTGCAAAGCATTTGAGAGGTTAGGTGAGAAAGACTGTTGCTGCCGTGGGTCCATGCCTATTACGGACCCAGCAGGATTAGTACCATATACTATTGTCCCATCAGGCAATTGGTATGTGGCACCTCGAAGTTGGGGGTTGTGCAGTGCATCAGACAGAAAAGGAGATTTCCTAGGGTCCTGCCCATGTCCTGGCACAGATGCATAAGGGGAGACCATTCCCTGAACAGGTGCTCTGTATGAAGCTTGACGAACATTTTGGTTCTGCAAAGCTGTTGAAAGAACTGGAGATCCTCTTGGACCATAGCCAGGGGGAACACGGGATCCCCTGCGACGTAAATGTGTTCGGTAAGAAGCATTGCGGACATTTGTATTTTGAAGAGCATTAGAGAGAAGGGGGGAAGCACCTGGCTCTTCAATGTAATCATAGCCTGTCTCTACCTGAGTATAGGGTGAATGTGGCATCTGAAAGGAGGATCTGTATGATGCATTGTGAAGTTGTGGATTGTGAATTGCATTGGACAGCAAAAGTGATGCTGGCTGACCTGGAACTTGTTGAAATGCTTCCATTTGAGGAGCATATGGGGAAGAAAAAGACGGCTGTTCAGGGATCTCACCAAACTGAGCCACTTCAGGAGCATAAGGTGAACCTGGTCTTTGCAAGGGCGACCTGTAAGAAGCTTCTCTGAGATGAGTATTTTGTAAGGCATTAGACAAAAGAGGAGATGCCATCTCTGCTGTATGTTGATCCAGTTCAACCATTTCAGGAGTATATGGTGATTGTACTGGTTGTAATTGGGAGAAATGATCAGCATGGCTTAGGTTAGGGTTTTGCATGGCAAAGGAGGAAACTGGTGAAGGTGGTTGACCCGGAAACTGTGGAACATTAATGATCTCAGGAGCATAAGGCGACATAGGCTGTTGGAATGGGGAAGTATAGGTTGCATTATGGACCCTTTGATTTTGGAGGGCACTTGTAAGCATTGGTGAATGAGGTACACCTCTAACCTGATCATATTCTACAGCGATCGGCTCTGTAACAAAATGTAAAGGAGATGCAAATGAAGCATCATATATTGGAGGACCAGAAAGAACAGAAGTAGGCAGAGCCCTAGGGGAAGTGGACCGTGTTGGTAATGGGGAACCATGTATGATAGATGGATGAGGAGAGGCTGGTCTGGAGAGATGTCTAATAGAAGGCTGGGGAGATGGAGGGGGCATGTGTTTTTGAGAAAGCTGTGGTGAAGGGGGCATCATGCCAGGTGCACGCCTAAGTGACTGTCTGGCCATGAGTGGACGACCACGACCAATGGGTCTCTGTGGGTTTCTCATTGCATTGGGTGTTCCTGGAGGATTGAAACGACTTTGTTCCCTTATGCCCATCCTATGTTGACCTGAGAGTTGTGGGGAAACTGTGAAGTCCTGTGGCATCATGGACCTGTTACTACGTATGGATGGTCTAAATGGTCGTACATTTTGTGTTGGAGTTCCAGTATGACCCCCTCGGCCAGGATATGGTTTCACAGCTCCCATGGGGATGTTTGGACGTCCCCTTCCTCGCAGTCGACCTCCAGGGGATCCAAAAGGTGGAGAATCCTTCATAAGGCGAGTGGACCTGCGGGAGAGGGTGGGAGAGGGGGATCTACCTTGCACTTGTTGTTGCTGGAAGTCTGGTTCCACAGTAAAACTTCTCCGAGAGGGAGTAGGTGATGCTCTTTGTGCCATTAATGGTGACTGTGGTCTATGAAGATCCCTCGGCTGAACACTGGCCATGGTTCGCATCCCCATCTGAGGGGAAGAAGGAGGACTTATCCGTCTAAGTGGAGATGGAGAGGCTTGAAATTTCTTGGCACCAAATGGACGATGAACTTGTGAGGGTGAAGAGGGTGGACTGGGTCTCCTAATTGAGGCACGAGGGGACTGCGGTGGGCTTCTCCTCCGAATAGATGCACGAGGGGAAGCTGGAGGACTGGTATAGAGAGATGGAGCCCGTGAGGGCATACGGTTAGGCATTGGCTGGGGAGATGGTGGTGCCTCTCTAAAGGATGCCTGAGGCTGCAAATGTCTACGGACTGTAGGTGAGGCAGGTGGACCTTCTCTTAGTGGACCTTGAGACTGTAAACGTCTAGGAAATGTTGGTGAAGGGGGTGGCCCTTCTCTAAATGGAGCTTGAGGTGGTAAACGTCTAGAAAGTGCTGGAGAAACAGGTTGGCTCATTTTGCGTCCAATTGGTGATGGAGGGTGTTGACCATGACTTATTGGAGAGGGCACACCTCTGGCTAGTCTTGGCGATGGAGGTGCTCCCATGCCTCCAATGCCCCGCACAGAGGGCTGTGGGGATGGGCTTCTTCTCATAGGAAGTGGACCAACAGGATGCATGGATAGCTGTGGGGAGGCATGGGGGCTCGGTCTGCGTATAGGTACAGGGGAACGTCTAGCTTCCATTACAGGATCTCCAAAACGTGCCATGGGATCCATGGTTACCATGGGTGACATAGGCTTATACACAGGGGAGGCCATACCTGCTACTGACCTTCTGCTTGGAGTGGGAGATGGTGGAAAACCACCAACTTGAGCCATATGTGGCATATGTTGGTTGACAAATCCCTGGGGATTATTTGCTTGCTTAATTAACATGGCTGTTGGTGTGGGCACTTGAGGCATTGTGGGTTGAAACATTTCTTGCGGATGAAACATTTCTTGCGGATGAAACATTTCTTGCGGATGAAACATTTCTTGCGGATGAAACATTTCTTGTGGATGAAACATTTCTTGCGGATGCATTGCCTGTGAAAAACCATCATTCATTGAGCCTCCAGGCATATATGCATAATTTTCATACTGTATGTCTGACATTTCTTCCAAATCATATTGTGGAGGCAAAGGAGGAAGCTCAACATCAATCCTTTCCTTACCAAAAAGCTTAACCTGGGGTCTTGGGACTCTGAACTCCATGTCTCCGGGAAGGGGCATAGACTCCATAGAAAAATGTCCATACTTCTCACCATACATTCCATGAGCCTCTTCACTTTCCATAATATCTTGCATCGGATAACTATATGGATCATACATATTGTAGGAAGATTGCAGATATGGATTAACATCTGATTCACTGTAGTTAACTTGATAATCCTGAAAATAAGGATCCCCATAATCCCCATAAGCATCCATATATGGATCACCTGATATTTCAACTTCATATGGGTCACCAGAGAAGCCCTGAAGGTCATCATAATATCCAAAATGAGCCTGGGAATACAGATCCATTTCATTCCCATATTGATCATAACTGTTTCCCATTGGATACTGACTATCATCATAGTACTCAATGCCATCATCGAAATATGGATCCAGTGGATGCTGTTGACTATAGTAGCCCATTTCCTGTGGATAATTGCCCATCAGATCCTGCACTTCATAGGGGTCATTGTAGTCCATACCATCATCATAAAATTCACTGTCATCCTGCATGGCTGTGTGAGGGTTGTAGTATCTATCCTGCATCTCATAATAGCCTTGATCATGTGATTCCATGTCATAATAGTTATTTGGTTCCTCATATTGAGTGTATTGCTGTGGAAACGAAGAGTGTCCCTGCATTTGGGCATACTGTTCACTATACCTTTTAGAATGCCTCTGGACTGACTGTCTGTGAAATGCACCCTTATCCACCCTGCTCTGGTTATTATAATCATATCCTCCAGTGTCCTGTTCATATCCATAATTGTGATACCCTTGAGGAGCTCGGATGCTGGCTTGGCGACTGTCAGCGGAAAATTTATATTTTTTGTTGTTTTTCCGGCCAAAGGCATCACCCCTTCCACTCTGACGCCCTTTAATTGAGAGAAACCTCTTGGTGAGCCAGTTTGTTGCCCCAGCAATCTTACCTAATAATTGACCCCTAGATTTAAAACCAGTCCCATTTTCTGCTTCCTTTTTCCCAAAAAGCCCTTTAAAAAATCCTGTTTTCTTCTCCGCTGTGTTAGAATTGCCACCTAATTTAATAAGCATATAGGTTGGCTTTGGCCCTGATGGCTCTTTTTTTTCCTTCTCTTTTTTCTTCTTTTTGCTGTTTTTGAAACGCATCATGAACTTTGGAGCATTTCTCAAGAGAGATTTTCTCCTTTTTTTCTTAAGCAAACGATTCTTCCTTTTGCCAAGTCCAAGAAACAGCTTGGAAGTGCTCTTAAGTCGCTTCTTTGAGCTCTTCCTCTTCTTAAATCCAGAGAACCTCATAAAGAGTTTTGAGGTATTTTTGAGTCCTCTTTTCGTTTTCTCTTCAGGTGGTGGCTCAGGTGGAGGGACTTCCTTCTTTTTTGCTTTCTTCTTCTTTACATCGTCCTCTGCTTTAGATTTATGATGATCTTTAGATTTCTTCTTTCCTTTCCTATCCTCCTCTTCACTTTCCTCCTCATCTTCATCTTCATCATCATCGTCATCATCCTCATCTTCATCAGAATCAGGCTGTCTTGATTTGGACTTTCCCTTTGCAGTTTTACCTTTAGCATCTTTTCCACCACCACGCTTTCTTTTGCCTCCATCTGACTCTTCATCCTCATCCTCCTCGCTCAAATCTTCATCCATCAACTCAGCATCTGAGCCCTCATCAGATTCAATAACCTCTTTCTTTCCCTTGCCTTTATCCTTTCCCTTCTTACCATCATCTTTCCCTTTTCCCTTGGGTGGTTCTTCTTTTCCTTTCTTCTTATCATCCTTTCCTGCCTTCTTGTCATCTTTTCCACCCTTCTTGTCATCTTTTCCACCCTTCTTGTCATCTTTTCCTTTCTTTTCTTCTTCCTTTGGTTTGCTTTTTTCTGGCTCGGGTTTTCCTCCTTTCTTGGCTGCTGATTTTGAGTCTTTTTTGGCTGGCATTTTATCCTTTTAAAACCATGCTAGTCTACTGCCTTTCTGCCAAATAAAAATAGGATTAAACAGAATCTTCATGAAAAAAAACAAACAAACACACAAACAAAAGTAACAATTTAAAACAACTGCTTTCTACAAATTACATTTAAAGACTGAAAAATGACACTACAATATTTTTTTTCTTTACAAAACCAACATTAATCAAAATAGGATATTCATACACACTTCATTATCTTTTCTAAATTCTCCGTATTTAGGATGATAAAGTAAGAAAATAGTCTTACCTGTAGGTGAGTTCACTTTGTCTCTTCTCAGTACTGTCATAGATTAATTCAACACAAAGAGCATATAAATCTCTGTTCACATGGTTCCACACGCCACAGCACCAGACGTGGTCTAGAAAATGTATCCTTCTAGCAGATGTTCTAAGATAGAGATCCTGTGTTGAGGAACGTTTGTATGTTTCTATAACCTTACACGTACTTACACACTCCTCTTCTCTTCTTATGTTGATCATCAAGATACTAGAGAGGCACACCTACCTGTACTTCTCAGCAAAAGAACAAACAAATAATTCCAGCACATGCAAGTCATCAACTATCATATGCCATCCATGAGTGACTCAGACAAGGACTGTGTGTCTGTGTAAGTGAGAGGATGTGCGTCAGGTTTTTAGTTCTGTTGCAGCGCTGTAGAAGGAACCTTAATTTGTCAGCTCTACTTGCCTTGGTGTAACTTAAGCTTGGGTCTCATTCCAGCATAAATAATGTAAGCACAGAGGCCTGTTACTACACAAGCTTGCACACACACTGTCACACTGTCAGTCAGACACACACACACACACACACACACACACACACACACACACACACACACACACACATACACAACTTTATGGTGGTGAATGCAGGCATGAATGAAAGTGTGATTGCGCTACTACAAACTCTCAACATTTGAAGAAAATAGCATAAACTGAAAATTTGGTTAAATTTGTTAAAAACAATTACCCGTAATAATCGTTAACACAATGATTTGGACTGGTTAACAATATAAAAAATGCTAAAACGTGCTAAAAAAAAGTAGAACACACACACAAACAAAACAAAAACAAATTTCTTTTGGGCCCATGGGCCAAAGTTGGTACGTGATGACCTTTGATTTGGCCAGCCATGCCATTTCACAGGAGGGGGAGGAGGTTTAGAAAACAAAATCTAATTTTATCTTTTTGCTTGAACATTCGAGATGTAGAGAATATAAATGAATGTGTTTTAATTTAATAAGCTTTTTTTTATATAATATAGTTAAATATAATGCTACAATTTACTTTCATGCACCTCTGTTAGAAAAACCATGGTTGCGTTTCCCAATAACGTTGTCTCTTAGCACGTTATTAAAGCCCTATTCGCACGGGATTAGTATTATCTGGTGACATATAGTAATTTGTAATAATTGCGGAGTTTGTCTGTGATCTTAATCCCGTGCGAATCGGCCATGTCTGTAATTTGTAAAGTAAAAATTCCCGCGCAAATTACCTACTATATTTCGCCGAACACAGAGGTACCGTGATAATATTAGTCCCGCGCGAATCGGCATCTCTGTGATTTGGCCGGATCGTATATCATTTTTTTTTCAAGGTTTTTGTTTCATGTGCGCCATCTTTCGCGAAGAATGGAGGCTGGTTTGGAGTGTTTTGATAGTATTTTGGGTGCTGGGCCATATATCGCAACACAATTTGCAGAAAGTGAAAGCTGAAAATCATAGGCGGAGTTTGACATTCGAGCCAGGGGGGGCAAAAAAAAAAAAAATCATTGTAGCATTCATTCATTCATTCATTCATGTAGCAATCATTGTCGTTCGGACACAATTAGGATAAATGAAATGTGGACCACTTTTGCACTGTTAAAATATTATCTTCAACCAAAACAAAAAGATTTTTAGTTTTTCTTTTCTTTCCTTTTTTCAAAACACATTGTGGCAATGAGAGTGATTAAAGTTATATTTCGCATTTTATTGTACTTCATGAAACATTTAAAACATTTTGAGACACGGGAAAAATGAACAGTCACACAATAGCCTACTCTCCACGTTTGAAACACATTGTGGCAATGAGAGCGATTAAAAAAAAACAAGTTATTTCGCATTTTGTTGTAGCCATTTCATGAAACATTTAAAACATTGAGACACGGGAAAAATTAACGGTCACATAGCCTACTCTCCACTTTTGAAACATATTGAACAGCATATTGAAAGCAGTGTGTTGAGTTTTTCTCCATCTTAAGCAGTTATTTGGCAGAGAAATAAAACTTACAGACCTAGATATTGCTCAGACTAGTGCAACAGTAATTTTCGTTTTTTTGCGTCCTGCGTCGATAATGGTCTCAGGTGAGAGCTTGGCCGTAATGTCGCTTTCGATGTGAAGGATCGCAAGAGAAGAAAACCTGGCTGCTCCCATCGTCAACCGCAGCCTGTTCTTTATCCTCTCATGGAGAGTCGGCCTGGCATGAATAATACAGCGGTTTTAGTCGTTTTTGGGGATCCATGTGAACGGACGTGTCTGTACGCGAAAAACACACAGGAAATTCCTCACTTACCGCGATACTTTGAGATCCGCCAGTCGTGAGAAAATTAGCTTCTTTTTCAATACAGTAATTAAAAATAATTTAGCCTTAACTTACTCATTATACCCGCAAAAATGATAAGATAAGACAAATAAAATGAGAAAATATGAATACAGTATTTTTTTTTTTTTTTTTCAAAGCACAAGGCAGGCATTAATTGGCTCTGGTCTGGGGGGGCAGTGCCCCCCCTAGCCCCCCCCAAACTCCGCCTATGCTGAAAATCAAAACGAAGAGCAAAAACAAAACGAATGATTAGATGGAGATGAATGACATGTATAGCAGCATGCGGTAAGTAACTTTATTCTGTTTATGTCATAATATATCATACAGCTAGACCTATAACGAAAAGAAATTTCCAAGCCTATTGACGTCATATCCGGGAGATAAGTCAGTAAATTCGAGTAAAATCACAGGCTTCGGTTATCCCGTGCGAATGCGCCACACGAAATTCAGATGTTGCGGGGTAATTTTTAAATCACACGAGGTCCCCAGATAGGCTACTAATCCCGTGCGAATAGGGCTCTTAAGGTGTAATTTAACTAAAGGTATACCATTTCTAGGCATGTTCCCCGAACTATACCTTAGGAAGTTGCTTAAGATATACCTTCTTACGTGCGACGTTACCCAGTGCTGTCCGTGGCGATACTGCTGAATCTGCTGATATCGACGGCTCGAGAATCAATTATTCACTCGTGCAGGGGCTGCTTCACTGCGTTATGTGAGAAAATGGTGTTCTTTATAAAAGAAGCACTTCAGAAATAGTGGAAATTGCATTTTGCATATTGGTTTCCCAGCTGATGTACCTTTGGATAATGTAATTGTACTATAATGCATGGTAGGGTATGGGTACAGTTGAGACATAGGTACAGTTGAGACACCTTAAATAACTTGCGTGCGCAGCCAGCACAAGTTGTGATTTTTGCTGTGCACATGCGTATTAGTGTCCTCTTTGATCGTGGGAAATTTAATCAATGGACGCATCTCCGCTCCGAAGATATCGGCAAAAGTTTTTTTTTTAAGGTAAGACGTTCACTTCACCATGCACACTCCACAATGAATAGCTTATTATCCTTATGTGACTGTTAAACGTAACTGGTATAATCACAAACGATTCTGTGCCCTAAAAACGGGCATATTTCATGGGATTGTTTCAGGCATGGTCATTGCAAAATCTAGAGAAATGCGCGAGGTGGCCATCAGGGTACAGTTGAGACACACTGTCTTAACTGTACCCGCGATAGAGTTCTATTAGGAAACACACTGTTTAGTTGTTCAGTGTTATGATAACAGGTTAAATGTCATAATTAGCCAGCATAAGCTGCAAATGAAATACAACTTTGGTATTTGTGATAATTAAACTGTAATTATTTCTGTTTTATAAAATTTAACCAGTGCTAATTTAAATAACATTAATGAATTTGAATGGATGAATAAACAAACATGTTGCCCAATTGTTATTTTTTTATTTGTCTTTATTTATTATATTTTCAATGAACGATTAGTTACCTTTACATCACTAAAAATGGGTGTCTCAACTGTACCATGGTACTGTCTCAACTGTACCACATATGGGTACAGTTGAGACAAAGTTGAGACAAAAAGCACCTTATTTTTATGAGCTAATTTTGGAAAATATAAACTACTTATGAGTAATATTGATTGATAATATCTTAGTCTACAAGCTCATGAAATGTCATGTGGCATATCATGTGGAAATTCACGTCTTTTCAGCATCTATTTTTGTGTGAAATATCTAAACGCAAAAAGTGTCTCAACTGTACCCAGTCTACCCTATAGTCCAAAAACATTATTATGGTCATTATATGGTACTATGACTAAAAATACAATAATAATAATACTGTGGTACTTTTTTGTGTTATAAATATTATTTAAAAACAGTCTTGGAACAGATCCAAATACATTTGTCGAGATAGCGAGAATTATTTCTCATTTAATTCACTTTCAATTATACGATACACAACCTGTTGAGGACTGAAAAGTAATGACTTGCTAATTTATAGGTTACTAATTAGCAGTTGAATATTTCATACATGATCACTAACAATCAAAGTGTCACTGGAGCACTCGCACAGGAGTAATTAAAAATATTGACACAAGGTTGTAACCATAGAAGTGACCAGGTCAGCGCCAAGAACTGGTGTTACCTGGCATCTAAGAACTACTTAAAAGCTGGAGTCCACACTGACACACTCTAATTTCAGTGATTAAAAATGTAGCAGCTTCGTCCCCAATTGGAGTAAGTGCAAAGGTGAATATTGACAATTATCTTCAATGAGCATATGTTCGTAAGGGTGTGTGTACAATTAAGACCAAACTTAGAGTTCCCTTTGGTGACCCACTGACTGAGAGAGAGAGAGAGAGAGAGAGAGAGAGAGAGAGAGAGAGAGAGAGAGAGAGAGAGAGAGAGAGAGAGAGAGAGAGAGAGAGAGAGAGAGAGAGAGAGAGAGAGAGAGAGAGAGAGAGAGAGAGAGAGAGAATTAAGGAGTAATGGAAAAATAACTGTACATCAAGAAATTCTTCAAATTAGATGTGTGAAGGCATTAACAACCTCTTTAGAAGCAACAACCCTTTAGCTTAATTTGCAACTTCATAACCAGTAAAAAAGTATCATTATGATTTGCAGGAAACATCTTGTACAGTACAGTGAGTGTACATAAATTAAATTCCAAAATAAATGTAAACATGACATTATTTATAAGACAACAATAAATAATTTGAACTAAATGATTTCAAAACAATAAAATAACTAATACCATACTTATACAATGACGTATCAAATCAAGTTAACATTGGAATGTAGTTCTGAGAAAGTCAATGAATGCAATGGAAAACGTTAAAACAATTTAAGAGTTGCTAAATTGCTTAATTGTCTAAATACTTTTTGGAGGCACCATACAGGAATGATGAGTAATCACGATGGTGTTGGCCTATAATTTAAATGCTTTTGAGTATGTTATACTGCCACCATATGGAGTACAGTGGTATGTGCCCAAAACATACAAACAATTTAAAGGAGATTGAAGGAGAGTCAGTGGGCGGTAGAATTATGACTTGTAAAAACTGATGACTGCACAATTAAAATGACGTGAGGACGTTATTAGAACAAATTTATTAAGGCTATTATTGTTATCTTTCTCTAAAGCTCAATAAAAGTCATGGCAGCAGACAAAATG